ATTTTTTCTTCTCTGCCTGCCGATGGCCCCGGTTGGCCGTGGCTCTGGCGTCGATATTGGGCTATTCGGTCACGGAGGTGGGCCTACAGGCGAGTGCACGGGCTCGTCCGAGTGAGCTAAAGCTGCTTCGCTGACCTGACCGGACTAGATCTTCCTTAAAAGCTGGTCGGAAAGCGATGCGATAGACCAGAGACCGTGGCTATGGGCTTACGCCGTATTCGCGGTTGCCTGCGGGAGTGCTGCGTTCATCGCCTTCTTCTCGTATACTCAACAGACGACGCCTCATGCGTCCTTGGAGATCCACCACAGGATGTTGTCGGCGGTGGCCTATGCATCTCCTACAACTCTTCGAAACACGAAGCCCGAAAAGTTGATCAATCGCTTCTCTGGCGACATGAATGCAATCGATTTTGTGGGTGTTCAAACGATTGTTTGCCCTTCCTACTGGTGCTCATCTACGATTTCCAGGCATTCCCTCTGGCCATCCTCGATTTTACTATCACCGCCGCGTATGTCGGTAAGATCTTCATGGATTCGCTCAAGCATACGGTTCTCACTCCAGCACATCACAGTTGGCGCCATGATCCTCGTTTTTCTGGCCGTCCCCTGGCTCGCAGTTTCGCTCCCCGTTCTTTGTGCCGTATACTGGCTTTTGCAGAGCTTTTACCTTGTGAATAGCGCGTTTCAGTCGCCACATCCGCGTCGCTGATGATGCCTTGCCGACAGGCCACGTCCCGTCAACTGCAAGGTCTCGAAATGGCCGCCAAAGCGCCTTTGGTCAGCACCTTCAGCACGACCTTCAGGTCAGTGTCTTGTGGCGTTGTGGACAAGGATGGCACCAACTCACGCTCGTGTTTTTCAGTGGTTTGGAGACTATACGTGCGTACGGGACGGAGAAGTTCACCCTGGCCGAAGGCAGACGCCATCTCGCCTCCAGCCAGGCGCCGGTGTATTTCCGATACGCTGGTATCCGTTTCCTGTGAGCCTCAGTGCCCTCTAGGCACTGAGGGTGCCTACTGATGAGCTCTGATAGACGCACTGCGCTGAACGGGATGACACTCTTCATCGCCGTAGCGGTGGCCACACTTGCCGTCGCCCTGCGCAACTCGACGTCCGCAGGATTTCTTGGTGTTGCACTCAGCCAAATCGTCGGGCTCTCCACCAGTATTTCAAATTTGTTGCTCTCATGGTCCCGCGTGGAGAACGGCGTGGTCTCTGTTGGACGCATACAAGACTCTACGGCGATGACGACCGAACGGTTTTCGTCGGAGCTGAGCCCGGCGCCAGGAAACGAGTCCGAGTTCATGGTGAGGGGAGACATCGAGTTTCGGAACGTCTCCCTCGCTTATGGGTGCGTAGACGCTTGCCCAAGCTGTCACAATCACTGACGGCAACGATTGTATTAGACCTGGTCTGAAACCTGCCCTGCGTGACGTGTCGTTTGCGGTCCGCGGTGGAAGCAAGATAGCATTGTGCGGACGAACGGGGTAGGTGACCCTACTACGCCGTTACAACATAGCATCACTGAAGAACCCTACAGGAGCGGAAAATCGAGCGTGCTCTTGGCGTTACTGTCAGGAGTGGACAAGAATCTTATCCAAGGTGAAATCTTGGTGGATGGTGTGGACGTTAACGATGTGCCGTTTTCGCGTCTTCGGTCCTCTATGAGGTGCGACGACTGAATATTTCACTATGGTACCCTAGCTCACCGCTCCCGCTTTAGTGTGATCTTCCAGGACCCATTACTTCTCGGGGTGTCTGTTCGCGAAAACCTGACCCTGCGCGCTCTCGCGAACCAGATTGATCCACCCTCGGAGGGGGAGTTATGGAACGCTCTCAGCCGCGTTGGTCTCGCTGACGTCGTTCGGAAGTTGGATGACGGGCTCGATACTGTCGTTGACGACGAGCACGTGCAACTGTCGCGAGGAGAGGTGAGCGTGATAGTTCATTGATGCTCGTATCCGTGTTATTAATGGGGGGCATGCAGCGTCAATTATTGTGCCTCGCGCGGGTTTTGCTCGAAAAACGGAACATTATCATCTTTGACGAAGTGTCTTCGAGGTAACGCTACGCCTTGCGATCAATGATACCATTATGCTGATGCTGTCGGACAGCATGGACTCGCATACTGAGGCACGGCTGCATTTGGTCCTCTCCACGGACCTGAAGCACTGCACGGTCATTTCCATTGTACATCGAATATGTGAGCATCGACCAGGATGTTGGCATCATTGGGTTTAGCGGGTTGCTCATCCTCTTCGCTCTTTCTAGCTTCCGTCTTGGACTTTGACAAGGTTTTGGTGCTGGACGATGGCGTTGTGGTGGAGGATGGCAGACCGAAGGATTTGCTCCAGAGTGAATCGAGATTCAGGGAGCTCGCTAGAGCGCAAGATCTGAAAGATTGAAGCAATTGTGTATTTCAAGAGGATATAGAATCCTCTCATAATCAAGCAAGAATGTCATCGAGAACGTCGTGTGTTCCCAGCCAGGCTGAGAGAGGGAAAACGAGGACGAACGATGGTTAGTCGCTTCGTGGCCCGCAACAGGACGTAAACAGCAACGCGCTGCCGGATTCCACAAGCATGAGCCTTTCACATGCCCAACGCCCATTCCCGATGGCGGCGTCACAGCGGAAGAACCGGTGGAGGAAGAAGGGCATACCCCGGACCGCCACCCATGCATGGGTATATGAGATGTAGATGAGATAGTGCCACGTATCAGACCGCAACTCATAGTAGTAATGGTATTCGGAGTGATACACAGAGCAGATCAGCAAACAAGATGGACAGTAAGGAAGGGAAATGAACGTATTGAATGGCCGGATTGGGACCGCTTTGCTGCTTCTGAGCACGAAGTAAACGGCGTGAACGCAGTCCGATTTGAAACCGCAACCGAGACCGGTGCGTGTTCTTGACCATAAACCCCGTCGACCTCGTCCTGATATTCGGAATATCCAGCACCCAAGACGAAGATGAGCGAGGTGATTGCGGGACCAGCGTCGTCGTGGTCGGACCAAGCGCCAAGCCGACGACCGAAGCTCGGTTGGTGTGCTCGAATTTATTTCTTATTTTTCCGTATTTACCGGCTTCTTCGTCCGTCACCTCGCCTCTTCAAACCGCGTTCGCTCGCCGTCATATATCCTCCTCCTCAACGGCCTCCACGGAATCCCCGGGCTTCGTACGATATTATATCCCTCCTCCATCTACTCTAATATCGCGTCGTCGCTGGACACCGCGATGGCCGCCTCCTCCGCCTCCTCGATCTCGTCGTTCTCTACCGCGTCCACGACCACGACCGCGACGACCGCGACGAACGCTTCCGCCTCTTCCTCCGCCGTGACGATCCCAGTCCCGGGAAAGTCCATCCTCAAGCGGCCCCCGCCCCCACCCCAGTCGTTCCTCACCACCTCCATCGCCCGCCTCTCCAAGTTCCTGCCCACGCAGCAAGCCGTCGCATCGTCCGCCTCCTCTACCTCCTCCGCTACCTCTTCTACTGGAGCAGGCACCGAAGACAAGGAGAAGGAGCGGGAGAAGGCCCTCAAGCGCGCGCACTTCATCCTCCCCCAGCTCGTGACCGTCTACCCGATCTCGTCCTCCAACCCGCCGTCTTCGCCGTCGATCAAGGAGGAGAAGCGGAACATTGAAGCGCGCGAGGCCCAACGAAGAAGGAGGATCGTCCGCGGCAACTCGTTCACAAATGGCTACGGCAGCCCTGGGGGCTCAGCACGGTCCAGCATGAGCGGCGGAAGCCTGAGCGGGAAGATCGGTGCCGGGGAGGCGGGCTCGCCGGTGAGCAACGCGGCCGAGGCAGGGTCACCGGAGAGCTGGGAGGAAGACGAATGGTGGAATATGGAGAAGGTGGAGAGCTTCTATCGCGAGTGCTGCCAGGGCCGGGAGGAGCAGCCGAACTCGGGAGTGAGCAAGGCGTTCAAGGTGAGCATGCTGGCTGAGTGTGTATTATCGAGAGGAATGGGGCGAGATGATTCTGCTGGATACTGCTCGCCGGGTCGCTCATCATACGTGACCCGCCGTGCTGTTGGTCGCACGACCAGACGTATCGCAACCTCGTACCTTTTCGTCGTGTTTTCGTCCTGCTTGATTGGTACTAGACGACTGACCTCTTTTTCTTGGTTTTAGTCTGCTCCATCAACCCACCCAAGGACAGTGGACCTGTCGGGCGTTCAGATCAGCCTCGAGCACGCCCATATCCTCTCTGATGTGTTCACCATCGAATGGGGGCTTCGCAAACTCGTACTCAGGGAATGTGACTTGGATGAGCATGTGCGTATCTACCGTTATGTGCGCTTTCGTTCGCGAACAGCACCACCACCTTCCCTAATGAACTCCGATGCTCATATGCCCTACTCTTTTCAGAACCTGAAACCGATTCTCCACGCCCTCCTGATACCTTCCTCCCTGCAATACCTTTCCGTAGCTTCTAACCGAAGGCTAAAAACCAACGGCTACAAGCTATTGGGGGCATACGTCACCAAGGTGTGTTTTTGGTTTCTCCGTCAACCACACTCTATCGCGCCCTTACGAATGCCGCACTCGATCATCATCCTTCTCAGTTTCGCTGTGGTCGTGGAGTGATCGACGATAACTGATTCTATTTCCATCAGGCGAAATCCCTACAGTTCCTCGATGTCTCCCAAAACTCGCTCGACAAGAAGTCTATCGAGTATATCGCGGCCACGCTCACACCACAAGGTTCTCCCGGACTGGAAAGCCTCCGGATGGACGACTGCGGTCTGAGAGGCGGCTCCCTGGAAGTACTTTGTGAGCTGCTTCGGCTTCTCATTCCATGTCATCGTAATGACCTATGGACACAGCGCAGGCCGTGCGGACGAGCTCGCTCAAAAATGTCTCCCTCCGCCTGAACCGTATCGGACCCTCCGGCGCCGTCGCTATCGCACTCATGATCAAAGACTACCCCGACATCCTCCCCGCCCCGCCGCCCGGCTCGGTGCCCCTATCCGCCACCTCCTCCGTGTCAACCTCGAGCTCGCCCACCAGCACCGCGCAGAGCTCGCCCGTGCTGTCGCATTCCCCGCTCTCGCCGATCGGCGGTGCGAGCCTCGCTAACGGCGCACCCGGCAGGGCCACCCACGCCCCGCCGCCTCCGCACCCTGCCTCCGCGCGGGCGGGCCCGCCACCCCCGCCGCCGCGCCATCCCGCCACTGGACCACAGACGACCTACACACCGTATGTGCCGCGCGCTAAACGACTTGCGGCTGCTGCCGCCACAGCAGCAGCGACGAGCCTGAACCCGGCGGTGCCGCTTATCACTTCGAGCTCGCAGGGTGGCGTCACCACGCGGCACCCACCGTCGCTTCCATTAACGTCGTCGCACGGCGCGTTCGTGGGACAGGGCATGAAGAGTCCGACGATGGAGCACGGCCCGAGCGCGGCATTACTCGACAAGGTGCGCGCGCTGGACGCGCTGCCGCGCCTAGGAAGCCTGCAGACGCTCGACCTGAAGGGGAACGAGTTGAGGGTAAGTTGTCGGCGGTGCTTGTAGAGATCCTCGCCTTGTTCCTAACATATCCGTGCGATGTTGTCAGGGCGGGATATCGTATTTGGCGCAGGTGTTGAAGCGGAATAGGACGCTCAAGGTGCTCAATCTTAGCGAGAATAAGCTGGACATTCAGGGGCTGGTGGCAATAGCAGAGGCGCTGGTATGCTGGTCGAATCGTTTGCATCGGTGACCGAAACTGACTGAAGACGCTTGCTTTCAGAAATACAACTCGTGCCTGGAGACGCTTGACCTTTCCAGGAACCCCTGTTGTGGTCCTGGACTCGAAGGTGTACGTTCACTTCCTCTCTTTCCGTCTTGAGCCACACTCACTTGCCATACCTCAGATCCAATCCCTGCGCACCGCATTCACCCTCAACACCGCCCTAAAACAGCTCTTCTTGTCCTCCACCGCGCTGACATCGGCTGGCGCGATCGCTCTCGCGGAGTTCCTCCCCGAATCGACCTCCCTTCTTCACCTTGGCCTGACCGAAAACCCGAACTTGGACCTGGCGGGCATGCTCGCCCTCAGTGGCGGGCTGAAAGCAAACCACGTCATGCGCTGTCTCGACCTGAGCATTGTCCCGGGGGACGAAGAGATGGCCCGCGTATGTAGGGAAATTCTTGATAGTTGTGTTCGGAACACGGAGGAGGCGGAGCGGAAGACTCAAGAGGCAGACGGACGGGTGGAGGGCGACGCTTGTAGCCAAAGCAGCATGAAGGGCACGGGGAAGGGCGTGTGGGCGATGGTAGAGACGAGCCAACTGGCGAGGTCCATCGCGAAGGACGACGCGAAGAAGGTGCGGTACTCGTGAAACCCCAATCAGTCTCATAATCTGACATCTTTGACGATAGGCCAGCGCGGCTGATGTGCCGAGCCAAGCGCGCGCCGTCAAGGAGGAATGGGAACAGCTTTCTGCCAGGACTCGACCTCAGCCTGGCAATCCGGACGCAACGCTTGCAACACTCCACCCGGACCTGGCGAAGAAGACTAACGCTTTACTTCACATGCTGGCGGCTCTCATCGCGAAGACGGACGATCCCAACAAGCTGGAGGAGCTACTCAACCTCAATGATTCGCTGACGGATTTGATGAGGCGTGTACCATCTGCCGCCAGAAAGACCGGCCTTGGGCTTGCCTTGCCTCTCAACGGTGGTCCGTACCTCAGCAACGGAGGCGGTGACACCATTGACGACAGCGAGGAAAGCGAGTTTGAGCAGCCTGATCCAACCACACCAAAGATTGACAAGGGTAAAGGCAAAGCAATCGAAGCGCCGCCCGAGCCAGAGAAGGTGCTCACCCCAACCGCCGAATTCCTCATCTCAAACGAGTCTGAGAGTGAGGATGAGCATGGGTATTTCCCGGCAGAAGGCCCCGGAGAGGATGAAGGAGTGCCCTTGACGAGCCCCACGGATCGGTCGAGGATCTGGGTCGAAGAGGAAGGCGAGGTGTTCAGGAAGGGCAATGTTCTGTTGAGCGAGGAGGACATGGAGAACGACTACGCTGGAGATGAGCTCAGGAAGGAGGTATGTTGCAGCTCATCCATACTCATCCAGGCTGCGACCTTATATTGCACTCGTAGCTGCTCGAGGCCATGGTCGAACGCCCTCCTCCTCGCCCAATATACGAAGACTTCCCTCCGGAGGGTGACGTCCTGCCGGCTCTGCCTGAAGCCCCTCAAGAACCGGCGAAGCCTCCGCCGCGACCGTACATCCCGCGGAGACGCTCTTCACAGGCGTCTTTGTCGTCGCAAACCTCGCAGGAGACGATTACGTCCCCCTTGAGTCCCAGTGTTAAGTCGCCGCTGTCTCCGACGGTGAAGACGGTGAGGAATCCCATCTTGGGCTAGATGCCTATCGTCATTGTCTTTTACAGACGAACGACAATGTGCTATCGCTGTCCGAGGTATGCTGTCCATTTTGTGTTCACCGGAGCGTGGGGCTCATAGCCATCTCAGGAGCTAGCAAACGTTGCTACCATCGCAACTTCTGGATCATGAAGACGTTTTAGTATCTCCACCACGCATTTTTTCTCCGGATTTAACACCCACCTCACGCTTTCCTTTCTCGTGCACGGCCAGGATGACGCGGGTCTAATCTCACTATTATACAATACATTGTTCTGTTCATTGTTGGTACATAGCTTAGCTGATAATAAGCGGAACATATCGCAACTAGCACATCGTTTGAGACTTGCACAGTGACATCGTTCCTAGCCTGAATCTTGTGGATGGATCTGAAGCAGCATTTCTACTTCATCCCGCGTGAGTTTCTGGGTTTCCGCCACGTCGCCGCCATCGAGGATGGACGCAGCAAGGCGCCGCTTGTTGCCCTGGATCTGTGATACCTTCAGTGACACGGTTATCTCAAGGGTATGGCACAGCTCACAGCCAGCATACGATCTTCGATCGTCCCAGGGACCACGAGTTTGTAGATCCTAACATCGCGCTTCTGTCCGATACGATGTGCTCTGTCAAAGGCTTGCTCCTATAAACGAGTCATTGCGCATAAGAGCAGCCGTCAAGACAAAACTGATATGAAGCGCGCACCTCGAGGGCCGGATTCCACCACAGATCAGCCAGAATGACATTGTTACAGGACGTCAAGTTCAACCCTTTCAATGCTATTCAATGCACCTGCGTCGCGAGAACATGTTCATTGATCCTCACCTATGCCGCCGGCCTTGAAGGAAACCAGGATGACCTTCACGTGGGGGTTTGTCTGCAATGTGTCCAGCACAAGATCGCGCTCGCGCAAGCTCATCGTGCCATCGACTAGACGTAGGTAGGTGAGCCCGTCACACAATATACGATGATCGACTTGAGCGGGCCTACATCGAACGTACTGCACACCAGCGTGGTCGAGGAAGGGCTGGAGTTTATCGAGGAACGTCGTGAAGTTCGAGAAGATGATAGTTTTCTCTTCGGCCGGTATGACTTTACGCAGGAGCTCTAAGATCTTTCGAATCTTTGTTGACGAGAGCGGAAGGACGTTTTCACTCTCATGGGTCAACGAGCGCTGCATTTGCCGATCAAATTGGTGAGCGCACACCGAACACACGTTTCGATTCCGTAACTGAGAGTTGGCTCCTAATCTGCAAGTTCGCCAGTCAAATTGTTATAAGAGCAACGAGGTGCGTCAAGCTTACTGCACGCGGCAGAAAGCGCAGAAGCTGTTAGTATGCTTCCCGTCGAGGGCCTCCTCGTCACGCTGCCACGTATCGGTTACAAGGCTGGGATGATCGCACGCTGGAATATTTGCGCATTATCCGCCGTTCGGCCGCCTTTCCAAAGCAAGGGACTCACCTTGACGCTCGCGCAAGAGCAACGTCCAGATGACATGGTAGCTTTGGAACAAGGTGCCCCGCTCGTAATATCTGTTGGATACCGCGGTGATGCGGGACTCAAGAGCGTCGTAAAACTCCTGCTCGTCTGAGTCAAATATGCAGTAGACGAGCTCGACAGTGCGTTCCGGAAGATCGAGCAAGGATTTGCCGTCGACTTGATCAGTCTTCAGGCGACGGAGCATGCAAGTGCTCAAGATTGCCTGTAAACGAAGAGCTATCTCAACATGGACCCTCTGGCAGATGTGCATGACGAACCGGAAGAGGTTTGTTATCGTGCCGCACGCGAAGAAATTCCAAAATGCTCCGTATGTCGTCTTCGGTGTTTTGCCTATAGGATGTCAGGAGCGTTCGGAGCAAATAAGGGAAACGCTCACACAGGGGTGGCACCCAACGCCACACGGTGCGTTACATCGATGGCCATACACGCTGCCCAAGTTTTCGTTGACTTGTTGCGAATGACGTGCGCTTCATCTATGTATCTGATCAGATTTTGTCGTGACAACCAAAACCGGATAGTGGAATGAAGTACCTAACACGAAGCGGAAGAATTTGGAACGTATCATGGGGCTTCCCAGCGCGTTAGGATCCCTCTTGTAAGTATCGTATTCGGATAGAAGGGTCCGTGGAGTGGAGATTACGACGTGGTATCCTTGGAACTGGGCATAATCTGACATGACAGATTCAACATGTGTCCAATGGCGTTTTGTCGGGCGCAACTCGCCCTTAAAACGACCAGGTCCATGGTGCTTGAGAACCCTCAGGCTGGGGGCAAACTTATTCAACTCCTTCTCCCATTGGGATAGAAGGCTGCCCGGTGCGATGACGCTAAGAATAGTCGGGGGCTTGTGAATGAGGAAGTATTATACAATAGTAATATGGGAACCCACAGAGTAGGCTGCTGTCCTGGCTTATGACGCTCCATTATGAGGCCGATGGATTGTACGGTCTTGCCAAGCCTAAGGAATCATCAGGCAGCGAGCGTAAAAAACGGCTGCACGCGACGTACCCCATGTCATCGGCCAGCAGCGATCCGCTCTGACCCTTTGACTCGCGTCGGATCAGCCATTCAACCCCTGCCACTTGGTATGGCTTCAGGACAATATCTTTTGCCAAATTGAATTTTGTTCCCGATGATGCTGAAGATATGGATCTCAGAGTATCTTCGGAATTGCACACTTTGGTCCCCGCAATCGACGGGACTGGGGCCGATGGCGAATCATGTTTGACTCTCGATACTCGGGGTTTGGTCTTTATTTTGGCGGAGGCTGCGCTCGGGCTCACACCCGCCGATCCTTTTGAAACGGTGTTGCGTGAGTCTTGGAGGCTCGTCTGCGCACGCCGTCCTCCATCGGCTTTCGAGAACGAAGCAAACAGACTGTTTTCTTCATCCGAGTCCATCTCTTTGATGCCAAGTGCACTAAAGCTCGCAGAAAGCGCGTCTTCAGCCTGCATATCGCCATTCTTGCAGTTTGGTGGATACAACTTCCCCATCGAAGATCGACGGAGCACGATTGGCGGTGGCTAGGTTGTGTAGGGGAGATGTCAATAGCGATCCAGTGGCAAGGTCAACTGTCGGGAGCGAGGGATAGCACAGCGAGTCTCAGAGGTCTTTATATCTAGAGCGATGCTAATAGTAGATCATGCTGTCGTGTAAAGGTTCTTGGAGGTAGTTGCACCGCTTGCGGCTCGCGTTATTTGAAAAATCCGGAAGACCTCAGTCGCTGGTCGCAAGCCCGGCGAGTAGCAACAAGTCGCAGAATCCGGTGCCAAACTGTACTGTCGAGTGGCACACTAAATCGTTGAACGGGAACAAAGGAGAAAACAAGGAGAACCGGAGTGGCGGTGCAGCCCGCTTTGCCTTTTTCGTCGGCCGCAAGCTCTTGTACTGTAGAAGGTCACCATCTCAGTCTTAGCACTTTACTCTTACTGCTACGAGCGCTTGAATTGCAGCTCATAATTGTTTGAAGCGAGATGGTTCATGGTCTCATCTCGCTTTCGTACCTGACCGACCTAGCTCCCATGTCCGAGGCTGCAGTCGCGTTCCATGACAGCCGCGGTCCTGCTCTCTAACGTCGACCACTCTCACAGAGCCATGACATAATTCAGGTACTGGGCGACGACACCTATTGCCTATCCTGCCGAATTCTGGTCTGTGTCTAGTCGCTAGAATCCAGAGGATGATTGAGAGAGCCCATGCATCGTTTTTTATCCGACGGCTTTCCTACAACGAGCCATACAGAAACGCGCGCATTTCCCCAAGCACGCGACCACCCTATCCACTGCAAACGCTGTCGAGCTCACGTATGATCAGCGTGACCGGCTAGCAAAGGACCGCGCCACATCTCGCAGCTATCAAGACTGCATCAGCGACGGACCTCTTACGACAACGTGAGACGACGTACGGCACACCTCCAGGCAAGTGTCCACGCAATCCGGATTGTCCGGCTGGTTTGCGGCGCAGCAGGCCTGGCATCCTGGAAGGCATGTCTGCGGGCGCGCGATGACAATATCAGCTTGCGGAGCATCACATGAACAAGGGCGACGCACACCGCCTACAGGCGGCTTCACGGTTTTGCAGCCCGTCTGGCGCGGGTCGAGCGACCACGCCGAGGCCGTGGCGAGGAGGGAGAGGAGCAAGACCAGCGACATGAGGATAGACGCAACGGAGATTGGGCCAGCTGATACACGCATTGTGGGCGACGAGACAACAAGGGGGTTGCGACGCTGGGTTGGCCTTACCTGCGTATGCATCCTCGCTCCTTTTACCTGATGGTCCCGCTTGACGAGGGGGAGGGTGAGATGAATAGTGTTAGACGGGCCTTTTGGTGTACCTGTGATGCACATGTTTGTGCTAGATGCAACTTGACAGATGGACGTACCGGGGGAATATCTGGCTGAGAAGGACAAAGACAGCCTTCGATGCAATAGGTGAGGATCTTGCTCGTAAGTACCGCACGTACCCTCGGAAGGTACCACCAAACGGAGGCTGTCAGCTGTACGGGGCGCAGATGCACAAACGCAGCGATTTTCCGACATTACGGCAGGACGAACAGCGCCTGCAGCTGGAAACCTGTACATCAACATCTCGATTGCTCGCTATCTATATATTCCACCGTTGAGTGTCGAGCGCGATAGGTGGGCCAGATCAGCGGGGCTGGCGTATCGCTCAGGTACGAATGCTCGTGAGGAGAATGACCGTGCACGAGATATGATAGTCCGAGGGAAAAAAGAATGAGCTCTTTGATCACAACACCAGCTCTCTGAGATGCGTGAGACGACCCGGAAGAAGAGTCTACAGTTGCGCATGTGCTTCTTATACGACTAATACACTGCTTTATACACCTTCGACGACAAATATAACGAAGATAGCCTAAACCCAGAGATTGTCGGTTCCCGCATAACCCCTTCTGAATGTGGACACAAATAGAAAACGCCCTTCCAGGGACGGAGATGAACGAAAGCTCTCATCGAAGAACGAAGTACGCGGAGAGGAAAAGGGCGAGCAGGAGAAGCAATCGCGTTGAACCTAAATGGAGCAAGCAGGTCAAATGCTTGAAACGCCGATGAAGACCCTATTTTGCTCACCAGAGGCGTTTGATATTACGGACAACGCCTGCTGCCAATAGTTGTTGACGGTGTCGTGGTATACGATTTCCTTCGGGGAAATCGATCGCGCTCCGTGTGGTGTAGATTGTCCGCTATCCTCCGAATCAAAGTGCTGATAACCGGTAAATTGGCGCTTGGGCACGAGTTCCAGGAGGCGGGAATGGGACTGATGTCGATCATGACTCGTAGGATACGGGGTAGAAGGTCCGGATGACGTCGAAGAACTGGAGCTGAAGGTGCTGGACGTCGTGGTGGATGACCACGACGACCCGTTGGACGAGCCTCGCGTGAATGGCGGCCTTCGAGGATGGAAATCGAAGGCGGATGCCGAAGGGGAGTGGTACACGGGGCGGGAGGGGTCGGGGGACGACGTGCGCGTGGTGGGCCAGCTTGCGTTGGGGAAAGCAAGACTCGGCTGGTCGACTATCGGTTCTCCGTCGTGAATGGGCGAATTGAGGTGATCTGAGGACGGGTGGTGCGAGTCGTACGACCGCGAATGCCTCGCCCCCAAATGCACGCCGGCATAATGCGCGTCAACGAGGGCGGGATGAATTTCATACAAGACAGCGTCCGAATGAGCGTGGACGAGGTGAGGGTGGTGAGGATGAGAGCCGTCCTCTGCGTCGTCGAACAACGGGTTGAAGTGGTGGTGGTGATGGTTGTACGGGTCCGCGCCGCCGTCGAAGGTATAGGCGTGGTGAGGATGGGGCATGCTGTGGCCGGGCATATTATCGATTATCCCTTGCGCCGCCGGGGGCCAAACCACTGTAACTCGGTGCGTGAAACGAGGCGAAGAGGTTGCTTATGTAGGACCGTGCATGAGGGCGCTGCCGATCCAGCGGGCGCGCAGTAACCTTGCTGATCAGACAGACCGGGGCGGCACGGCTTTACACACCTTCTCCCACGTGAATCCGGAGGATATTGACAGCCCCCCTGCAAATGCGAATGTTTGGATGCTTGGCTGAACTAGGGCTGAACAAATATTAGATCGAAATCCGCTGCAGGGAGCTGGCACGCGTTTGACGATGCCGAAGGTCTCGGGATGGTCAAGTTCAGGATTCCGGTCGGTTCGGTGTATCGTCAGGACGAGATGACTGTACCCATTGACGGATCGAATGAAATTAGACACCCTTATGAGAACGAACATGATTGGTCCGCAATGAACCGGGGATAGTCGGTCCGCAATGGCCGAACCCATGCCGATCCGGCAGCCTTTCGGAGTTCGATGCTCTACGCTCGGCGTCAAACTCTTGCATCGGCACAGGAGCGTTTCTTCCAACCCAATCGCGTTGTCTGCACTCGAGAACCCGTCATCGAATCAGGGCCCCAGTGCGTCATACGATGACTCGGTTAGTGTCATGGTCTTCTTCGACGATCTAGGTTCTAACAATCTGGTCATGATATTGATTACCATCCTCTGTTATGCACTGGAAAAAGGCGGGTGCCCCGCGCCTTCACCTTGCATTGCCATTGCACGAGTAGATTGCATTCTTAAAAAAAGAGTTTGACACGGTAAAAGCGCATCGCCACGAACTTAGCACCGCCACGGTTACTGATGCTTACTAATTACCGGCATCCGAGATACCTGAGCAAGCTCAGGTAACCATCCAACAATGCCTCAGTGTCGCAACTGTGCTTTTTAAGACCAGTCAAGTAGACCGGTTCGGTGCGCACGAATTCCGGGAACGAGCCGATGTCTATTTTCTTACAAGTGGATAACGGAGCTCAGTAATATGCATTCATGATGATAGTCATCGCGACGTGAATGTGCGGACGATCTCTGCTACTTCAGCCTTTGAATAGGGTTTCCGCAAGCTGACGATATGGCTCAGCGTGCGATCCGGATGTCCGACGGAATACAGGCGAACTCACAATCCGTCCATGCCCATGGCGCTCGACATGTCCGCATACTGTTGCCTCGCGTTGGCCGTGACGCTAAAGCTCCGAATGAGTCGTAGAGCAACCGTGCATCGTATCGTCACTCACGCTACTATTCGATGTCGGAGGGGATACCTCCCATCGGCTTCTGCTGCGCGAATCTTCTGAGTTGCTTGGAGGCCGTCGATCACTGGCCTGTTGTGGATTTGGATTAGCTGCAATCCGTCAGGAATCGCGCGACGATTTCTCACATTTCAAGACTGCAAATCGTTATTAGATACTTACTCTAGGAGACGACTGCGAGAGGCTCACTCACTCCATGAGTATCAGGTCGAATGCAGGAGTATCCGGTTCGCAAATAAGAGCATCTATCTTCGCAATGCAGTCTGCGCCGTCATTGGCAGTTATCTAGACATGCCAAGAAGATCCTTCGAGTACAAAAATGGGCCAAGTTATAGCGCTTACGACGTCGCAGTCCAAGCCCCTCAAGATCCTCGAGAGTAGTTTCTGATTGATTTTGTTGTCTGGGGAAATCGTCATATCTATGCGTAGAGCCCAGGTTGTGACTCACCTTCTACGACCAACACGCGCGGGCGCGAGGAGTGTTGCTGATGTTCGTGTACAAAGACGTTTCCGTGGCTGTTTGGTAGGATGTTCTGCGTGAAGCCGTCTGTTAGAATACTGAAGCCTGAAGCCTAGTCCAAGGATACTCGTAAGTATGAACATTTGCTAGTGAGCACAACGCATACTTCGTTATCGCTGCTCTCGTGTATGCGATCAAGCTGCCCGCGTTTGACTTTGATGTGGAATCGGAATACTGTTTCGACAGTTACTACTTCTGAGTGTTCGGAATTGACGGCAAAGCTTGCCTGTTCCGACGTCTTTCTCGCTCTGTAGACTTATTTTGCCACCCTGCAATTCAACTAACCTTCGCGATATCCAGAGGCCGAGCCCGATGCCACCGAACTCGCTAACACTACAGGTTAGCAGTGCTCGACGGATTCTTTCGACCAGCTCACCGATATGTCTTGGGCGAGGCTTGCGCAAATCTCCGAAAGATGCGGCTCTGCTCCTCGGCAGTCATGCCGTGACCTGTATCGCTGACGGCTACGTGAAGTAAGACTGGAGCACCCTCTTCGGAGTCGTTCGTGCAGTAATTTGAAACCTTGCAGAGAGGAAGAAGTTCGTCCCCTGGGGCCCCGTCATCTTGTTCCCCGTCCGGATCGTCTATGACTCGTGTTGCACCAAGTCGAACGCGAATCCGACGTGTCGGCATGTTCTCCGTGAACTTTATCGCATTGGAAAGCAGATTGACACAGCTGGCGAACGCCGTTAGCATAGCGATGACGAGACAGTCGTGAACCGACATCTGATTGAACCGGCCTTCGTCCCCTACTACGGCGCCGATATGATCTAATGACGAATCTCGCTCGTAGATGAGGTCGATATGCTTTGCCCGAACCTCCAAAGCAAATTGTTCTGAGATCAATGGCGCCACAGATCAGATACGAATTTTTGAATGCGTTAAGTTGACTCACTGATAGTGCATTGTATCGTCTCTTCAGCATCAAACTCCGTGTCCACGAGCGTAATCAGATGACCACCTAAGAGAACATGTCACAATCAGGTGTCATGCGTGGCGACTCTCACATACTGAGTTTAGATATGTGAAGCACGTCTATCTGACTATGAGCAAGTCAACCTCGAATGCTCATGTGGATATACGCACCGTCTTCTCAGAGTAAGGTGAGCACGTGGATAGGACAAGCATATTAAATGGCGCACCCGCTATACGTTTTTGATGTCTACTGCACAGGATGATGGTTTCAACCGCTTCCAAATCTTCGTCGAGGTCGGCTTGAAGTGGTTGGCAAAATTCTGCGAATTCCGACCACCGAGGGTCTTGCCGAAGATGCTCTTGTATGCTTTTGATGCGCCGGAGAGATTCTCCAAGAAGCTCTGCGCAGTTCGAGATCGCATTCAGTGGATTTCGGAGCTGGTGACATCAGGCATCAGTAGGTTTGCAACGTTTGTTTCCGAAGGCGTACTTCATGGCAAGTGATGTCGATGAACTGTTCTTGCAGCTGCCGATTCTGTTCCGCCTCTTCCCTATTTTCAGCCTCTTAGTCGTTACAGGACCACTCATTTGCGAAACCGCAACATGCCTTCGCGCACGTTCAGATGCCATAGACTCCCGTTGCAGTTCGCGGAGCATTGTGATATCGGTGAACACACCCACAAACCCCGTCTGAGGATCCCGTCAACTCACAGCACCCTGTTTAGAGTAAACCACTCACGCATTCGCCGTCGCCATCCAGCTCCGGCTGCAAATCATAACTTCAGAGCTATGTTAGGTCAGCGCAATCGGTCGGGTTAGAAACTCACGCGATATCAACGATCAGACCGGTTAAGCGATCGCGGATGCGAGTCTCCAAAGGCACGGAGAACCCTACACCCTCAGCAATAGCCTTGAGGTAGAGTTGAACCGCATGCTCGCGATCGTCGGGATGAAGCACATTGGGCCATTCTTGAGCTCCGTTGAGAATGCGTCATAGGCAATTCGGAGCACTCGCCTTCTAGTTCATCGAGACCGAGTTGCGTTGTTTGTAACCATCGTCGATTGGCATAGATAATTTTTCCTTCCCGATCACATCGGTGCACACCCACTGGAGCCATACGTGTAGGGTAGCGCAACTTATTCGACAATCCAAAGCGTACCTTGTAGCAGATCGCTGAGCCTTCGGAATGTCTCCCTGGATTCTTCCAAGGCCTGAGTACGCTAGTTCGACCGGCGTGTCATTCTTAAGTTGCAAGCAAGGAGTTCGCTTCAAACCTCTTCAACGCGAGCCCGGAGTTCTGATTGTATGGCAGCCCATTGGAGATGTGCGTGAGATCGAAGGAGAAGCTCCCTGGTCGAAAAGGGCTTCGTCAGGTGGTCTGACGTAGTGACGTAGTAAATCAGAACACGTTGAAGTCAGCAATGCGAGTAGAAGGCTGACCGTCAGCTCCCGCTATCAAGCTTTCTATGCCCGTCTTCTCTCCAGCATACGCGCTCAACAAGATGATGCGCATCCCAATGAACCGCTCATCACTTCGTATCGCTTTGACCAGTTCCTGGCCATCCATGCGAGGCATGATGACGTCGGATATCAGTAGATCATATGAGTTTGGATCTGCTTGCAACATCTCCCATGCCGCTTGGCCATCACCGACTTCGCAGACATCCCAGTACCTGGAGAGAATGCTCCGGATGAATGTGCGCATGTCGGCGTTGTCATCCGCGAGTAGTATGCGAGCGCGCGCGCGATTGCCGAAGACAATGGGAGGGAACATAGGAGTCGTTTCGCCGCTGTCTTCGTCGGACCATCGTTGATCAGGATCAACTTCAGTAGACGGGATGACGACTGGAATGAGCATAGAGTCCGGAATCTAGGGCCACAGTTCAGCGTAGCCTGTTTGAATGAGTATATCTCACGAACCACGTCGACTTTGCTATCATTGCGTGAGCTCCCTTTCTCTTCAGACGGCGGAAGCAAAGAATGAGATGGCAAATGAGAGTAACCCAGGGGCAAGCGAACTAGAAAAGCGAGAATGATGCATCGTGCAGAATGTTCATCTCATGTAACGTACTTTGGAAGGTGCTTCCTTTATCCGGAACACTGGACATGGCATGAGAGCCACTGAACGCCAGACCGAATGTAACTTGCTAACCTTTTCACGGTTATCTTTCCCCCATGCGCTTTGACAAGTTCGGCTGTCAGGCTTAAACCTATGCCTGATCCTTCCACGCTGCGCGCCCTGAGGTTCTCAATCCGCGTAAACCTGTCGAAGATAGTGCCAAGATGTTCCTTCTGTATACTGGGAAAAGCAGACATCAGGAGTGATAATGAGGTGACCATTGCGATGAAATATTACCCAATGCCAGTATCCGAGATCTCGAAAAAGAACTCATCCTCATGGGCGTAAATGTGGGCATGAATTCCACCCTCAAAGGTGAACTTGAAAGCGTTGCTCATGATGTTAAAGACAATCTGCGAAATATCAGTTCGGGGTTCCATGCCCCAGCACATGAACTTACCTGCTCCCATTTCTCGGTGTCCACCCACACCAAACAGTCATCCGAGGCACGATTATCCACTTTCAACTCCATCCCGGCATTCTCTATTGCGCTACGGAAGCAACAGACCAGCTCCGCGGTGACTTTTCCCAGAGACACAGGGGTGAATCGAGCACTGAGTTTACCCGCTTCGGCACGAGAGAACTGATGAATCGTCAGTTATGATTGCGATTGTCAATATCATGACCGCTTACTTCCAGGATGGAGTTGACTAAACGGAGCAATCTCTTAGCGTTACCGGTGATCAACGAGATCTGTGCTTGCTGCGACGGGGTGAGCCTCGTGTCGGAGCCCAGAACTTGCGCCGGACCCAGGATCAACGTGAGCGGCGTCCCTGGGTAGTGCGAGGTCAAATCCGATACCGTGTGTATCTCATTGCCAGTGAGGCATCGCTTACGAAGTTCGTGACTGACACCGGTGAAGAACGCAGTTTTGGCTCTGTCAAGTGCCGCTAGTTCCTCACTCCTGTAGGTATCGATGAGTGGGGATCTCGATCCAGTTTTATGATAACCCGGTAGCGTACCGTCGCACTTCGTCCTCGTAGCTTTTGACCATGGTCGCGCTTAAGCTCAACTGTCTCTCGAGAACAGACATGAACGCCTTGAACTGCGGTCCCCAAGGCGCAGCCGGGTTCAACAAGAAGATGGTGCATCCCAGTACTTCACAGCCATGCTTTAGCGGGATGCAGATAGCTCTGCTCGGACGAGCTCTCGCAACTCCTCGATGAGGTACGTCCGCGAGGAAGCGGTCCAGGACCTGCGCTTCGACCCACGTCCCAGTTCGGCACATCTTCCGAATAGCATCGTCCCACAAGATGTCGTGCACAGTCGGAGAAGCCTCGTCTTCGATGTCGATATCGATCCGCATTGGCGCGAGAGCGCAGCCAGCCGAACACCCGACAGTCTCCTCTAGGGAAAAATTGAATCGGGTCGACTCCAAGGACGCCTGTGAGTTCGATGTCATGGATGCAGATCCGACGGACGAAGAGTTGGAGGTGTTGAAAGCGTCGTCGTCCGTCGGCAAAATCGTTCGGGTGTACGCGAGGCAATACGGTAGGTCGTGGTCCAGCTGGCGAAGAACGTCACAGGACATGCGGCATAGATCGGATATACGTCTAGCGCTCAGCAGCCGAGATCCTAGGTCGGATAGAGTGGAAATACGTCGCATGCCGATGGGATCTTGTTTCTGTGATTGTTCGTATAATATGAGCTGAATAGCGATGACTTCATAATCGTCGTATATAGGTGTATAAGACCACGACGCGTAGACCTGGCTTCGACATCAGACCAATACACTCGTCCTGCCAAATCGCGCTCACCTCCTCAAGACTATTGGGTCCGTCTGAAAGGCGATCGAAGAATAGCAAATCGTTCTCACGATAGTAGCTTCGGCCCTGAAGAGCCTGCCTCAGAGGCACTTCGATCGAATCCCATATCTCAGCCCAGACCTCCTCCGCAGGTCGTCCCAGAGAGCGAGGATGTTTACCTGGTCCGAGTACAGGTTTGAACGCGTCGTTGTACATCACCAGGTGCTCTTCCCCGACGTACAAGGACATAGGTGTGGGGTTGCGAAGCATGCAGCCAACAAAACTGACCAGAGATTGCGACCACGTCTCGAGCGCGCCCAAGGACGTAGATGCCCAATCGAATCCCCTGACGAGGTCGCCCATCTCACCTCCGCCTGTCTGCATGCAGATGAACCTCTTCTGCTCGTACCAAGGAAGACGGATCATCGGCCGCGCTGTAGGTTCAGGCACGGACAGTACATTTTGGGATTGGTGATCCTGGCCCACGACCAAAACGCGCTCCCCATCCCCGGTGACAGTCCACAAGAGCGCCGAACCCGGCCCCGCCTGCGGGAATTTGGTCACCAGCCTCGACGGAACGTCTGCGAAGTCGTGAAGTCGCGTCGTAACTTGGGAGATCAGGTCGCCCCCTGAGATAGCATGTGTCGCTGCCCAAGCCTCGAGAGAAGGGTTCGAGTATAGGAGTTGACCGATGGAATCGAAGAGTAGTGCTGGCAGTCGGTAGATATGTAGGAAACCAAGGAGGTCGTTGTCAGAGCACATACCGCCCCAAACCGCGATAGTGGCGGGGTACAAAGTGCAGCAGTAGGGATCGACACTCTTGTGAACTATAGGGGCCTCAACTCGGGTTGTACCGAACCTGCGACCGTACACGCTACAGCTGCATTTTTTCGTGCATTTGACATCGGTACGACACTCGTCCATGATATTGAAATTGTTCGGCCGGCTATTCAACGGCCGGTGCGACTACCCAGTTTACATAGTTACGCCGGGCGTCGGAACACGCCCTCATGCTCTAGGCTTTCAACATGTGTACATATGTCGGAAAATCGGTGGGACGTTGCGGTGCTGCGCCGGGAGGAAGTGGCAGAGAAAGGGTGTTTTGACTGTGGGGATAACCAACACACCGGTGCGCTAGCCATACTCGGGTCTCGAAAGTAATTCCATTGCAATAATTATCGCCATGGATGGCAGATAGAGGCTACCCGAGCGGCGATCTTGCAGGGCAGAGTATCCCGTTTTAGCATGGCGGTGAAACGTAATGATTACTCTATTTATACACAAATTATACAGAGAGGGAGAACTCAAAACAGAGAATCGATCAACAGCGCAGTACACGATGCTTCCAACATGGGGGCTTACCAGCTCGCATATGGGGAGACGACGAGTCCTTCAGTGCGGACTGCCGTCGATGAATTCCGCGATGTATCGGATCATATCCGCGGTCTCTTCACCGACGGGTCGTATCCATTCCTCAGGGAGCGCGAAGCCGTACTGTTTTACGTCAAGCGGGAGAAGCGGGGCTAAAGCGGGAACCGCGTACCGTGCCAGTGTCGCGCAGATGGGCGGCGAACGCGTATTTGACGCCCGCCTTGGCGTGCACCCAGTCGAGGACGTTTCCGCGCGCGCTGGGATGGTACGGTGTCAACGGAGCGTCGATCAAATGCGAAAAAGGATAGCTTACGGATAAAGCGTTTCGCAGAGTCGGCCAGCCTGAACGATATCCCCACAAGAGTGAGCCGATCATCATGGGCGCTGCGAGGGCATGATGGTGCGCTCACCGTGTAGACAGTACCGTAGCTTTTCTTCATGGCGCTAACGGCGCCCACAGCTGCCTCGAGTTGGTCCTCCGAGTGCGCTGGCTGCTTCTTGCACGAGAACGAATAAGGCGTGCTCACTGACGATCGGAGGTGAATCAGCGCCTGTGCGATCGCGACGGACGAAATGAAGACGTACGCATCTGCCCGTAGCTCCGTAGTTCGGCGAAGGCCTCGAGGTCGGGGAGCGTTGCGATGAAGTTGGCGATGTTGTTCACCTCGGGCGATTCGAAGGGGCGATGGCCCGGGTACCATTGCGAGCAAGGCGACGCAGGCGGCTTCTTTGCTTTCTTCTTCTTTTTCAGGTCGTCCCACATCGCCTCGTCGTTGGTGGCTTCGCCGGATGATCGAACGTCTCCGAGAATGGTGGGACCTGTGGGCATGTGCGGCGCGGTCTTCTTCCATTTGTAGCCCCAATTACTACAGAGGGCAGGTGCAAGTTAGAATGAGTTCGCAATTCTCGAGGAAGAACTCAGACGTGACTCCCGGCAATAATTGGGGTACGTGATCAAGCCCGTCATCAAAATGGTTTCGAATGAACAAAAAAGTGCAGAGGAGAACGGACGCTCACCGATTCATGTCGATACCGAGGCACTGAGCGTCTTGATCAGGCTCCGTCATCTGAGTATAGGCGTCAACCTTCTTTCAAATGAAACTGGATCGATGGAATATGACGCACCTGGCGGTTCTTGTACCAGAACCTGTCGCCTTGGGGATCCCAGGTATATGCGTATCCGTCCGGATTGGGTACCGGGATGATGTAGAAGGTCTGACACGACGTATTCATATCGATGCGACGCAAAGAGCGGGGTATATGCGCACGAATAGATCGAGCAAGTCGCCCATGAGTCCCATGTCGGAGTTGTTAGAGGCGAGAGCGTGGGCGAAGTAAAGCGCCGATGCCGTTCCTATCCACTGAGCATAGTGTAAGCACCTTAAGACGACGGAGAGGAACGGCAACGCGCGCACCTCTCGGGCATGCTGCGGGCCCATGATGACGAAACCAAGCTTCCGGCCTCTCTTCTTCTTCGCGTTATCGCGTCTCCGATGAACAGGGTCGTCCCTGATGAACGCCGGCGTCTCTTCCACAGCGCGTCCGATGGTCAGCGCACGCATTTCCCGTCCTTCCGCGCTGAGTCCTAGCGTTGTCACTTGCGTCACGTTCGGGTGCTCGTCCACCAGACGGTCGAGGAAGTCGTCGACCTCCTCCAGCGAGTGATACTTTCGATGGAAAGCGTTCAGTTTCTTCATCGTCTTCACGTTGTCATCGCGTCGGCGCGGATTTGGAAGCGGATCGGCTATGGGCACGGAATGGAGGAGGAGGAGCCCGGGATCGCTCAGGAAGTAAGTATGGTTCAAGGTAGCCGTCGCTGCTGGCGGGAAGAATACGTCTGCGTAACCCTGTTCTGAAGAGAGGTGCCATACGTCGAGATGATAGGCCTATGGAGATGGTCAGCCTTAGGGTATGCGCCTTGCACGCATATGCTCGCCTCGGCTAGCCATGCCAGTCGCTCGATGCTTTCCTCCGTCCGAACTGCGACGCGCTGGAAGGTTCCCGGGTCAATCGTGCCGATGCCATATTCTCCATTGAATGCGGCGCGGTCGGGACGCAGAGGTGTCTGGTGTTGGTCTGCCGCAGACGGTCGTGCGACCACCACCAGGACGGCTGCCCATAACGCGAGGATGGGGTGATCGAGCAAGTTCATCGTTCGCTGGCGCTCGGTGCAGGCAGCAAACACCCAACAGTCATCGAACTGTCGCAAGATTATCGCGTTGTGTTTATAACTGCAGCCTCAGGGTCGAACTGAAGGGTTCGAAAGCCAAAACGGCCGACGCGTGGGGAGAGGAGCCGGTCACAGCCCTACATACGTTCCCGACCGGAATCATCAGCTGGTTCCTTCGCTTTTCTGTTCAGAGGTGCTCCGTTCATCGTTCACATACATTACGGAGGCAATCGCATACTGCGCATGCCTCACGGGCTTAGACGTCACTCGAGTTTCTCGCGGGGCGGTATTCCGCCAATCATGATCTCATTGCACAACCCTCCGTAGAAAAACCTCTACAGAACCCAATGCCATACCACCGTCGTCTACGCGCTCGCGCGCCTATTTGGCGGGGGTGAACGGGATGTTGTCGAGCTTGGAGACGAACGCGGCCGCGGCCTGGACGAGGGGGTCGGTCGGGTTGCTGGTGCCGCCCGCGACGCAGTCGCTGAGGCCGAGCGCCTTGGCGACGCTGCAGTTGGGGACGGCCGTGCCGTGGCCGCACCCGCCGGAGCCGTTGGTCTGCGCGACCGCGGGTCCGGCGCACTTGCCGGTGGAGAAGCCGCAGCAGCCCTGCTGGCAGTCCGAGTCGGCCGCGCACGTCTCGAAGACGGTGCTCTTGCTGGCCTGGTCCGCCGCGGGTGCAGCGGCGGCGGGGGCGGCCGCAGCCGGGGCGGCCGCGTTGTTGGACGCGGAGGAGCCCGAGGCGGGGGTGAAGGGGAGGCCGTCGAGCTGGGCGACGAACGCGGCCGCGGTCTGGACGGCGGGATCGGCGAGGTTGCCGTTCACGGCGCCGGCGATGCAGTCCTTGAGGCCGAGCGCGGCGGCGACGTTGCAGTTGGGGGCGGCGGTGCCGTGGCCGCATCCGCCGGAGCCGTTGCTCTGCGCGACCGCGGGGCCGGCGCATTTGCCAGTGGCGAAGCCACAGCAACCCTGTTGGCAGTCCGAGTCGACGGAGCACGGGCCAGTGACGAACTGGTTGCCGCGACGCGCAAGGGAGTAGCGCGAGGGAAGCTCATGACGAGCTTGGACGCCGAGGGCGACTGTGATATAAAAGGCACCAACGGTCAGGAACAGCACACCGAGGAGATGTTAGCGATACATACCGAGGGAGAGGGCGACAAAAGAGGTGGTGAACTTCATGATTGGTTTTCGTGAAAAAAGGGGTGGGCGCGAAAAGGAATAAAAGCTGCGCGAGAAGGAACGTGGGTGGAAGGTGTAGATGAGATCGACCAGTCGACTGAGGAACGACGGAGTGCGTCCCAGGTTTATATACCCCGCGCGGTATGGCCAGTCATCAGCACGAAGTCAGCCGTGTGTTATGCCATGTTGTGCCTCGTTTCCATGCCACATTTCTTTTGGCGACGCGTTCGAGAGGAGGATCGCGATCCGACAGGTCCGGAGGCACAGCGTTCTGCTTCGATCGGAGGTCTGATGCCGCCTTCCCCTGGCCCGCACCAAGCAGGTCTGTTGCTGTCTATTGGCAGTGATGCAGGATCGAGAACGTTGCTTATTCGGAGGGGCAGACGCTTAGCCAGGCCGGGTGAGGGCGAAACCTTGGTGCGCGGCATTGCTACGTCGTGCTACAGCAACATCAAGACCACTACAAATGGTGAACCCATGGTCAGCAGAAAATCAGCCGGCGGTTAGCGTTCGTCGCGCTGGATCGGGATCCGGCGCGGAAGCACAGCATCTTGAGTGGGGTTTTGATTGATCGGATGCGGGCTCTGCCTTTACTTAGCGTTGGTTGCGCCGCGCGCATAATCATCACATGGTGTTTTTGCGGTGATGAATCGGACGACCAGAGATGCGTAGCTATCTCTGCATGCAGCAAGGAGGAAACCGTTGTGGTGTGCAGACCCAGGAGGGGTTGGTCGAAGGTAGCGCGATCGAACAACTCCGCGTTCTTCGTGCATGCGTTGGGAACCGTGCTTCTCCTCCGAGCAACGACTGTGCGTGATGTGCTTGATACGCGGAACTATGCGCGGTATGGAAACTGTTGGGAAGATGAGAATCCTGGTAAGCAGTATGGGCCGTCGGGCAACAAGCACCGACACCGAGAGCAGGCAAAAGCAGATCGTCGCGGCTTCAGGTCATGAGTATGTATGACTTACACGCCGACCGTGGACGCTTGGGTCGAAGGAGGAGAGCATCGTCACCGACGCAGAGCATCCCGGCAAGTGGCTGTGTGCCGAACCAACCTCATACAGCTGGCTTCGTCCCCATCGACACGACGCTCTGGGTCATCTTCCATCTCGCTGGATTAGCCATGTAAATTTGGTACAACAACAGTTCAGCAGTCCTCTGGTTTGCTGGAATCGTGCTTGCTTCCAGGGTATACATACACATGCTGCGCATCAGGCGCTCCAAGTTTGTTTTTAAAAGATGGTGGCGTTCTGAGGAGATGCTCGAGCGCGTCACGTTCAGTCATGCTGCGCTCAATCCGCATGCTCTCACAGCTCGCAGCAACATTATCGGGAAGGCCAGGAGCTGCTCCCGACGAGTGCCGTGCTCCGCCTCCGGCGGGAACGATCCCGAGACGATCCGGAGCTTCCGTCCAATGAACGAACGCGCCTTGCAGCCACCTCTCCACTCGCATTAGCTACTTCCTACGAGCGGTATTGATTGTTCTATGTGAATGGCTGTTGCAAGATGACGCTCGACGGATGTCCGCTGAGGTTCCTGTTCCTCCCAAACCCGACCACTCACGGCGCAAACCCTTGGCCTCACGCCTCGTCATGCACGCCCATTGCATTCTATATAAGCTCCTGGACGATCAATGCACCTTTTCCTATCAAGCAAAGAGCGCTTCGACAACCCCCACTCAGTCTCGGATTCTTCTTACTAGTTACTAGCCTCCTAAATTTGGTCCACAAAGGACTGCTGAACTATAACCTCAGACTTCTCTCAGTAACTGTCCCGTCGAATAACCATGTCGGACAGCCAGAAAGACAAACAACTGTCTGCCAAGCCGGCCAATCTAACGACCTTCTTGGGTAGGGTCACCTGCATTCTCAGATTGATATTAACCGCTCACCACTTCTATATAGTTGATTTTTTGATGGGTGGCACAGCGGCCTCCATATCGAAGACTGCAGCCGCTCCCATCGAGCGCGTCAAGCTGCTCATCCAGAATCAGGGCTCCATGATCGCCGCCGGTCGGCTCGAACGCCCTTACACTGGCATCATCGATTGCTTCCAGCGCACATACAACGAAGAAGGGCTCAAGAGCCGTAAGTAGCCAGTCAGATAGGCAATACTCATACATTCAACGTCTGTGCACAGTCTGGCGCGGAAATGGCACCAACGTATTGCGCTACTTCCCTACCCAGGCTTTGAACTTTGCCTTCAAGGATACGTACAAGAAAATGTTCGGATTCAAGAAGAACGAAGGGTACGCTCTCTGGCTCATGGGTGTGTATTCAACACGCTTTCCCTTCGACGCTGACCTGCTGATCACGCGCGTGATTATCAGGTAACGTTGCCAGCGGCGCCGCAGCCGGGGCCTCCTCGTCCATCTTCGTATACTCGCTCGATTAGTACGTCATGATGATACATGTGAATCCTCTCACGTCGTACCCACCGTATTTCTATATCCACCAGCGCGAGGACTCGTCTCTCGGCCGACCTCAAGTCGGCTGGCACAGGCGGCCAGCGTCAATTCAACGGCCTGATCGACGTCTACAAGCAGACGCTCAAATCCGATGGCATCGTCGGCCTCTACCGTGGCTTCGTCCCCAGCGTCATCGGCATTATGATCTACCGCGGTTTCTAGTAAGCCCCGATTGGTGTCGGTACCTCGCTGCGACCGTTGACGGAGTACGTTTCTCAGCTTCGGCGGCTATGACACCATCAAAGGCACCTTCCTCGTCGGCCCGCTCCAAGGCAACTTCTTCGCCTCCTTCGCCGTTGGCTGGCTTTGCACTACGGTGAGCCCAACGATGCGTACCTCGTTAACGATCGATTGATAGGCTCACGCTGTCCTAACAGGGTGCGGCGCTGGCCGCCTACCCGCTCGACACCATCCGCCGCCGCATGATGATGACGAGCGGCAACGCCGTCAAGTACAAGAACTGGATCGACGCCGGGAAGCAGATCGCGGTCAAGGAGGGACCCAAGGCGCTCTTTGCCGGGGCCGGGGCGAACATCCTCCGCGGCGTAGCCGGAGCCGGCGTGCTCGCCCTGTACGACAAGTGCGTGGCCGTATGAGCCGATACGGTGGTGATTATGCTGAAGCGGCTTTCGGACAGGTTCCAGGAGCTTGCTTGGGGCAAGGTGTATGCTGCTGGATCGGGCTGAGAGCTAAACAAAAGCTCGCGTATACCCTCGCCGACGAAAATTCCGGCGACGCAAGCCATATTCTTCACGTCCCTTCCTTCCGTTCCTGAATCCTGGGCTGGCTTCGTAGACGTGGCCAACGTCTTACTTTTATACAACAAAAATCACTATCTGATCGATAATCCTACAATTCCGGCAAGAGCGTACTATCTGCCAGCTAGCGCCATACCAGAGCCCGACGGCCTTGTACCTCTCGCTTCTGAGCCTTGCAGCAACGCCAGCGGCACGTCGTCGTAACCGGCGAACCCCCCCGTCCAAGCGCCGTCGTAGGGCTCCGGGTCGACGATCGTCCTCGCGAGCCCCGTAGTCGTGAACCGCGTGTCCAGTACGGCGTCGGCCGTGCCTTCCGCGGTGGACGGGACGAGGGCGTGCGAGAACGTCGAGTACGGGGTCGGGGCGCCGGCCATGCGGATGTTGAGCAGGATGCGGCAGCATAGGATGGAGTGCAAGACGCGCAGGAGGCTGGAACGGGGGAAGAAGAAAAAGCCGTTGAGACCGAACCCAGACGAGGCAAACGTGAAAGGAGCGCACGTGTCGAAGAGATCGAGATATTCCCTCTGCGAGACCATCAGGATGGATGTGATGAAGACGAACGAAGCACGCACTGGGCCGGTGACTAGCATGAGGACTTGCGCCAGGGAGCATACTTGACATCTTTCATCAGTACAGCAAATATGGGCTCCGCGAGTGGACCTACGTGCAAGGATGACGAAGAAGAAGATGCCTGCCTTCCGATGAGCGCGAATACAGTGATTAAGACGTCGAAAAGTCTCACCGTCACGATATAACACCTTCAGCAGGGGATTCCGCAGGCCAGATCTCGCAGCTATATATATACACGAAGGCGTAAGCCGACCGCACTTCTGAGTAGAATAGTGTGGTACTCGCGTAAACGTCGGTGCTGGAGGTAACGTCTGATCGTCATGACTACAAGAACTTTAGGTGGTTCATCAGTACGCGGGGATACTTTTCAGCGTTTGCGCACAAGCCACGTTACCTGTCTCGATAACTAGTAACGAAGCGAAAGTCGCGAATATGACGGGACTGCCATCGGTCAGATAACATCCAGGGATGAAGCTGATGCTTGCGGGCGGATCCTCGTCTGCAAAGTGATGAGCGCGTTATCACCTGGATTCCGATTGCATTCGCACTCGCACTCACAAACCAGTGACTGGGTAAATTTGTATATCAGCGGAATGTTGCCTGTTGTCCATATCTGTGGACGTGGGTGAGCGATGACAGTCGAGACAACAGAGCCGAGACGAAACGGCGCACGATCCATAATATGCCGAGCGAGATCAGGACTTTGCGCGAGCAGTCGTAGATGGCATAAGTTCTCATTAGCAAGATCACTGCGAGAGAGGCGTCGGCTCCTAATCCGAAGTTTCCGAAAAACAGTGGCTCACGTTCGGCGATTCCCATTCCAACGCCCGTTGACCCTAGATCGATGTCGTCAAAGCCAGAACCACGGCGGTAGGATGAAGGAGACGGACAGGTCGATATTCGATAGTTCGTTAAGCAACCCTGAACGAGACCTTGATCAGCGCGCTAACGACATGTCTGATATGCTGTTCGGAACCTTCGGCGTAATGGAGGGTGAAATATAATCTGCGCAGAGGTCACGTCGTGTTCGGTTTACCGAAGCCAGGGAGAGTCGCTCACATATCAGGTTCAGAGGCGTGTCGAGGAAAGGGGAGTATCGACTGAGGAGAAAGAGAATCTTGGTTGCACCCCAGTTCGTGAACCATATGTACTGTATCTATGGGGAGGATTCCCAATGAGGTGAATAGGACGCGGAAGTCGAGGGTTGCAACGGACCTCGTCCAGGGATGTCGCCAGCCAATCCGTCACCTAGTAGGATGAATATTCCGGACATGTAACTGGGATTCTGGAGCGCACCAATAACGTTGCGCTCGCCACTGCAGGTCATGACGAGGAGATAAGATCACGGCTCTCGCGGGGGCTGACAGCCGTCAACGCACCTTGCATGTACTGCCGGTTACTGGTCAGTGCACGGGCTATCGTAGCATGGTGAACCGAGAACGCACCCGGACGACCTGCAACCGTACGGGGTCGAGGACGACATCGCCCATGGACGAGACCAAGGTTGCAACAGGAGCTCAGTCGAGCGCCTGCTCGGTCGCGATGCCTCCAACCTCCTCTGCCATCAGCGTATCTCGGCACCCAGCTCGGCTTAAGCTCCAGGGGCATCAAATTAATATTGGGGAGGCGTGGGAACGGTACTTGCCAAGTCGCAAGCTTCGGTCAGTAGGTATGCGTTCGTCTTGCATTCGCCCTGTCGATGAGAGCAAGCGGGCTATTTGCCTTCGTCTTCCGGTGCTACTGACTTGGCGATAACGACGTAAAGGTCGAAATGTGAAGGCAGGCGACTCAGCCACCCCGGAACCTGCGTTCGCCGGTCACCAGTGACGATGAAGCGCGACACATGTCCCGCCCACCTGGGCGTTCTCGGGATCGCCATGAGGTCGCTCGGATTCAGTGCTCTGGTGGTGAGGGACACACTTGGCGTATGACTGGTGGGGGTCGCCATCGCGAGCTCGTCAATCTTGAGCCGAACATCCCGCGTGCACAAGGACGGACCTCGGAGGAGCCTGTCTGTCAGTCGAGGACAAGTCGTGGACGTCTAATTTGGTGATCTCGGGTGGCACGTCAACTTCTAACCAACTGACGCACGCCGCGGCGGGCAAGATTCTCAACTGGCGGAAGTGCGCCGTATAAAATCGCCACGACGTCGGGCAACGACCCACCTCTTCAGTACCTGCGATCTCTCACCTTCTCCGCCGCCAGCGATGCGCGCCTTCACTCTCTTTTCTCTCGTCTTCTTGGCGACCCCGTCGACCGCGCGACCCCTTCGTTACCATACCACTCATCTCGCAGTACGTTCCCATGGGCACTCATCGTACCTTTCCGTGCCAAGCTAACTATCGACGCAGACTAAGACGAACCCCTCTTCGGCCACCCAAACCCTTCAACCATCTGCCTCTATATACTCTGACGCCGATGCCGACGCTGCCGTTTCAGCTAGGTTTCCTGGCCATCTTGCCGACTGGCGCAGACACGACGTCGAGGACTGTGACGAAGAGGCCAACAGCACCTCCGTCTCACTAGGCTCAGGCGGTCACTCCTGGTCTTCGGGCCCTAGCGCCAACGACATCTTGCATGATACCATCCAGGCATTGGACGCGCTTCTAGCGTCGGTAGTCCATGGCTCGGACAATCTCGTGAAGGACTCGCTCCGCGCCCTCGAGCCTCCAGTTGCCGCCCTCTTGGACTTGGTCAACGGGTCGCTCGGCGTGTCGTCTGACTCAGATTCGGGTGCGAACAAGGCTCTTGGTGACCTCAGCGCCGCCATAAGTGCCTGCCTAGGCGATAACGGCGATCTCCACATCTCTGCATCGCTCAGCGTGGATATCAAGGGACTTCTTAAGGGACTCGACAATCTCCTCGGCGCTCTCGGATCTGGCACCACTGGCGCTGTGACCACGGCTCTCGCGAGCCTGATCCCGGCTGTTGAATCCCTTGTCGACGACTTGCTGTCCGCCTCTGGCTCTCTTGTAGGCATTGCCGGTGTCGCTGTCAACGGCACGCTTCCCGACCTCAACGCTACGATTGTGGCTGTCTTCAGCGGTCTCTCCTCCGCTCTCGACCAGATCTTGGGCGTTGCTAATTCCGATTCCAACAGCGCTCTCGAGAACGCCCTTCGCGGCCTTGACTCGGCCGCTGGTGAGCTGGAACCGCTCGTCGCGAACGTTGGCAACTATACCACTGGTATCGCATCTACCTCTGTGATCGCCGTCAATGTTGCGCTTCAGAACCTCACCGCCACCCTCGACGCCCTGCTCGCCGCGGATGTTCAGCTCGACGTGGACGCCCTCAAATCTTGCACCACTCTCACCGTTGACGTCGACGGTCTCGAGAAGGCTCTCGGAGACCTCTCGAGTGGCTTGCTGGTCGGAACCGGAGAAACGGTCGACTCTGCCCTCAAGAATCTCGTCCCCACTCTGCAAACCGTGACAGGTGACTTGGGTGTTCTTACCGCCGGCGCCGCCACGGGCTCCGTGGACTTGCTCTCTGGCACGGCCGCCGCTTTGAACGACACTGTCAACGACGTTCTCGGCTCGCTCGACCAACTTCTCGGCGGAATCGCGTCCGGAACCGGGAACACGGTGAACGCTGCGCTTGGAGACCTCAGCAAGTCCCTTGCCAAACTCTCGCCCTCTATCGATGCACTCCTTGATTCTACGGACGGCCTCGCATCGGGTACCGTCGACGCCGTGGACGCCGCGCTCAAGCACCTCATCCCCGCCGTTGAGCAGCTCCTCAACGTCAACCTCGGGCTTTCGGCTGGCTCGTCCTCGCACCTCTCGGCCGACCTCGACGATCTCGTTTGCGCGCTCGAACAGGTGCTCGACGGCCTCGTCGACGGTACCGGAAGCGCACTCAACATCGCGCTTGGAGACCTTCCTTCCGCGCTGGACGCCGTCGTGGCCGACCTGACCGCCCTCCTCGGGCTCTCCGCGTCTCCGTCCGCGAGTGCCACTGCGAGCGGCGCATCCGGATCGGTGGAGCCTTGCGATTGCGAGGACGGGACCAACTTGAATGTTGGCCTTGGCCTCTGATGCGGCAACACCCTGGCTGGTGATTATCATGTTCTCGAAATATTAGACTCTTATGTCTCGCATGTTTTCACATCTGTATGCTGTCTTAACTCTCGTTTAATTGATTGACTTCTCGTCGGGATATACGTACTGTCGGGGCAATACATGACGCGCGCTTGCGATAGTACCGTCACTCGAGATTTCCACTCCACGGCGGTGATATGGCCTATGGCGAAATGCACAACAGCTTCCATGCAATGTCTCTAGTGGATATACATGGAATATCCGTACTAGGCATCGTAATAAAACGGTGCAAGCTGGAAGAAGCGCTCCCGAGTGAGCTCGAGGAGGGCGGAGCGCTTGTGCGGAAAGTCGAAGTGCTTCGTGACCTGAAGCCGTCGTGAGTCGGCTTGCGAAGAAGACCCGTTCAACTCCGTGATACTCACGCAGAAGCCGCCGAACTTGCACAGGTAGTCGATCACTTTCGTGTTCGTGGCTCGAGGCTCCATCACTATGCGCTGCGTCCTCGAATCTGCGAGGAAGAGGTAATGGAGGAGAGACGATACCCATGCTCTGCACGATGAAGCCGTTGGTTTAGGTGTGAGGAAACAGATATGATGCGGCGTTCACTCACTGGACTATATGCGGGCCACGATATTTTTCGTCGCCGACGAGGATATGCATTCCGCGGTCCCATTCACTCGCCTAACATCAAACGATGAGCACAGATAGACTAACTGTCAACGCTTCGTACTTGGCCAGGCCCGACGAACGGGCCTATGTTGTCTTCGTATGCCCAGTAAAGCTCGGAGTACATGAACGGAATACCGTCTAGCATTCCGTAGGCGGGGATTTGGTGCGGGTCTGCGATGTTCTGATAACGATGGGGATTATAGGCAATTGGCATGGGCGTACCTGCTTCGGCATTGTTCAGATATGTCTTGTGGTGCTCGATTGGCCCTGACTCTCCCCATGCAGCAGCTACTCGAGGATTCTATGGACGCCACCTGTCAGTTATTAAGACGTTACGCTTTTTAGGTATGCTGACGCCGTACATTGTGCCATTCATGGAATAGTGCAATGTCTTTTTCCGATTTCGGATCTACGACTCGCAATTCGAACCATTTCGAGAGATGCGGGATGTATCGTTTGTATATAATGCTTCCGTCTTCAGGCTTTGGCGGTCGCAGCGGGTGACGCCTCCCATTCGAGACGACGTGGAAGAGCGGGAAATCCGAGCCGCTCGGGCCAGGTAGGAATCCGAGTACCGGGATTTGCCATATGGAAGAGCGAACGAGGGTCACTCCGTCCTCCCGCCCCGGGGTAGGGATGCCGAGTCCAAGTTTCAGGATACTATCTCTAATTTTTGGGTGAGATGCCGCATTCAGAATGATTGGGATGAACTCCTGCGAGCGGTGCAGGGAGAAGAGAGCGAAGACAGCCGATGCGATGGAGGGTAAGTCCAATGCCGACGCGGTTGTCTCCCATATGTAAGTGTCGCCGGCGCGTGCTATGCGTGCGGCGAGAGTGTTGTCACTTGGGTCTGGGAGCTTGTCACTGTTTCGTGTAGGATGCAGACGACAAACTACGTCTACCGCGTTCGGGTCATCGTTGGAAATGGTGAGCACCTCGGGTGATCCGGGGTCGCCGGCACAGACAAATAATTCTTCGAAGGGGAGAATAACCTCCATTACTTGACTTCGAGGGTGCTTGGTGAACCCGTATTGATTCGGTTATGAGAATGCGGCCGTTGTTCTAGCGAACTGTTGTGCAATATATGATCAACGACTTGGACCGGAATTCTATCGGTCAATTAAGCTCGTGGGTCATAGCAAGGATCTTACGGGAAAAGATGTACCTGCAGGATGCCTTTGCTGTCGTGGCCTGAGTTGAAGTGCACGTAGGCACCAAAATCTGGGATGAGCGGGAGGTGGTAGATCATATCATATCAGATAAGCGGCGGAAGAGACGTTTCCACGCCACAGCACGGATCGGGCTCCGTGCTGGTCGGAGGTCTTCCCACCACGTCTATCGTGCACTGGAAGTATGGAACTTGTTCGTCCAGTCTCCGTCTCGACACAGTCGATCGTATAGTATACACAACATTGGAACAGGAGTGTGCATGTAACCTGTGGTCATAACAGCCGCGTGGGCGCAAGCCTGGACGAAGGCACTTCGAGGTCTTCGCCGAGGGAGTCTTCGCGATGTAGAAGGGACGACAGCGTATGCGGCACTCCTTCTGATAGCATACTTGCCAGCTGACCATTCTCAGGGAATATGGATAAGCCTCTTCACAGCATGAAGTACTTGGTTTAATGACCAGCGGGTGTGTCGGACGAGGGCCGCTCTGCGCTCGCGATCCTGAACATCATGATCGCACCCATAGTGCTTCTTCGTTTGTCGACATTGTCTCTCCTGTGCAATTTAGTGGCAGTTTTGGGAGCCAAACTGAACCTGGATGTCCTGCCAAAACCGCTATCGTGGACGGTCTCGCCCTCCGGAGCGGTCTTCGACCTCAAACGCCCCTTGTCCATCGTCGTCGATAGCGCATTTGCCTCGGAATCGACCAACTCTACCCTCAGCCTGATACCGCCCACTCTCCTCAACTTTGCGCATACTTTCGCTACGGACGTCGAAAATACGTACGGGTCGAGAGCGTCGGTCATCACCGCCCATTCCGCACTCTCGACGGGCATTTTCTTGACTGTCGCCCCCACAAACCTCACCTTGGCCGATGGATCTCCCTCAACAGAATCGTACACCATATCGTCTTCGTCAAAACTCGTCTCCGTCAGCGGTGCGTCACCGCTGGCCGTCTTTTGGGCTACACGCACGATACTGCAAACCGCCGTGTTGAACGATGGGATCTTCCCCGCCGGCGATGTTCTGGATGGACCGGATTATGCTATACGGGGTCACATGTTGGATGTAGGGCGTCATTGGTACTCAGCGGGGGTAGGTCGATGCGCGACGTATATATTCAACGTTACTGACAAGTCGCGCTCTAGTATCTCACTGAGATCTGTTCTTACCTGAGCTACTTCAAAATGAACGAGTTTCACCTGCATCTCAGTGACAACGCAAACCCCAGCGAGTGCGTGTTCCGTTCGTCGCGTTGTTTCGTGCCTCGTTCGAATCTTCGTTTTCCAGTCCCACAAAATGGCTCGAATATTACGCCCGATTCCGCCTTTACTCGGACAACCCCGCCTTTGCCGGTCTTGCATTGAAGTAAGTGACGCTCGGGTCCTTCGATTGAGTACGCCCTGAACGTATTTAGGAACGAATCGTACGATCGTCAGACGTTTGACAAGCTGCAACAAGATTGCGCGGCTCGTGGGGTGACGATTATCCCGGAAATTGAAGCACCAGGGCATTCGGTACGTTTGGCTCGACATCTCCCATACTGGGACACCTCCGGAAGATGGCCTGTCCCTAGCTCGTCCTCACGCAATGGCGCGAAACACGTTTCAATCAGACGATCAGGCGTAGCGATGACCCTGTGCGTTGTATCGGCGAGAAGTCTAGAGTGACGATGACTGATGCATCGTTTCTCAGACGCTGTTGAACCTGACGATTCCGGCGTCCACGTCCATCGTCGAGGACATCTGGACGGAATTTCTTCCCTGGTTCCACTCTACAGAGGTCTCTATCGGAGCAGGTACCGATGCCGCTTTAACTGGACGTTCCGTTCGAAAACTCAATGTGTTGTCTAGACGAGTATCCTTCCGACCTTGCGAACGAGTACGTCACGTTCGTGAATGCGTTGGACGATCATATCCGTTCTACGTCACACAAAGCGATTCGCGCTTGGGTAAGCAGTCGCGCAAGTGTCGTTCGCGGGAGTACGGCGCTTATGATTCTCGTTTAGGGTACGAAAGAGCCGTCGACGACCATGAGCATCTCGAAGGACGTGACTATCCAGCATTGGTAAGCCTTGCCGTGACGATGAGACAGAGGTTCGACGATGCTGATACCGTCGCCTGGTCAGGGCCCTCTTCGACGACGACCCGGTTGAGGTGGTCAACGACGGATACCCGATCATCAACAGCCAGGACTGGGTCTTTTACGTGGTGATCAAATACGTGAGTGCCACGATGACCTTTCCTCGAAACATGGCGCTCATGATCACGCCCCGCCCTAAGAGTACATCGTACCCGCCGCCTGCGAATATCACCAGGTTCTTCAACTTTGGCCAACCGTCGACCGGGCTCACCTGGAACGCGTCTCTGTTCAACTATACCGACGCGGCCCACAACCCGTCGCCCTCGACTCCCCTTCTTCGCGGAGCCATCGCCCCGGTGTGGAACGACAACGGGCCTGCCGCATCGACTGACCTCGAGCACTACTACGAGACCAGGGAGCTCATCCCCGTCTCTGCAGCGTTGTCATGGGGCGCGCATGGCTTGACCCAGGAGGTCTTCGAGGGGACCGTGAGCAACTTCTTCACTACGGCGCCGGCGCAAAACCTGGCGAGGGTGGTGAAGAGCGAAGGTCCCACGATTTTGCAGTACGACTTTGTTTCTGGAAGTCTCGAGGACAAGAGCGGGAACGGGTACAATGCGCAGATCGGTGGCCACGGGGCCCACTTCACGGATCAGGGCCTGGTGTTGACGCCGAGTTCGTCGCTCGAGACGCCACTGGGCTCGAAGGGTCTCAACCACACGTACACGATCTCGCTGGCACTGTCGAAGCATGCGACCGTGAGGGTGAGCGGGCCGGACACCGTGCTGACCCTTCGGGACGGTCAGGCGCCTACGATGCGCGCCTCGAACGGCTTCGATTACCCGCTGCGGGATCTGGCCACCAACGCGACGCTGCCCGTCGGTCTCACGAAAGGCACGACGATCACGTTCGCGACCACCGAGCTGGCGGGGACGGAAGCGTGGCAGGACGGACGCAAGATCGGCGCCTTCAACACGCCGCTCAGCCACTTTTTGAACGCGACGTACTATGCGTGAGTCCTTGTCGTCTTCGCCCGAGCTACAATGGGGTGCCGATGGTGAGCTGACGTCCGTGGTGGATCAGGTGGGTGCAGATGGCGTTCGTAGCCCCTGTGAGCGTTATATCCGTAGATGGGGGTTCGGCGACGTTGACGTCTTGGAGTCTCGTGGACGGTTATGCCGTGTAGTCGTGTGTAGCCGCGATGTATTATTGACTTGCCGATGCCATGAGTATCGGTGGCGTCTCGCTGAGTGCGAGGAGCACTACTGCACTGGTCGAGTAATCCTCCGGCAGCCTTGGGGAGAAAGGTCCGCCTTGGCGACGGCGTGCTCGACTGGAGAAATGCGTCACTCGCGTCACAGAATTGCCAAAACGGGATGTTTCCTAGGCACCTCCGGACGGATGCCGGCCGCTCAGCCGGTCCCACGACGCTGAGAACCGCCCAAGCGCACTGGGAGCTGCGACGGTCACCGTTCACCGCGACTTCCAACCCCTTCCCCCTCCCCTTCCCCTCCCGCTCGCCGTCCTCCCCAACGATGGCCTCCCCCGTCGACTGGCCGAGGCAAACATCGCCCTCCTCCGGCGCCAGCGGCAGCAGCAGCAGCGACGAGGCCAACCACTCCTCGGCCCCGGACGATCTCTCCTCCCCGAGGGCGTCGACGTCGTCCGAGTCGCATCATACGCGGGGCACGTCGCAGCCGATGCCCATCCCGCGCAGCCCGGAGGCGTACGCGACCAGCGACCAGCCCCTGCTCGACCAACAGTCCAGGACGCCCGCACGCTCTTTTTCTTCAACACATTTCGTATCCTCCCCCTTGAACCCGAACGGCCATGGCACGCTCGCGTCTGGATCCAACTCTTTCTCCAGAGGCCTCGGAAGCTCGCGGCCGACATCACGGACAAACAGGTGAGCGAAAGGCTCCATCTTTATCGTCTCTCTGTCCGGCTTCTTACGATTGTTACACACAAGCGTGGTCTTCAATCGCATCGCGTCAGAAGAGTCGCAAGCCTTGGGGGGCGCGTCTCCTGGAGCCCGTGGGTCCATGATCCTCTACCGCCTCGCGTCCGAAGAAGATCCGAACGCCGCCCTCGCCCCTCCCCGCAACACCTGGTACTCGAACCGCAACTCCGTCGCCTCCACCTCGGGCGAGTCCACCATGTCCTACTCGTCCGACTCCAAGTACCCGACCGGCTCGACACACGCCCTCGTCGCGTACGTGTTCGAGCCGGACATGGACGACAAGGAGGTCGAGGACGACGACGCGCTGCACGATCCGAGCACGCTCGGCACGGAGAGGAACAGCTTCAGCCCCGCGCGGGGGATCGCCAACATCGGCATCCTCGTCATCCTCGTCCTCGCCCTCATGGCGCTGTTCATCGCCTATCCGGTCATCACCTACGTCCGGCGGAACGCGCGCAATCTGGCGATCGACAACAACATCCACATCAACAGCACCGGCCAGTCGGCGGTTCTGTGCGTACATGACCTTTTGTCTGCGATTCCGGGAGGGGCGCGCATGTAAACTCACCTTGCGCGGATCTAGGTTCAACATGCCCGAGATCATCGACCCCGACACGCCGAAAGACGCCAGGACACGGACAGGCTTCGACGGCAAGGACTACGAGCTCGTCTTCTCCGACGAGTTCAACGTCGACGGCCGGAGCTTCTATCCGGGCGACGATCCGTACTGGGAAGCCGTCGACCTCTGGTACTGGGCGACGAACGATCTGGAGTGGTACGACCCGAAGCAGATCACGACCGCGAACGGCAACCTCGTGATCACGATGGACTCGGTCGACGACCCGACGACGAACCACGGGATGCAGTACCGGAGCGGCATGCTCCAGAGCTGGAACAAGTTTTGCTTCACGACGGGCTACATCGAGGTCGCGATGACGTTCCCCGGACCGAATTCCGCGACACAGGGTTACGTGCGTTTTCCCTCTCTGGATCGATGTATAGGAGTTATTCTCTGACGTCATGCGGCGCAGTGGCCTGGTGTTTGGACGATGGGCAATCTCGGACGACCAGGATATGGGGCGACGACGGATGGAATGTGGCCGTACTCGTGCGTTTCACGTCAAGGCACCTGCCCGTTTTCTCACTTACCATCGTCCAGATACGACTCGTGCGACGTCGGCACCTTCCCCAATCAAACGGAGAAGGACCAGTCTGGACCGGCGGCAGCCATCCACTCGGACGAGTCCAAGGACAAGTACGACGGGAAACTGTCGATCCTCAGCGGTCAGCGCGTTTCGTACGTCTTCTTTCCCCGCGTTTGCCCCGCTTATGGCTTCTCCCGCGTCATCGGGCTCCTTAACCTTCATCTGAAACGGCTTCGACTGATACCGTTTCACCTCTATCGCAGTTCGTGCACGTGCTCGGGCGAGGAACATCCCGGTCCCTCCGTGTCCAAGGGCCGTGGCGCGCCCGAGATCGACGTCCTCGAGGCGGAGAAGGACAAGGCCGGAGACGGCCAGGTGGTCTCGCAGTCTGCCCAGTTCGCGCCGTTCACGCACGATTACCTGTACAACAACGACACGGACGATGATTGGTACGTGTACGACACCAGCATCTCCAGGCCGAACTCGTACAGGTATGTGATCGTTCTTATACGAGCCGATGCGCTGGGGCGAGAGATTCTGACTGATGCGCGCCGGCTTTCCAGGGGATCGGCGGTGCAACAGGCTGTGTCGGGGTTGACGCGCGTGCCGGAGGACATGTTCCAGGGATCTGGGCAGAACATGACGGTGTTCGGGTTCGAGTATTGGGCGGACCCGAATAACCGCGACGACGGCTTCATCACCTGGGTGTCTGATGGAAAGCCCAGCGTGCGCATGGGCCCTGGCGCTGTTGGCCCTGATACGGGCACGAACGGCAGCCAGGTCTCGCAACGGTTGATCCCGGAGGAGCCCATGTCGATCGTCTTGAACTTGGGCATTTCCAGTACGTCTTGAATCGAGTGCTTGCTCTGGTTCCTTATGCTCACTCGCGGGTGATAGCTAACTGGCAAAAGATCCTCACCGGGACGATGCAGTTCCCGGCGCAGATGCTCATCGACTACGTCAGGGTATACCAACGGAAAGGTAGCACCAACGTCGGCTGTGACCCGAAGGACTACCCGACGGCGGACTACATCGCAGCGCACCCTGAAGCCTACAACAGTGCGTAATTAATGCCGACATCCATAGCCTAACGCTGAGACGTGCCCCCAGACGCCAACCTCACCGGATGGACGACAACGAATGTACCAGGCTCCTCAGCAGCGGGCTACTCGTGGCCGAAAAACAGCCTTGTGCGTATACTGAAGCAACATTCGGTGGTAGTAACGCTGCTGACTTTCGTTTACAGTACGATGGCTGTTGATCGTCCGACCTATCTATCCGTCCTCGCTGTGGCTGGCGTCTTAGAGCATAGGCTCCCGTCGCCCTTACTCTCGTTATCGAAAGCAAAACCACTGTATCACTCACCCTTTCCTAATGTGCCGCGCGCCATCCAACGGACCTTGTAGACTTCCCCTCTTGCTATAGGATACGATGCATCGCCATCAACCCCCCTCCCTATCGCGCGGCTACTCTTCTGTAGTGCTCTCTGTCTGCCTGCCGCCATAACGCACACGCACTCACGCACACGCTATCGATCGTCACTCCCCGCGGCACACTAGTCCTCCCATCGCATTATCACTACTTTATCATGGACGGTTTTTTCTCTCTCTCTTTCTCTGAGTACTCTACTGCACATCATCTAGGCATTGCGCAATCCAACGCAACGTAATCCGGACGGAATACGAGGTGCTTCTGAGTTCGGTGTCGGTAAGCAATATGGGGGGTGCCAACTTGTGGGAGGTCGATGCCCTTTTTCAGCAGGAGATCCGGATGTCGCGATCGATGGGTGTCTGGTTCATCCGACGCTTCGCCGTTTCGTTCGCCGCCAGCTGGTTGCTATGGCGTTCGTGCTTCGAGTTGCTTCGAGTTGAGCGTCTGCGAGCGTGCGTCGCGTTTCGCATTCTCGCTGCTTACTTCCTCCCGCTCCATGCACGCTGTGCGCTCTAGGTCTGTAAGTCCACATCCTTCTACTCCCGAGTGCGTTCGGCTACATAGACCCACACATGCCGCGTACACGTACTACTGAATGCTATTTCTGTCAACGTCTTATCGAAGGCCGTCCTGCTGGTTCGGAAGTAAACGTGTCTGCCCCGAGATCTCATTTTCCAGGCCCGCGTTTCAAACGTCCTTATAACGTGTTTTTATAATCCACACTCCCGCTTGCGCCCCACCACCTTTGTCCTCGTACCCGCTCTCTTTCCCGCTGCATGATTACCGGATGCTTCTGTACACCTCTACACTCGTTTCTCCTTGATACGAGCCGCCAAGACTGATCCATGGACGAGACTGCGGAAGAGCTGCATAACGCCAGGGTGCACAAATACGTGACCTTCAACGCCGGTAAGCTCTTTCATTTTCTTGTCATCGAACGGCGGCGGGCTGATCGGGTCTCCATTGGTTAGCCGCGGCCCTCGCCTTCTTGATATGGGACGTCCTCATCTCGCTCGACGAAGAAGTCCGTTACATATGGAATCCACGGTCGCGATGTCAACTCTGGAAGAGATTGCTCTACCTGTTGCTCAGATACATCCCAATAATCACGGAAACGCAAGTCCCACTCCCCTCCTGACATCATTTGACTAGGCTCATGCTCGTCGATGTCGTGAAAAAGTATGTGGTTTTCGCAATTCCAAGCGCTCGACTCGTTCCCGATGATGTGCCGATTTCTGTTCATACTCAAGAGCGTGACGATATTTCTGTCCATGAGCGCCGTGCAGTTCATTCTTGTGCTACAAGGTACGGCTGCTCGCATGCTCGCATTTAGCTGCGTTAGCGATGCTGATCGTCCTGCCATTAGTGTGCGCGTTGTACCACAACAATCGCATGATCCACTGGTTGCTCGTCGGTCTTTGGACGTCGGAACTGATCATCATAGCAGTAAATATACCTGTAAGGCTCCACGACGACACGGTGTTGTGACCTCCATGTGCTTGAGACAGGCTTACAAACTTCCGTAGATGCGCCTGGCAAAAGTTCGCCTGGACGCTGCCACTTGTCAAGCTATGTATCAGCAGGCACCGGGACTGCGCGCGATGCTTATGCTCATTCTGTGAGTCGTAGTTTCTGCGGTTTCTGCGGTGCATGTGGGTGTCTGATCGGGTTGTGGCCCTACTGATAGTGCGCTCCCGGTCGCCCTAGGCGCTATATTGCTTGTTATGACTGGATTTGTCTTCGTCTTCGGTTTCGGCCGTGGGTTGGGTAGGAGGCCACCTCTCTTAACGTTGCTGGTTCGGGACGGAGCATGGGCTTTCATGTTGATAACTGGTAAGCTCTATGACAAGGGGAGTTTCAAAACTGAGCAAGGATATAGTGGGAACCATGCTCACTTTGATCTCCTTGCTTATGGAGGCTGCCATGGTCTCCATATTGATGACAACGTAGGGCCGTTTTATATCTCGGTGTACACACGTGCTTAGTGGTGTTTAGATGGCTGATGTCGAACATCTCATTCACTGGTGCCCACCTCATTCTTAACATGGAGACGTTAACAGCACCGCCGAGTTTCAGGAATACTTTTACGGCTCAGTACGAACTGCAGGTTACCTCAGTACCGGAGAACGTGGGCATCCTGACCACCCACGTAGCCATTAACGATATGCGCTATCCTGTGTAGCGAATATATCATAGTATTAGAGCGGTTTTGCAAACGATAATTATCGAGAACCTCGGAACCTCGCTTCGAAACTTTCCAACACCTTTCCCACGTGCAAGCATCCTCTGCTGCCTCTGTTCAGTGAGGCCCCGCATGGAGTCAGTGGCGAGAAAATGCTTGAGTCAGAATGTAACAATATGTATATGTATTATAGCACCAACTTCTACCGCTGCAGTGTTTAGGTATGGCTCTCGCTGGAGACAGGGGCAAAGGCAACGCATAAATCGTTTCGATACAATACCGATATAATTCCCACGAGCTCCTGACACAGTACCAAATTCCTACTACTGTTATCGTTTGCAAAACGCCTCTATTCAGTTAAAGGAGGACTGGTGGAGGAGCCTTGTCCAGATTCAGATTAGCGACACGAATACTGATCTTACGTCTTAAGAGTGTAAGTAAAGCACGCTTGTCTCCCTCCTCGATCAGTTTGACAGTTACTGTGTTTGACGACGTGTGCAATCTTAACTGAAAATCAATTATGCTGATGTATTAGATAATTATTGTGTCATCGCAATGACACAACATCATTTGCATGCCTTTCAGTACTTATTTCGATCCATACACCAGCGTCAAGCGAGGTAACCGCGCCGGCTCGGCGCCCTTCCTACCAGCCAAACATCCGTACGATTACCAATTGCGAGGACTCTAGGCGCCCAACGACACGGACTTACGTCAAACAACGATCATTCGACAGCAAGAGCTTAATCGAGTGTGTGAAATGGCCTCAAATCTCTACCTTCGCTGGAGCACACGCTTGGTTCGTCTGATACGCACTAACCCCCTCAAGTAGACACCTCTGGAGCTCGCAGGAATATTTTCAGGCTACGCCGTCATAGCAGCAAACAAGTCACCAAAACACGTGTCACCTATCGTAGACCGCAAATATTTCCGTTGCGATTGTGATTTCACGAGCTCCTTCAGAGTTTGCCTGCTAACGATTTCGACAATCTTAATTGCAAATATCTCTAAACCTGCCGGAAATATATAGCCACGCCCTCCGTTTCTCAAAAGCTACGCTTGTCCGTGGCATCCGTGGCATCGCCAGGACAAATTGACAGGTCCGTAAATAGACATGTGGTCACACTCAGCACTGAGGAAGCGAAATAGCGAAGATATCCCGGAGACGCAAACTGCTCAACATCGGCGCGCGCGGCCGCGCAATGGGAACATATTGAAAGGAGCCATTCGCGATTGGACATGCACGGAGAAGCCAGTGGGACACGGCGGGGCCGTGCGTAAAGGAAGTCACCTGGCCACCTTGTCGGAAAGACCAGAACATAATCACAGAAGAGGCGCGTTGGATGGCCATGTGCAACTACATCCCCTCCTTCGCCGACCAGCTCTCGTGCACGCTGCACGCATAGGCATGGGCGATTGAGAACGCGCCGTCAAGCACACCTCTTCCCTCCTTTCCCCTTACAAGCTCCTTGCTAGGACGAAGCTATGAGCTCTGGTGTAGAGAGGATATCGGACATTATAAAGGGCGTAGAGACCGGAAGGATTATCAATGGCCATAGCGGTGTGTGTCCTGACGCAGCTTCATTCTGAAATGCTGAAGATGTGCATCACGAACACAGTTGCAGCTCTGTCATTTCTGGTATGGGACTACCTCATCACAATCGAGTACGAAGTCGAGGACGTCTGGCACTCCCGGTGGAGACATCGAAGAGCGAAACAGGCCTTGTTCATCGTCGTTCGCTACTTCCCCATGGTTTCACAGATGTAAGGGTTACCCTCACGAGCTCATGGATCACGGGCGTTCATCCTTGCTTTGCGGTAAGCGCAATAATCACACGGACCTTGTTCCAATCATCCGGAACGCGATTCGATGCAGCGGAGTGTCGTTCCTGGTTCATCTTTCGGAGTGCAACGCTCTCCATCGTCATCTCTGCGGTGCAACTGATTCTAGTATTACAAGGTATGCTTTATGCTCTCACGGATCAAGGTATGAGCTAACGAGCACAATGCAGTCTGCGCACTGTATAATAAGAGGCGAGTGGTTGCTTGGCCCGTGTTGGCACTCTGGATATCCCATATCATAACGGCTGCTGCGGTCATTCCTGTAAGAAATTCCACTCTCCGAAGCCACAGGTTGAGTTTCTTGTACTGCATCGAGGCTCACAGTATCTGCAGATACGCTCGCGGATAATCTCGCTCGATCCTCAGAGATGTACACCCACCTCGAATCAATTTCCGCGCGTCCGCACGATGCTTCTGGGCATCTTGTGAGTTTGCCCGCCGAAGTACTGGGAGTACATCTCATAACAGCCTCTTCCAGTGTGGTACCATTTATTCTTCAGATAACGCTCCTCGCGCTCACCATGCGCAGGTTGCTGACTGCGATACGTCAGGGATGGGCGTACTCCACACCTATTTTGCCCCTGATCGCTCGAGACAGTACATGGGCGTTCTTCTTTGTCGCCTGTGCGTACAATCCACGCAACTTGCTTCATTTAGTGTTGCTCGACCGCAAAGTTCATGGTTACTCGCAGGTGGCATGATCGGCACCTTCACATCCGTTATAGTCAAAAACTCTACTGTTCCGGTCATATTTGCGTATGAGCAAATCGCGATTGCACATATCGTAATGGTTTGACAAGTTTTTAGGTGGTTCGAATCATATCTATCGTTCACAGGCTCGCGCCTCATTCTCAACATGAGTGCGCTGGGCACCGACGACTTCGCGGCTCCCGGAGAGCCGAACTCGCGCTATGCGACCTATGAATTGCAGGCGATGCCAATGTTTACCACTCGGACACACCTTTCTATTGTGACACACGATGTTTCGTAGGGTCCTGTGGATCTCATCTTGTTGTGCACTCCGCATCGGAGAACGCCGAGAAACGGTTGCAAGCGATACCGATGCCCGTCGCCCATTTGTCTGTTGACGCTAGTGTACCGTAAATCTGACTCACGCCGAGATCGTGATCAATCTACCCTAGACATCTACAACCTGAGATTTGCGGGGTGTAAATCACCTGAAATGAACCTTCGCTCCCTCCGGTACATCTACTTGACGCTGGGACACTCAGCGTCCCTACTAGTTGTATTCATGACTTCCATTGTTCTGAAGCATGGTGCGAACCTAATTCAGTGAGACCAGGCCTAATTTTGCTGTGATCGTTTGTGATGAGCGAGGCAATGCGAGGTTGTCCTCCGAAGGCCATATCCATTCAATAATAAAGCCTCCTTTCGGAACGTGCAGTGTCTGCGTTCCGCCGTTCGTGATCACAGCCGATGCACGCCGCCGACCATCCCAGAATCAAATGTCTATGTGTTTTGCCCGAGTTTTCTACAGCTGATACATTCATGCAGGTCGAAGTACATTCTATCAATTCTTCATCGTCACTTCTCGTTTGGCCCAACGTGAGCGTCCCCTAAGCCTCGGTCTTGAGCAAGCTGCGTCCGGTCATCTCTGCAAACCCGTCCGAGTCAGTATCTGTAATGCAATCTCAAATACCCCGCGCGAATGGTTTCTCACCTTCGGGCTTCTCGAGGCCGAGGATGTGCAGCACCGTCGGCGCGACGTCGCATAACGCGCCTTCCTCCTCCTCGTCGCCGACCTTCTTCTCCTCTTCGAACGTCCATTCCTTGCCGTTCACTCCGGCGATGATGAACGGTACCTTGTTCGTCGTGTGCGCGGTATGCGGCGCGCCCGTCTCGGGGTTGATCATCTGCTCCGCGTTGCCGTGGTCGGCGGTGATGAGGAGGACGTAGCCCGCCTCTTGCGCGGCGCGGTAGACGGTGCCGACGGCCTTGTCGGTCGCAGAGATGGCTTGAACGGCCGCATCGTAGACGCCGGTGTGGCCAACCTACAACGACGAGCGCGAGACGCCGACGGTCAGATGCGATCATGAGGCAAGGAAAGCAAGGAGGGTGCACCATGTCGGGCGGGGCAAAGTTGCACATGACGAAGTCGTGTTCGCCCGACTTCAGTACCTCGGCGACCTTGTCAGCGACGCCCTGGACGGACATCTCCGGCTGCTTGTCGTACGTCGCGACCTTGGGGGACGAGATCATGTGTCGCTCTTCGTGCTCGAACTGCTTCTCCACGCCGCCGTTGAAGAAGAAGGTAACGTGCGCGTACTTCTCCGTCTCTGATCGAGTAGTTAGCATGCGACCACCAAGCTCGCCCGGGGGGATGGAAAGTAGCATGTACCGGCAATGTGGCATTGCTTGAGCCCCTGCTTGGCGACCCATTCGGAAAGAACGTTGGTCATAGCCTGCGGCGGGAAGGCGACGGGGAATGTCCACTCTGGGTTGTAGCGCGACATGGTGGTGATGTGCTGCGTGGTTCTTGTCAGTACCACGGAGGATTGTGCGAACAAACTCGGAACGTACGAGATCTTTGGGGATGGGGACGTCTACTGGCGGATCGGGGAAGCCGAACACGGTGACGATTTCACGCATGCGGTCCGAGCGGTAGTTGAAGAAGAACAGAGTGTCGCCCTCTTGTCAGTAGATGGGGGGTCAGCTCAGCTGCGCACGAAGAGGGAGCACGACGTACCCTTGACGCGGCCTGTGTCGCCGTTGAGGATTATCGGCTTCAAGAACTCGTCCGTCTCGTCCTTCTCGTAGCGCGCCTCGATCGTCTTGACCACGTCCTCCGATTCTTCGCCGACACCGTTAATCAACCCGTCGACGGCAACCTTGACACGCTCCCAGCGCTTATCGCGGTCCATCGCGTAGTAGCGTCCGACGACGGTCGCGAGCTTTCCATACCCGTTCAAGCCGTCCTTGTCGTTGATGAACGCAAGGAGGTCCTTCGCGTAGCCAGCAGCGGAGCGCGGGGCGGTGTCACGCCCGTCGCCGAAGAAGTGGATGTAGACTTCGGGCACGTCGTTCTCCTTCGCGGTTTCGAGGAGGGCATGCAGATGGTGAATGTGCGAGTGCACACCGCCGTCGGAGACCTGTGATCGGGGGACTGAGTAGGGGATCCGAGGAGGACGGGATTAGAACGGGCGAACCAGGCCGAGAAAGTGTAGGCGGCCGTTTCCCTCCTTGGCATGCTTGACGCTGGCGAGGATGTTCTCGTTCTTGTGGAACTGCTTTTTCTTGATGGAGACATCGATCTTGACGATGTCTTGCCAGACGATACGTCCGGCGCCGATGTTGAGATGTCTGCGAGAAAGGGAGCGGGGGGTGATCAGCCAACGATCATGTGCGCCGTATATGCGCATCTATAGTACATATGGGAAATGTAGGAAATGAGTAGGAAATGAGTTATATGCGTACCCGACTTCAGAGTTGCCCATGAGGCCGTCGGAGAGGCCGACGGCAAGGCCGTGCGCGGCGAGCGAGCGGTAGGAGTGGTCCTTTGCGATCGTGTCCATGTTGGTCGTGTCGCCTGCGGAGATGGCGTCGCCCTTCATGTTGGGCTCTGGCGCGATTCCCCATCCATCGTGCACGCTTTAGCGGCAATGTACCCGAGTCCGTAGGCAATGTGTGCGTTGCGAGTGCACGAAGGAAATCAGATCGCGGGCGTCAGCTACGATGGGGATGAGCAGAGCATAGGACGGACATGAGGCAGACTTTGTTCTTTGCTTGGACCATCGTCGTCGTCGTAGTGCTGATGCAGAAACCGAGGACCGAAGGCCGCTCGGCCGTCGATAACTATGAGATCAATCCTCCGTCCGTGGCGGTGCCGGTGACCATATCGGGTCAGGTGATCCATTGAAAAGAAACGGTTGTCGCCGACATCGTCGCGCCCAGAGCGACCTCGTCAGTGTCGAGCAGCGGCCCCTTCCTATCGTTCATACTTTCGTCTGCGGTCGAGGACGAGCATGGCCGCGAAGACGAAGGCAAAGTGCGTGCAAGCTCCCGCGTTTAGGCGGTGTGCGGCGCGTTGATGACCGCCTTGCTCGGTGTTCGTAGGACTCTCATCGTCCGTTTGATCTCGACGGCACAGACCGGGTTCTTCTATACCACACAGCGACCGAGGGTAGGCCCGAAGTTGTCTGCCATCAAGTACGACCCGAAGGGTGAGCTTCACATTCACACATTCATCCCCATTCTACGACGCACAGATGATTTTTCATCCACTTGCCCGTACTCCTCTATTTGCCTGTCGGTGTTGACCCAATGTTTACGCAGTCAAACAACGGGTTCTGTTTGTCGAGAGCCGAAAGACAAAGAAAGGCTGAAGCGCCGCGAAAGCGAGATATAATGCATACCGCTGCCGGGTCCCATTCGAGGTCGATGCGGCAAAGCTTTCTAGAGACACTAGAGACACAATGCCGTCTTTTGCATAGGACACTCGATACTCTGTAACAAGCTGCGACCAAGAGTACGCCGCGTATCAGGCGCAATGACATGTCCGCTAGGGTTCGCACCTCAGCTTACGTGAGCAGCCGGACGTGATATCTTTACCTGCTCTCAACGGTCGTTCTACAACATCGAGGCTCTGAGTGCTTCCATCCCGTCGGCACTCCTTCGACTGTTCGTCGCCTCGCGATACGCTCTGATCTTACTCAGCCAACAAGCAGCATCGGGTCATCCTCGCCATCGCCATCTTCAGCGCGCAGTCTACCTGACCTGTCCTCCCGCCGAGCGTGTCGGCCTCATCTCCATATACAACCAAAGGCGCCCTACCCACGCACCACTTCTCCTGACTTTTTGTCCTATCTCAGAGTCCGAGAGCACGATGCGCTAGACCTCGGACGCTTCGCGTCAAGTATATCCGCGTCACACGTCTTCTATGCGTATAAACATAGTGTCCCGCGCTCCGAGTACGTTCCTTCAAATACCCGACATGTACGCGCTTGCTGGCAGCTCCCCTTCTACCTCCTACCCACCTAGCGCACCCTATTTCCTGTTTTCCCCCATGTTCTATTCCGCGCGCGGCATTTCTGAGCCTGACAGCATGCTGTTCGAGCCCGTATAAAATCTGCGTACCCTGAGCCTGGTCTGGTCAGACAATCGAACGTCGCGTTCTAACCTCCTCGAAAGCCTCAAATATGAAGTTCGTCGGTACTGCAGCTGTCCTCTCCGCCCTCGTCGCGTCCGCCGCTGCGCACGGCGTCGTGACTTCGCCCCTCCCCCGCCAGCCCGGGCCCGCCGCGCTCGCGGCGTGCGGCACCGAGGCCTACGGCGTCCTCACCAAAGGTGCGTCTTCCATCCTCCCGTATCTTAGGTTGAAGAATGCGTCCCTCACCGACCCGCAGATCTGACGGCGCCGATCGAAGAGGTTGTCGCCGCCGCCGCAAACGCGACGGACTTCAACGCCGATGCCTGCCACGCCTTCCTCTGCCGCGGGCTGCAACGCGAGGACAACGTGCGTACCGTCCTCTTCCGAGTTCGACGTCTCGCCAGCTTTCTGACCACCCCGCGCCGTGACACGCAGTTGAACAACACGCACGTCTTCACCCCGGGCTCGACGGTCCCGTTCAACGTGACGATCAAGGTCCGGCACACGGGCCCCGCGAACGTGTCGATCGTCGACCTCAAGGAGCAACGCGTCATCGGGCCCGCGCTCTTCAGCTGGCCGGTCTACGCGAACGCGAGCATCCCCGCCGCCGACGCACCGCTCAACGAGAGTCAGTCTTTACTTTACATTCCTCTCGATCGGAAAACGAACGTTTCGCTGACGACTGGCCGTCGCTCTCCTACAGCGCAATTCAGCGTCAAGATCCCGCACGAGCTCCCGCTCAAGTGCGCGCTCCCCGGCGAGTGCGCGATCCAGTGGTGGTGGCTCGGGAACCCCGGGACCGCGAACGCGCAGACGTACGAGAGCTGCGTGGACTTCACGACCGTTAGGTTCTAGAAAAGGTCCTTTAGGTGCTCGCATAAAAAGCGATGGCGTGGTTAGTACTGCACGCTGTCGTATATACCATCGCGATATGTTGAGGTATTAGCTTCGTTGATCGCGGGGTTGTGAGCCGGTTATACTGTACATCGCGCATCGCCAAAAATCATATTTCATTTCTCCCTGGCTATCGGGTTATACGGACACGGGAACGTAGGGCTCGGGTCAGCATGCAGCGCCGGATCCGAGCAAAGATGCCACCTCCACATCGGACGTGAGCTTGATCAGGTAGCTGAAGTCCGCCGTCAGCGCTCTCGTCGCAATATGCGCCACCGGCGAACGCACTTTTCGTATAGCGCTTCCAGCAACGAAGGAGCGAACTCGGGTCCGGCCGTGTCGTTCAGCTGCAGCGTCGTCCCGGAACCGCCCACTACGGGTGGCGTGCTCCACGCGCCCGCCTCCGCCATCACGCGGGCCTTGACCGACGCCTCCTGCGCGCTGTCCGTGATGAGTGCGCGTAAGGCGGTGGCGTTTCGCGCTAGGATCGAAGGGCAGAACCCGGAGGTGTTAGCGGCGAGTTTCGCGGCGGCCACGTCCACGCCGGTGCCGATTCGGGCGGATACGAGGGAGAGAAGGGAGGCCGTGCCGGTGAGAGCAGCATCGACGCTGGATGTCAGGGAGGATGCGTCGGACGTGGCGAGGACGAAAGAGTCGTAGAGGAAGGACACCACGCTCCCTGACGTGCAGGTGCCGCTCGTGTCTCCCCACCGTGTTCCGTTACCGCGCTCGTAGAAGATGTATGGTGGATACGGCGCGCGGCTGAAGAACGACGCATCCGGTATGGTGTTCGTGGACACCGGCAAAGCGCTGAACAGCGCCGCGACGTGCGGGTCGTCCTTGCGGAAGTTACAGACCGGCAGCTCAGCACGAGCTAGCGCGGTGTGTACGATGGCATGCTCGAGACCCAGAAGCTCGTTACGAATAACGTCCAGAGAGGGCGGTGCGGTAAGCACAGGAGAGGAAAGAAGGATGGTAGTCGCGAGGAGGCGGAATACGCTCTTCAGCGACATGGCCTCGTCGAAGAGGTCAGGAATAAACCGGGAAATACTGCCGAGTACCAGCAACGCCGCATACCGCGGAAGTTTGTGACCATCGTGTAGATTGACTCGCGCAACGGCCGTACTCGAGGAAACTCATCGGTCAGAGTCGCAGGACCGCGCAAGGACTAACGGCGGGCGCGTGAACGCTGAAAGACTCACGCGTCTTTCTCTCCATTTGTTCTCATCGTCCGTGTTGGCCAATTCCACGTTGTGGTCCAAAGACGTCGTGCCCTTCACAGACTGGATCATGGATCACTGCTACCAATGCTCGGCAACGTTGGTGAAACATCGAAGCGCGGGCTTTCGGATGCGTTCGCTGCCGAATCCAACAGGCTGCCTTCCATCCTTATCCAAATCCCAGGGCCTCCTAAGGCTCGCGCCCTTCAAGATGAAAGATCGCTTTGATTGATTTGTCTCGACTGCCCAGCGATGCGTAGTCCTACCGAAACTGCCTCGTTGGTCGAGATGGTGCATGGTTGCCTGGGTGATAAACGAAGGAGTGCATCGGAGCTAGATACGAGCCAGCGACTACACGGCGCTATATTCAAACGTACGAGTCACAAGGCCGCTCAAGAACATTGGCCGTGCAAACGCCGTGCGAGCTCGCATCCCTCGTTGATAGCATTCATCTCTGCGTTGGACGCTAGCTCTGTTCGTTGTATTTATGCATGTCTATCCTTTCGATGGCACTGAACCGACAACACTATTGCTTAGCAGCGGTGTCTCTGTCTCTACCGAGCACTGCGTGCACGCGGACATGGGCGTCCGTCCCACGGCCCGCGAACGAATGCGGCACGTCATCAGAAAGCTCTCCAACCGGGAGCAGAGGCGAGAACTGGATGATATACGCCCTTGCAAAAAGACTACCTGATACTTGAACATCACTGCCACGGGACGCGGGGGGTATCGATTATAGACCGAAGATACTGCGCATTCCCTCGTTGGCGGGAACTAGCCGGGTTATCGGGAACACAGCTCAAACCTTTTCTCCCTTAGACGGCAAGACTCATTGATGGACAAGCACCGCCTACTCCGAGAATAAACGAGCTCTCTAACTGCGTGACCTTCGCGCTTCGCACCGCTCGGTGGCTGAGATCCGACGATATAGAATAGCTCCCCGGGGGCGAACTTGGTTCAAAGTTCCCTCATCTCACTGGAAAAGAACCTAGAGTCGACCAGCACCGCATGATCTGGGGATCTCTGCCGTGTCCAGAACCGATACATTCGGTGCGCTCCGTATTAAAGGAGGCTTGCACACCGCCACTACCCAGTCCTGTCTGTGCCTCAGGTTGGCTGCAACATGTCGACAAACTCTACTACTTCGAGCCCCTCCGCTGGAGGCAGCGGTGCTATACCGCCGTTTGCGCTCCCGATCATCGAGGCGTTCGCTCGCGAAATCCGACCCGCCATCGCGTTTATCATGATCGGCACTGTCTTTACCACCATCCTCCTCTCGCTGCTTGTCGCGCTCTTCTTTCTCTCAGACGCACCCCTGCGGAAACGACCCGTTTTCATCTTCAACGCCGGTGCACTTGTTCTCGGCATTGTCGTCGGCATCTTGAACAACCATCTTGAGGTCCTTCTTTTCTTTCCTCGTTCATTGTATGTATGAACTAACGATATCATGGCAGATCCATGCCATCCTTTCACCGTTAGATGGCGATAGCAACGTCGAGAATTTGGTTTACAACATTCTTTTCCTATGGCTCCCCTGGCTCTCCGAAGCCGTCCTCATTCTTCGGATCGTCGCCGTATTCGGCTCAAACAAGGCCCGTTTGGTCCCGGTGTTGATATTCCCGATCGTCCTGAAGTGCTTGCGGGCGTCCCTCATCATCTTCTACCTGCAACGCTGGTGGCTGATCAGCTCGGCAACGGGACCCTCGAACCCCGTTGCGCTCACCCGTCTCACTCAGTCCTGGACGCCCAAAGTGCTGTCGATCACGGAGATGCTGGACAACGGGTACGTCTACCGCTTTGGGAGACCATCCGATATAGGCTGATAGGTCATTGCGTACAGATACGCGTCAGCCGTATTCCTTTTCCAGCTGCGCAGTCAGTCGTCCGTACATCGAAACGGCCATATCTCCACCGGTAACTCCGGAAAGTGTAAGGATTTCTACCTTAAACCGAGGCGCTCGCTCACGCTCGAGGCGTACACAGACTCATTCCGGAACAAGGTTCGGATCCTGTTTTGGATAGCGACGACCAACTTTGTCGTGCCCGGTAAGCGCCACAGCCTCGCCGGCGCATCAGATGCTGACTTAGACTGCAGTTGTCTTGGACATTACACAGCTCATTCTACTGTTCAGGTCCGACGCGGTGACCACCGGATATGTCTCCATGGTTTGTCATATCCCCAAGTGCATCTCAATGGATGCGAAGCGCTAACGAACGCTCTCATTTAGACGAACGCATTCACCACGACGGCGTTTACCGTATTGGCGACGGTATGGAGCTCGAGCGTGAGCTTCAAAGAGGCGCGGGACACCAATATGAACGCATCCGGCGTCGTTTCGGAGATGCGGTTCACGTCCGGTCAGTCCAAGACGACGACCACCGCAACCATGGCATCCAGCGGAGGTGGAGGAATGGTGAGTTTCATGAGCACGATGCGGAGCTCGCTGGAAACGCGCCATGGGAGTGGCGACGAGAAAGAGGGTTTCGTCGGGCAATGGCCTGTACAGGAGGTTCCGATGAGGCCGTTGAGGGCACTGTCGACGAACAACTCCGCAGCGTGATTTCGGATCTTATGTATTGGTGATGTACGATCAGTGTATTGTATTGAGGCGTATACGTACGTGCCCGATCTTATGGTTCACGAGCTTGAATCGAGTATTCTTATCGTTCACATTCCCCGCGAAATTCCTGTGCGTTGTTCAATCAGTCAAGTGATCGGTTGATAAGTCACCTGAAGGAGCCTGATGAATTGTACTGGGAAGGTTGGACTATAATCCGAAACAAATGGCGAACATGCTCATGCTGAAGATGCGGAGAGCCTGGGATGTAAAGCGAATCGGGGTACACCCGATCCAAGTGTCGTTAACGTAAAATCAGAACTTCACTATCGTCCACAATGAAAATGCACTGCCATAGGCCTATACTTATTCCCATTCAAACTTGAAGCTCGTTCGAGATCGGCCAGTCCGGTTGCGCATCAAGAGCTACGAACCGGCTACTGAGCGCGACTCCGAGCCAATTATATCAAGCAGCGCTGGTGTTGCTCGTGACAAATGAGACACAAGCAAGAAAAAGACAGAGCAGAACCCAGATTGTCATTAACATCCACTGGGGCCGCATAATGGCCGAACCGCGTCTGAGGCGTTGTTGATGTGGACGGAGGCGTAGCTCAACTTGAGACATACTCACAGAAAGTAAGAATACTATCCATCGCGCTCTCGAGTCAAGTGGAAAGCGAGTAATTGCGGTAGACCGCGAGGGGTGAAGAGGTATAGAACATGCAACCTGTTGCATGTTCTAGGTCATTATTATTTCCATCCAACGTGGTGTTATGAGGCTGGCAACGTTGGGCGAAGCAGGTACACAAGCCCATGATGTCATTCGTTCCCGTGGGAAGGGACAGTACGTTCATCACATCGACGGCCGCAACCGTACGTCGTACGGAAAACGTTGCGTACATGGTTACAGTTTCTCTCCCCAGGCAGACTCTAGAGCGTGAAGACAGTTGTTCGTTACAGTGCACAAGATTTTCAGAAATTTTCACATTTTAAGGTCATATGCATGAGGTGATGCAGAATGAAGCAGAAGAGATGCCGGCCCGACCATTTTTTTCAACTCGGAGCTGGACTCCGAGCATTTTAGGAGGCTGTCATCAAGACAGTGACGTTCGGGAGAGAATGAAGCGAGGACACGAACGTGTCAGAGTGCCTGTGGTCTCGGTGGTGCCAAGAATTCCATGACCTTCCGTCTTGCTGTTTGCTTGAATAAGGCGACAAATTACCACCGATCCGTACGGGGAGACATCGCGTTGATCGGCTTATAGCACGTCCTTGAGGGGCTCCGAGCCGGGCGGCGATGTTTGATACGCAGCTTCCTGTGGGTGGTTTGAACAGCGAATGTGGCATGCGCAAGAGCGTCCGAGCATGGTGGCTGGGAGTCGGGACGGGGACGCCACCTTCCCGATTTGGGACAGGATAATACGATCATCTTCATCGGCGCACGGGAACGCTGCGCTCCACCGACCCCGAGCACACAGCAGACCGAAACTGAGCATCGCCCCCGACCCAACATCCGCCCGACGATTCTCCCAGTCTCGCCAGCAACCTCTGCCAGCACCACCACCCGCCCATCGCACTCGACAGCGCCCGAGCTGCCAACGCATCCGCCTCGTCTCGCTGCCACCCGACCCCAAAGTCCTCGCCAGTCTCGACCCATACTCAACGCCTACTCACCTTCTCACTCGTCTTCCACATCGCCATGCCGACGACGTCGATCCCGAGCAGCTCGCCAGAGATGAGCCCCAAGCGTATGTTTCAGCCGCAGCTCATGCCCTCGGGCCGTGCCAGGTCCACGCTGACGATCGTTCGCGCAGTCCCTCCGTCCCCGCCGCAGGCGCATTCTCCGCCCGCGACAAGTCTGGCCTCTTCTCCGGACCTTCGCAAGCTCACCTCCGCCACCAACCTCGCTCCAGGTGCGTGCTCTTCCTCTGCTGTCCCTCCCCTCCTTCTTTCTTCCCACCGCCGCTTTATCTCCCATCCCCTGCGAAATACAGCGCCCTCGCGATCTTTCTCGCATCTTATCTTTTCATCTTTCTTCGCCTTGCTGTGCACCATCGCTCGTCTTACGGCGCATATACTGACATGGAGACAATGTCCGACGCAGGCCCTTCGCCCCAGAAGCAACGGTCCCTCAGCCCGCGCAACTCGATCCACATGGGCAGAGGAACAAGAAGCCCGAACGACAGCAGCATCCCGAGCTCACCGACGTCCATGTATGCGCACCCACTCCTTCAATCGGCGTCGATGGCGTCCTGACTGACCAACGATGCCATCTCAGACACTCATCTTCGTCTGCCATCTTCGAGCGCGACGTCGAGCCGCTCCCGCTTCCTTCGCTGACGCCATCCACAAATCCGCCCGTCCATGCCGGAGGCGCGCCCAGCCCTGTGCACGGTGGTTTCGACAAGCAATCTATACACGGCGTACGCACGTCCCCGCTCGCGGCGATGCGTGTTTCTGACGTAGTCCTCCCGTCCTGCAGCCGAACCCCCATCTCATGCCGCGCGGAAAGGCGACGGAACAGCTCGAGCAAAGCGTGCCCAGCGTTCTCGATCAGGCCGCGACGTTGCTGACGGCCAGTGGACCGGTAAGCAGTGTTTTCATCTGCGATTTCTGTTTGGTTTTCTGGTCTTTGGTCGTGGCGCTGTCCGTGATCTGCATTTCGATGAGACGGATCCTGGAAGATGCCCGAGACACGCGTGGGCGATGGTGCAGGAGACGGAGAGATCCCATCGTCTCAGTATACGATGGTAGATCCCACTGCGGTGGAAAGCGAGGTGGTGTCCACATGCGCGTGCGCCTGATATCTGGCAGAGCGCTCCGGTCAACTTGGGAGACGCCTGTGCTCCTGATAGATCACCGGGCCCTGATGAAAGGCAGATCGCAGAGCTGCCTGTTTCGGCGCCATGGGCTAAATTGTCGCGGGAACAGCGATGGATGCCTGTTCGCGGCGCGAGTTACGTCTTCAGGTGGACGACCCATCATCCTTCCCTATTCATTGCTGGTGTTACGGTTCATGATGGAGCTAATCCCTGCCTTTCTCTCAGGACGAGGAGGATCAAATCGCGGTCGTAACGCCGGCTACTTCGGGCAGCATTGCTGCTAGCATGTTGGGTACGTTCTTCTCGCTCATTTCTATCTTCGACTCTTGCACCGTCCGTTGCATCTTTTTCGGTGTCTATCCTCTTTTTTTCTTCTTCTTGCCTTTGGGGCACGGTCGGCATCAACATGGCAACATGGAACCGTATCGTTACGGTCAGCAATGGAAGATCTCGGCTTAGGAGTTGCCCGGATATATCCAGCCCCCCGGACATCTCCGACGCCGGCGATTGAGCGACTTTGCCGCGCGGGTATGGGGGACTACATAGCCACTGCCCACACAGCCAGCGGGCGCTCCTGCGATTCCAGTGCCCGTTCATTGGTACGTTATATCTTGGTCTCAATGGAAAGCACGCACTGATGAAGAACGATAGCCGGATCTATACTCGGCCAACAGCGCCGCCGTTTCTTTCCACTCCCTCGCGCGCACGCATGGAATCAGACGAAGTTTGTCCGCGTATGGTCGTATGGTCTGCCGACCTCACGGTTGGCTCCTCTGAATGCGGGAGACGCACTCGCAAGAATAGCGATCAACAACAGAAGACCCCCGTCAGATTGGCTGTCGCGGCATGGACGATTGGATGCCACTGCCCTTCGGCGCACGTTGATCCCCCCTTTTCCTGAAGCTGCGGTTACATGGACAGCCCAAGGGACGGCGTCTCCGGATCCATCTCTCGCTATATATGAGGGCTTCGCGCGCGACTGCCTGCGCTCCCTCCTAGGGTACCCTCCGTCACAAGCTGTGGGTATATACATGCATGCTTGGGAACTATCTCACTGATAGGCAGTAGGCGGCTTCCCATCGTCGTCATATACTTACCGAGTCTTCTGCTCGCAACCGTTCACGCCGTTTGCACTGCCACTCGATCGTGATGGATCGGCATTTCGCATCCTCCCAGCTGCGCGTTGCTCGTCCCCTGCGCCCAGACAACGTTGAAAACACCGACGAGGACGCCATCGTACGCCGGAGAGCGTCAGCGCGAAGGCGCCATACCTTCGCATCCCCGCACGTGCGACCGACGAGTCAGTTCGCGCCTGTAAACATCTCGTTGAAAAAACCGCTTATGCTGATCCCGTTAGCACCGTCCACCAGCTCTATCCGGACAGGACCCGGTATGCCGGAACGACAGCCCTCGCCGATCCTCGATACGTCGCCCGTCGCCGCCTATAACAAGGCGTGGCAGCCGACACTGGCCCACCATACCAGCACGTTGCAGGCCATCGCGCAGGGCATGGGTGAAGGCGCGATGCTGAGCTCGCGAGGCGCTCCTCGCCGAGAGCGAAGAGTTGTCCCCCCTCCGGGCGCTGGTTTTCGGCCCCGTGGCGCGATGCCGATTCAGACAGCAGTGGCTCCTGCAGCGACGTCGCCGTCTACGAGTGCTATGACTTCACCGCTGTCGGGTACTCCTCCGATTTCTCCCTCATCGTTCGGGATGGCTTCGTATCCCTCGATTGGCCAGGCCGCCGCCGGGCACTCCACCAACTCAACTGCGACCATGCGTCGGCATCCGACGGTCGCTCCCGAGCGTCATCAACACACTGCAACGACCGCATCTGACGACAGCGACGGATCGGACTGCGAGTGTCGTTTACGCGCAGTTACCAAGTCGCAATCGATCTTCGATTCGACGTCGGTGCCATGATCCCTCTCGGTATTTGCGGGACGACTAGCCAAATCCCGGACCTTCCGTATTCTATGCCATCACTCGCTCGTCACTAAACGCCTCGGCTGGCGCTTCCCAGTGTCGGTCACGCTCATCGTTCCACGCTCAACCTAGTCCTGCCCTACGCCCGGGAATGTCCCTGACTTCTTTCTTTTATGCGGACCGTTTTCACTTCGCTTCTTTTTACCCCTTTTGTTATATTTGTATCCTTGGTCGTCTGTCGCTTGCGCACTCATGCTTATGTCTTGACCTTCACAGGCGATTTTGCGTACTCTCCCTCCAGCATCCTCGCGGGCACGGCGTCTCGTAGCCGCTCTCCGTCACCCATGGGTCTCCGTGCCGGTCAACGGCAGTCCCTCCTCCTCAACTTCCCGGGCAGTCCGTCATCCACCCCGACATCTCCTGTCTCCAATGCCTCCCAGCCGGCCTCGCCTCCCACTCGGCCTGTCATCCACACGCAGCAGACCATCACGCCCATGACTAGAGCGACCTCACAGCCCGGTTCACAAGTTGCAAGCACGCCTACATCGGCGTACTACTCGGCTGCCAGCTCGGAAAGCGGGAGCCCGACGACGACCACGATGGAGAACGCGCCGACGCTTCCCACACCTACACCTGCGCAAACTGGGTTTGCGGCGAGCAGTTCTCCCTTGGTTGGCTCCCGCCCGTCGAGGTCTCCTCAACGCCGCACTTCGACGCTCCTGAGCGTCTCGCCTACGTCCCCGCCGCTGACGGGCATCCCGCCGAGCCCGAACACTAGCAATGCGAGCAAGCGGCTCTCGTTCATCAGTTACGCCGACCTCCTCACCTCCGCTCCCGCCAACACGCTCTCGCTCTCGCAGCTCACGCACAACGCGACGACGGAGCCTCCGCCGCACATCCCGAGCGTCGTGAACGCGATCGGCGTGTCGTCCCAGGGCGGGTCCGACTACGGCAGCACGGTGCCGCGGAGTGGGACCGCCAGCTCCGCGAGCTCCCTCCATCGCCTGTCCGGCATCATGCCCGGCTCGATCCCTCTTCACGGGCACGGGTTCGGCGCGTCGAGCCACGCGGCGATGAGCAAGCGCGAGAGCGTGCTGCTCGACGACGTCGGCGGCGAGTTCGAGCGGGAGGGGTTCGGGACGGGGCTCGAGGAACGCCTGGAAGCCGTCATCGGCGGGACGCCCCCGCTGTCGGGCAACGCGTCGGCCGTGAACGCCAAGGCGTGAAGAAAGCGCTGAATTTTATTGGGGATTCATCGGATACGCTCTCATTGACGAAGCTCACGACCCACGAAGGCCATCGGTGTCACGAAGATCTGCTTGCTCCTTACGACGACGGACTACCGTACTAGCCGTTTAATTTTCCCGCCTTTCGCCCCTTCAAGACGGACGTGTCGTTCTGTTTTCGGTTCTGCCCCCGCCCCCCCCCCTTTTTTTTTGTTCGCGTTGTTTGTTTTACTAACGTGTCCCCTGCGGCCTACTTTACGCTTTCGTAATTCTTGTTCTGCCGGTACCGGTGTTGGAAGGCCATTGCTACGACGAGCCTGTCTATTGATGCGTTTGGTTCTTCCAGTGTTAGTGTTTGGATATGCAGTCATGGTGGATGCTCTATGTATGATCGGGGCTTGTCGTTTGCTATAGTCAGTAGGTGGGTAGAAACGTAAGCATACAACAATAAAATCGTCTGAAAAGAAGACTGGTGGTAGTGCTTGTCGTCGACGCCATCTCCCTGAGCTCCAGCCTCCTGCGCACGCGAATCATGCACGGCTACAACGCATGTCATTGTCTATCGCCCGGTCGACATGCTCCGCGTGGGTCGGAGCCCACCACCATCACGGCCCGTACTGCAATAAGCGCCCGTATCGCTACCCCTGAAGCCCGAAAACTCGTGCACTGTATTTTACTACTCTGACCCTTACCCCGACGCCGCGTAAGGACGGGAAACCGCAAAGGACCACTACGCGATCACAAAGATGGCCCAGGACGAGCTGGCGGAGATCGCTGGCGTGAAGCCCCTGCGCGTACTGGCCGACGGCGAGGAGGTCGAGGCCAAGTCGCAGTCCAGGTACGGCGCATCCTTCCTACCTCTCTTTCACACCGCTGAATATACTAAACGACCGGTGACGTGCAGTAAGAGCGTGTATAAAGTCAAACGCACGGCGGACCATTACCACTGCACGTGTCCGGTGCGTTCTTTACGGGCGTATGCTACACCATGATGACGGCAGGCTGACCGTATGAACGAGCAGGCGTGGAGAAACCAGAAGGGCGTCACGGTGGACGCGCGGACGTGTAAACATCTGCGCGCGATCCTGGGCGACGCGTACGAGGACGCGCGGATCGCGGCGAAAGGAGGGGCCGCGACCGGTGCTGGTGAGCATACACAGATCACGTTGTGCTCTATGGCTAATGGATGGCGGGCGGTGCGCAGCGAAGGCGAAGGGGGGCGCGAAGCGGAAGAAGGCGGCTGACGAGGAGGTGGAGGCGGATGGCGGAGAGGAGGACGAGAAGCCCGCGCTGCGGAGCAGCAAGAGGGTAAAGACCGCCTCCGGTTCCAATCCGCCCTCGAAGGCCAAGCCCCCATCCAAGCCGAAACCTGCATCGAGGGCCAAACGAACGCTCAAAGTCGAAGAGCCTGACGCGGACGGTGACGAGGAAGACCCGATGGAGGTCGACGGACCCCAGGCGGAGGGCGACGAGAAAGCCGTGGCTGCGGACGAATTGAGCGAGGACGAGATGGCTTGTATCGACGGCGTACGGCCGGCGGTGTACCTCAAAGATGGCGAGGAGAAGGAGGTGCAGTCGCAGTCGAAGGGCAAAGGGAAAGCGGCGGGCGGAACGGTGTACAAGATCAAGCGGACCTGGGACCACTATTACTGGTATGTTATTGCTGCGCGCGTATCGTGCGTCGTCGCGATGCTCATTCATACTCGATATCTTGATAGCTCGTGCCCCGCTTGGCGGAATCAGGTGAGCCAGTCTTAACTTGGGGCACATACTTGAGGTTTCCATTGACCCTCGCTTCCCAGAAGGGTGTCGTGACGGAAGCGAGGACGTGCAAACACCTGCGCGCCACGCTCGGCGTAAGCTATCGCCTCCTTGTGCGCATACAATACCACAATCTGATCAGGAACGTATGTGTAGGACGCGTATGAAGATGCTCGGATCGCGCGCAAACAGGCGCAAGGTGCTCCTGGCGTGACGGGCGCGCCTGACGCGTCAAAAGCGGGTTCGAAACCCGCGTTGAAGCGCGGCAAGCTCGCATCCACGTCCAAGGCGAAACCGGAGAGCGCGGCGTCCAAGCCCGCGTCGTCGACGAGGGCGACAAGGGGGTCTCAGCGAGGTATGCGCGTGCGTGTTGTGTAGGCAACAGCGCTCACTGTACGGGTCACAGAGACGATCGAGGAAGAGGAAGCCGAAGACGCCGAAGGCGAAGTCAAGGAAGAGGAGGGTGCGAGCGACCATGGCGGGGACGCAGAAGGCGAGCGGGCTGCGGCCGATGACGCGGATGAGCTGGCAGTTGTCGGCGGCGTGCGTCCGGCTGTGTACCTCAAGGACGGCGAGGAAAAGGAGGTACAGTCTCAATCGAAAGGGAAGGGCAAAGCAGCGAGCGGGACGGTGTACAAGATCAAGCGGACATGGGACCATTATTACTGGTATGTCGATGATGAACACGTATCCTCCATCCCAGCGATACTCAGATGCACGTTCGCTTCTGAAGCTCATGCCCCGCTTGGCGGAATCAGGTGAGCCATTTCCAGCAAGGTGGTCAGCGTCGTGTCGATATTATCCCGCTCTTCAGAAGGGCGTCGTGACGGAGGCCAGGACGTGCAAACACCTCCGCGCTACGTTAGGCGTAAGTTCCATCCCTCCTGTGCGCATACGACACTTCCGGCTGACCAGGCACGTTTCGTGTAGGATGCGTACGAGGACGCCCGAATCGCGCGCAAGCAAGCACAAGGCGCTCCGGGTGTGACTGGCGCGCCTGACGCTTCCAAGGTGACGTCCAAGCCTGCCTCGAAGAGCGGCAAGCCCGCTTCTTTGTCCAAGACGAAGCCACAGAGCGTAGCGTCTTCGTCCAGGGCAACACGGGAGTCGAACCGAGGTACCTTCGGGCGCCTGCACTTGCTTAGACTGTCGTGCTCATTGCGGTGCATGTAAAATAGAAGCGATTCAAGAGGAGGAGGCCGAAGACGCTGAAGACGAAATCAAGGAGGAGGATGAGGTCGATGAGGTCGAGGAGGTCGAGGAAGACGAGAAGCCTAACGACTCACCGGGATTGGCGGATGAACTAGCGTGCATCAACGGGGTTCGACCGAAGGTGTACATGAAAGATGGTGACGAGCGTGAAGAGAAGAGCATGACGAGTTCATCAGTATACAAGATCAAGCGGACTTGGGATCACTATTACTGGTGCGTATTCTCCTCCACTCCTTCCTGTCTTGTAGTCACTGACGGCCGTGTTTGTCGTCGTTCAGCACCTGCCCAGCGTGGAGGAACCAAGGCGGCATGCCGGTCAACGCGCGCTCGTGCAAACATCTGCGGGCGGTACTCGGGGTGAGCGTCGTTCTCGTCTTTGTAGAAGGATCGAGTGCTAAGTCGATGGCGTGTTCTTCAAGGACGAGTATGAGGATGCGAGGCTGACGTTGAAAAACCCGCACGGGTTCAAACCGGCGTCGAAGGGCAAGGGCAAAGCGAAACCGCGGTCGAAGAAAAGTCAGCCTCCCTCGCTCCCTCGCTCGATTCGCATGATCTGATGTATCGGAACAGCGAAAGGGGACGGCGGAGAAGACGAAGACGAAGACGAAGACGCGGATGCGGACGACAACGCCGGTACTCGGAGGGTCCCTGAGCTGCTCCTCGCGAATAAGTGGGACCTCGAAAAGGGACCGGACCCGACGGGCTGGTGGATGTCCGAAAAGCTTGACGGCGTTCGGTGCGTGCGGTATCGGCCAGGGTTTGGTAATCGTGTATTGACCTATGCATCACAGGACGTACTATGACGGGGTGGCGAACAAGATGTACAGCCGACTCGGGAACGCGTTCACGCCACCGGATTGGTTCTTGGACAGTGAGTAACTACGGTTCGTTATGGCGCGCGAGCTCTCGGCTCATGTGGACACACAGAGCTCCCCAAGGATATCACACTGGATGGCGAGGTGCGACCCAGCTCATGTCTTCGTTCCAATCACTGAGCCACCATGCACAATTCACAGCTCTTCGGTGGACGCGGCGAATTCCAGAACACGGTGTCCATCGTCAAGACAGTCAACTCGCCACATTGGCAGGGTATCTCGTTCCAGGTCACATGCTGCTCATCTGTGCTTGGATCTCGTCTAATGAAGGCGCGTTCAGATCTTCGACGTGCCCTCCATGGGCGAAGAACCCTTCGAGGACCGCCTCGCGTTCCTGGAGCGCACGTTCGGCGAAAACGGGGAGAAACGGCAGGCGCAGATCGAGGTTGTGAAGCATGAGCGGGCGGAGAGCAGGGAGCATGTGATGAGCAAGCTGGAGGAGGTGGAGAGATTGGGCGGCGAAGGGCTGATGTTGCGGAAGCCCGGGTCGTGAGTGACTTCCTTCTTTTCTTCTTTTCAAGACCGGTACTGATACGACGTGGCAAAAGGTTATATGAAGGGAGGAGATCGAGCACGCTGCTCAAGATCAAGGTGAGGCAACACAAGTCAGGTCGACGGTGTCTGTGGCTGACTTGCGACGATAGAGCTTCTACGACGCCGAGGCCCGCGTGGTGGGATACGTCCCCGGGAAGGGCAAGTACAAGGGGATGACGGGAGCGTTGCAATGCGTCATGGCGTCTGGCAAGGTGATGCTCCCCTTCGCAATCATTCTACTGGCTTTTTGACTTATTGTCTGGCCGGTTTGCAGAAATTCGCGGTCGGCACTGGGATGTCGGATAAGCTACGTCAAAACCCGCCGAAGGTCGGGACGATCGTCGTGTACCGGTTCCAGGAGCTCACCCGGGACAGCGTACCGCGGTGCGTACTTTTCTCTCCTGCATCTGTGATGAGATGGAGAGAACCTGATGACGGACATGGTCGGGTAGGTTCCCGTCGTACGTGGGCGAGGCAGTCGATAAGACGGAACCGAAGGACGCGGAGGTGCCGGAGCATCGGAAGGTGGTGACGGGCGGCGACGATGCGTGAGGACGATGATGGTCGCATATGCTATGCTTGAGGAGGATGAAGGGCACTTCCTGAGGATCGCGCTGTCTCGCTCTGTCCAGCGCAAGATGATTTATATCGTTGCTGTGCTCTGAGAGCATATGCCCATGCCAACGTACAATACAAATGTTCGCTCTACCTGCCGTCGGTATCGCCCTTTACAAGTCCAAGGCATCACCGTCCTACACAATGTATGCATGCGACCGAGGACAATCCACGATCAAGTGGTAACGCCACCTGCGAACGATTCGTCCGCTCAAGACTTATCCTTCACAGGAATGTCGTGCCCCGTGGCGGTCTTGAACCCACGTCGAATCGCATCCGAGATCTGCTCATCCTTTGCCTGCACGCGACAAGGTCAGCGCACGGGTCAAAGAAGGGCACGTAGAAACGGACCTGTTCAAGCGCGGACTCGTTGGACTGGTTGCCTTGGCCAAGGATGTGTTCCTGCACCCAGTCGACGCCCTTGTCGAGTGCGTCTTTGACTGCCGGTCAGCGTGTGTCACACTCTCTCAACGTGCATGTACCTTCTTTCTTCTCTCCCTGCGCGCCGCCGCCGAGCGCGCTGTTCAGCTTGCCCATCAGTCCCCCGGACGAAGAGTGCGATGAGGTGGTGGTGTCGGTGTCGTGCGGGCGGGCGACGGAGTTGGCGCCGGACATGGTCCCGGGCTGGGACGAGCTCGTCGATTCGGAGGCGAATTGCTTGAGGAAGTCCATGGGTTGGCGGGGCGGTAGGGGGGATATCGTGTCAATCATGAGGTATATAGGGCGATCGGCGCGAGTAAATGATGTCAAGACATGGTGGTGGTGGTGGAGTCGAAGCCTGCCAAGGACATCGGCCAAGAGGGGTCGCGGTCGTCTGCAAGACCAGTAAAGCGATGTCTCCTTCCTACCATGTTTATGCGCTCGACCCTCGTCGCGACCGTATCATTCTCCGCAGGCTGTCAATTCTCCTACCTCTCTTTGCATGATGTATCACGAGAGTGGCTGTTGTACAGATTATCAACTAGGGATCGACGAATCCGCTGTTCTGCACGGCGCGCCTCCGGAGCTCCTTATGCACTCTTTGTCTTGAGCCTATGAGTGATATGAGTAAGGGTATCCCCGAAAGGCGCACTGTAGCGACGAGATAGGATTCTGCATTGTCCCCGGCGTATACTTATCTGGCGTGGATGTCTATAACGGCGCCTCCACGATATGGTTCCGAGAAACCTTTATAGGTCATGTCCTCTCGGACCCCTCTCTGTCAGTTAATGCTCGTAGATATGTCGTGGGCTAGGGGCGCCTCCACCTCCACCTGGACTTTCCGGCGACATGTTGTTGTGAGTTTCAGGGTGTTCTGCTGAGACCTGTCTGATCAATCGCATAGTCGGAACGGAAACGCAATTTTATCTGCGGCAGCCATGGCAGTAGTAACGTCAGTGTTTACTTCACGAGTACGGCTTCTCAGGTGATCCCCAAGAGGCGCATGGCAGAAGCACGAACATCGCATGCAGCAGGCGCCAGAGCTGTCAAGGGTCCCGCGCAGTTAGAGCGCCACGGGGCTGGGAAGGACCCCCGTTAATACAGTTAAAGGTTGGAATATTCGCTGACCCAAAATGAGTCGTATTGTCGGCAATTTTCTGCTTCCATCGGCACGTTTTTGTCGGCAAATATTCCGACATCGGGCCTGCGGCGCCCATTTCGTCCGCCCTCTATTCCGGCATCGTGGGAATTAATGGCTATATCTGGGCTGTTCCTCTCCGGGCCCTCGATGGTTCGATCCTTTTGTCGACAAATATTCCGACCTTGGTTTGTCGCTCCGAACGGATGTCGCCAAAATTATTCCGGCCTGCGGCGCCCTCAGACGTGCTTTTGTCGGCAATTATTCCGACGTACGGCCCTTTTCAGGGCCGAAAATGTCGTCGGAATATTCTAACATTAAACCGTATTAACGGGGGTCCTGGCTGGGACCAGCCGTAATGCCTTATGCCGATATGGCGAGAATTGTGCGGTCCTGTTTCGCGTGTACATGGTCAGGTACAAAATATTCGTTCGCGGATAAGCGGCTAGTTCTGTACCGAAAGCTCTTTAGAATGCGATTTTCAACCTCTCTAATGCAAGGAAAGAATGAGTAAGGGTTTTCTTCGGCACACCGTATCACCTTTTGAGAACGTACTATTGGACCATTACTCTCGCTCCTCCTTGCTGGCCCCACAGCACGACCGGACTGTGGACCTAGTTCCGCTCATAAGTGAGGTGATCATCGAATGTCACTCGTCAGGGGATAGCATCCGTTATCTATTGTGCTGGGCAGCAAGACAGAATTGTAGATGTCGAGACATCGTTAGAGGGGGCACTGCACATGGGAAGTGGACCCACAACTACAATCGATTACAAGTCGGTAATTCATGATAACCTCCCCATCACGCCCAGCTCTCTTACTTGCCATGACCCGTGAGGACTGTCTCTCCCCAGGCCTGCAGTCTAACCGATATTGGCTTTCTATCACACAGAAGGGAAGCTACAGCAGAGACAAGATTCCATGACAAGCGACCATAGTACTGGCAAGGGCAAACTGTCCACTAGTTATGCGCGGAGGAGGGCGTGAGTCATTCTCATCCTATCGCAGATTTCCTGTGACATTGATGAGCTTGATGCTGCAGAGAAATGGAGGCAGAACGGGAAAGACAGGAGGTGACATCCTCCCCGCTTAGGATCTATACTCAGATCGCAGTGTCACTGACGTTTCACACATTTCACACAGGCAGAACGGGAGGAGCAGGAGAAACGGGAGCAAGAAGCAGCACAGCAGAAATAATGTCCAGACGAAGGAATAACGAACTGGGCTAATCTAACGTCTCTGTCCTACGTTAGATGCGCTCTCACGATGGCTGGCTGCCGTACATGGTGTTGCGCTGTCTAGATTTCGTGCTTCCTGCTTGTCGTTTCCGTGCAGGGACGGCATCACACGGATTGCTTGAGACGTGTGCGCGAAAGCGGACATTTCACCGAACCACCGCACGAAGGTGAACGGGTCGCCCGATCTCACCCGACCTCACCCTCGCAAAAGGAGGTGCGCGCGGTCGAAGTGCACTCTCAATTGATCCTGGAACGTTAGTCGAATGACACTAAAGCATGAGTCCTGCTGCACGTGGAGTTGTAATGCATTCGACGAACGCGTTACTCGCAACATCGCTGGCGGCAGTCATGTCTACTGCGAACAGCCGTGGGGCGAATCCTGCCATGGTTCGAGTGCGGTCAGCGAGTAGCCCGGGGCAGCGACGACACCAATGCAAAAGCGATGTATCGTCGTCGGCATGGATCTCTGGTATTTTGGCCGTCGAAGAGGGTTGGGGCGTTGTAAGAGCTTTGTGAAGCGAGCCAAACATATCATGGGTGAACAGCTCATGCAAAGTAGTAATGAATCAAAGCTATGCTGCCCGCATAGCTCGCTGGACGCAGAAAAGTACAAAGCGGATGAACAGGCTTGTCCGCGAGGAAAAGGTAGCCAAGCAAGCAAACACAAACAACGACCGGGCCGAAGGAGTTTCGCCCCACTGACGACCGCCTTGACTACTGACGCTCGTCGCTAAAGCGAGTGCTCTCATTCATTATTCCATACCTTCCATATTCTGAACATGAAGCAACCCTTGGACGAGAATCAGTGCTACTATCGCGGTTTTGTTGGAGTATCATCGATCACTGAGCTGGTTCTGCGCTGCTAGATGTACCACACAGCCTTCACGCCTATAGGACGAGCCAAAGCTGTTGAGAGTACAACACGAGATGCCCTCGATACATCTCGCCTTGTTACACTAGGACCTAAAAGATGGCTCGAATGCAGACTGGCGGCACTGTCAAGCTTTCCCTTCCCTCCATCAAGTCGTACCACGATACCCCCGTCCAAGAGTCCCGCCCTTGCAATGAACCGAACCATACAGATACTCGAGATTAGCACGGCAGCGACGAAAGCCGTACCCATTGCAGGTAGTTATCTTGAGGGTGTTCTCGGCACTGCACTGCAGATAGCGAAGATCGCGGAGGTGCGTCGTATCTACGACGGGATTCGGACAACTTGCTGACCCTCATCTCAGAAAGCAAAGTCCAACAAAGAAGACTGCCAAGCCCTGGCACGTCGTGCCGCAGCGGTAGCTTGTGCAATTGTCCACAAAGTTATGTGCATGGAGGTGCAAGAGGTCGCGAAGTTGACTCCAGACATACACATCCTTCTGCGGTAATGCCATCGTATTCCGCCCTCCATGGCGCTCACCCCACCACTAGGGCCTTGGACGATACACGAGCGCTCGCCGCGAAGCTGGCAGAAATCACCTTCTTCAAACGGCTCGCTAGCCAATCGAGGATCAGCACCGAGTTGCGCAGGATATCGTCAGAGTTCCAAGACGCGATAGATATCTTCGGAGTATGTGAAGCACGCGAGCTGTTCTCTGTTTTGGTTGACGAAGGCCCCAAGATCAATTCCCAGATTGATTCAGGGACCAGTATAGCGCATCTTAAAATAGCGGTCGAAGGCATCCAGACTACGGTGGACAAGATCGCGGTGAAGGAGCAGCCCGAAAGTTCGTACGACGGCGACGTGAGCATGAGTTTCCGTTCTCGGCTTCGATGGTGTAACTGATGTCTCTACTAGTACCGATTGTTTCGTAGTAGCGATCTCGTGATCGCCGAGGAACTACGGGTACTCAACGGCAATGATGCGGCTGCATACCTGGTAACTGTCGGCCAGACCAACGAAACGTATGTCATGAAGAGATATGCTCGTCGCGATGCAGCATTCCGCGCCAAGATCGACTTCCTGCGAGGCGTACGTCTTCGGTGAGTATTATCATTGTGCTCGAGCCCGTTGCTCATCGTCGAATCGCAGATTTGCTCACGTTGAGCAGTTGATTGGATATTCGCGGGACTCATCTGACCCGTTCTACGTTGCCCATGCAGGTGACCTCTGAGCACCGAAACTCTCCGGTTCAGCTGTATTTATGGATGTGATTAGGTCGCGTGGATGTCGAAGCTTGCATGACAGGCATTGCCTCTGAACAGCAGCTGAGAAACGCGGTGATATGGGTACGTTGATTCGCCTGAGCGCCGATGAAGAGCTCACCTCCCTGCAGACGCAGCAGATGCAGGTTCGCTTCTGGCGATGAGGAATGTTCGGTCTTCTCATCTTTTTATAGAGCACAGCAGACTCCCTGCTGGATTATATGAGACAGCTGTATCGACGAGTCTGGAATGGAACACTCGGTCTGGATGGCCGGGGGGATATTACTGTGTGCTTGGAGAGGACCATGTTTGACGTGCGTCAGAATTCCATACAGCTAATGCCCCTCGATAACACGCTTCGCAGATCCGCTACACTGCGTACGTCGATCAAAGCGACCGGGTCATCTTTGATCTCGAGTTCTCCGAAGTCAAGCCAGAGCGGCGCAAATGCCAGTGGTATTGGAACAACAACTATGATCGATCCGCTCTCATTCAGGTGGTTCCGTTCATGCTTGATAACCTTGTCGCCGAATGCTCATTGCTCAAACCAGGCGCAACCTACTTGGTCACATCAATCCTCTAACGAAGCCCTTCACAACGCACTCGGCTCTACTCCGCTGCAGCTGCTGGAAGCGTTGCTTTCAGCGCGAGACGTTGGAGAGGTCTCCGATCACCTATACACCAAACAAGTGCTCGACTGCCGATTCATAGGCGCCGGGCCGGTTATGAACATCCGTTATGATGATCGGCCATATGTCTGTGACCGAGCTCAACTGGGATCTCGATATTTCATTCCTACCCATCGCTCTGCTTCGTGGATCACTATGAATGGGCCGGCGCAAAAGGTGGGGAAGGGTACATATGTGGAGCTCGCGGATGGAACTATCAGGTACGGCTTTCAGTCTTCGCTTCAATGATGGGTGGTATACACTGAGCTTGATATATTACAGGCACACCGTCTGTTTTGACGGCAGTGTATGCGGCATATCGGTTCGCGAGTTCGCATGGCCGACTGCAGATACGCCAGCAGCGTGGCTATGGTTGCTTCAGCATGCAGCCCAGACAGCCCATCACCATGGGATTCTTGCCACTGACCTTGGCGCAGGTCAGTCGGCATTGTATAGTTCAACGTTCGATTGCTTCCGCTCATTTTCGTTGTTTTAGTGACTGGATTGCTCATGTTCCGCCAGACGAAGCTCGTATTGCCGTCTGGAGGGGCCACAATACCCTCCACCATATATTTCTTTGAGTACCCTCCTGTTGAAGTCGGGCCAGTGCACGTGGCTTGGGGATACTGGGCCTGGGATGAAGAAGGGCAGCACACCTCGACCGTCAAGTCTTGTTACTACGACGGCTGGGTTTGGAAAGTTGTTCTAGAGCTGGGTGAATTGTCGTTTAAGATGACGCGGTGAGCTACTACGGATGTGTATTATGATGGAAGCAATCTTGACAAGTATTTCTCTCGCAGTCGAACTCAGTTCGAGTATGCGAGTCTGTCCAATGATCTCGCGCAGCTCATCCGGGATTGCGTGCCGGAGGTAACAACGGACTCGTGATCGAAGCCCCCACGACGCTTGGCGGCAAAGTAACACTACCGTAGTATGGTCTTTTTGTAGTTGGCAATAGCCCAGAATTTTCGAGCGTTCCGGTGCAGACGCCGATGTTTATCTTTCTGAGGTGTCCATATGAGAACACGGTCGACAGAGTCACCACGAAACGCGAGGTATACATCGAAGTACAATCTGAGCCATAGCAAGTCCGTAACGCGGTTGAACGCGAAGGTGCGACTTTGCGGGATACATGACATAATGCTTCAGGTCCTGCGCACGACGGCGCGATCGGATTCGAAGAGAGAAGCGCGGCGCTAGTCCCGTGGCTTGCGCATCTGATCCAGCCCAGCCCGTCTCGGTCAACGACAATGAAACCGTATATAACGGTCCCGACGATGCCCCGAGTCGACGCTAACGCCAGACGACCGTCATCATGAAGCTTGGCCTGCTCGCGTTCGCCGCCGCGTTCTATGGCGCACGAGCAACATACATCGACCCGAGTGTGCTCGATGCCTGCCCAGGTTACGACGCGACGAATGTATCGACGTCCGGCGCGGACCTCACCGCGAACCTCGTCCTCCGAGGCCCATGCGGCGTCTTTGGCGACGACGTGAAGACTCTGCGGCTCGAGGTTTCATACGAGACCTGTACGTTTCCTTCGACCTCCCCGCATATATGCGCGGTATTGACAGGTAGACAGCGACGCGCATACATCTGAAGATCACCGATCCATCCTCAACGCGATACGAAGTTCCGGATTCGGTCTTCGCCCGCCCGACACCGGACGCCACACCACCGCAAAACGCGAGCATCGAGTTCACCTACACTTCCTCGCCCTTCTCCTTCTCCATCCTCCGCGCCTCGACGCACGAATCGCTCTTCAGCACCGGCGCACATCCCATCATCTTCGCGCCTCAATACCTGCGCGTCAAAACCGATTTACCCGCGCACGCGAATGTGTACGGGCTCGGTGAACACACGGACACCTTCCGCCTCCCGACCCTTAACTTCACCCGGACGCTTTGGAGCCGCGACGCTTACGGCGTGCCGAACGGGACGAACCTGTACGGAAACCACCCCGTCTACTTCGACCATCGCACCAGCGGCACGCACGGCGTGTTCTTCCTCAATTCCAATGGGATGGACATCAAGCTCGATGAACCGGAGGGGAGCAACACGACGACGTTGGAGTATAATGTGGTTGGCGGCGTAATCGACATGTACTTCCTTGCAGGGAGCATGACGGACCCGAACGAGGTGGCGAGGCAGTACGCAGACCTTGCAGGCAAGCCGGCGGAGGTACCGTATTGGAGCTTGGGGCTACACCAGTGCCGATTTGGTTACGAAAGTGCGTTTGTCCTTCTGGTCTTCACGAAGCTTGCGTGCTAATGAATAATGCAGGCTTCGTGGACGTCGCGGACGTGATCGTGAACTATTCCAAGGCCAATATTCCACTCGAAACTATGTGGACCGACATCGGTGCGCTCTCTTTTTCGCGCGCATATATGGACTGAGCTTACTGGTTCGACAGATTACATGTACAACCGTCGCGTTTTCACTCTGGATGCCGTACGTCCTCTCCCTCTTCGCTTCCCCTTGATTCGATCTTGAACACTGACACCCCGATGCCCCCCGTAGGACTATTTCCCTACGTCCCGCATGCGCGAGATCGTCGACTACCTGCACGCGCACGATCAGCAATACGGTGCGTTCCTGCCTGTTTCTTTGACATGTCTCTAAAGGAACATGGCACTAATATGATATTTCCTCTAGTGATGATGGTAGACCCCGCGGTTGCCTACCTTCCCAATGAGGCTGACAGCGCATACGCCCGCGGTTCTGAGAAAGGCGTCTGGCTCCGCTATCCAAACGGCTCCTACTACGAAGGTCTTGTCTGGCCCGGTGCGTGTCTCCCTCTCCTTTGTATCCTTTTTCTCTTGGCCCTCTGACTGGACTTTCCTATTGTCCTGAATTTATTGTTCGTCTGCGCCCAATCTGCTCTTCCATTCTCGTCTTCACGCATGCTCCGCGAAACTGACGAATGTTACGGACAGGTGTTACCGTTTGGCCAGATTGGTTTAATCCCGACGCGTCCCCCTTCTGGACTGCCGAGTTTGCAAGCTTCTTCAATCCATCGACCGGGATCGACATTGACGGCGCGTGGATCGACATGAACGAGCCTTCGAGCGTGAGTCATCCTATTCTCCAGCCGTCCTCCTCTATAACGTGAGGCTGATCGGTTCCGTGTAGTTCTGCGTTTTCCCGTGCACGGATCCGGCACAGCAGGCGATCGAGCAGAACCTGCCACCACAGAGGACAAGTTCACCACCTGACCCTGACACACCGATCTTCGGTGGCACCGCGAGCGCGACGGCGAGTTCATCAAAGGCAACTACCGCGAGCGCAAGTTCGGCTTCAGCCGTGTCGTCGGTTTCTGTTTCAGCAAGTTCCGTACCGGCGAGCTCGATTTCAACTTCAGCAACGTCGGCCTCCGCGAGCTCAGCTTCGGTCGCAGCATCTTCGGCCCCTAGAGCCTCAGCTTCGGCGATCAGTCCAAGGGAGAAGAAGATTGGGGCAGCAAAGCGCGAGCAGCAGCCGATCAGCCACGACGGCGAGGATATGAACACGCCGCCGTACCAGATCAACAACGCGGCGGGCGTGCTATCGAGCAAAACCGCTGATGTGCGTGTGCTCACTCTTACGGGCGTTCCATGCAGAGACCGATATCCTCGTAGACGGACGCGACTCATTACAATGGACTGATCGAGTACGATACACGTTAGTCCTTTGCCTTCGGTTGCTGTTGCCAAGTGGCCTGACCTTGCCGTTATCGACGCAGACAACCTGTACGGCACCATGATGTCCGCGGCAACCCGCGAGGCGATGCTTGCCCGTCGCCCGGGACTGCGCACGCTCGTCATCACACGCTCGACCTTCGCTGGTGCCGGGGCACGCGTCGGTAAATGGCTCGGCGACAACTTCAGCACATGGTGGCATTACCGCGCCAGTATCGCGGGCTTGCTCGGCATGACGACCGTGTACCAGGTGCCGATGGTCGGAAGTGACATCTGCGGTTATGGTGCGCCTTATATTCGCTTTGTGACAGTGGAAAAGCAGGGACGTTGATGCTTGGGGGTGTTTCAGCCGAGAATACGACGGAGAACTTGTGTGCGCGCTGGGCGATGTTGGGTGCATTTAGCCCGTTCATGCGAAACGTAAGTCTCAACAAGATACATCTGTGATACGAGACAGACCTGACTGATGTCTCATGGGGATATTTAGCATAACGCGGACACGTCCATCAGTCAGGAGTTCTATCGCTGGCCGACAGTGGCGCAAGCGGCGCGCAACGCGCTCAATATTAGGTTCGTCACGGTCCACGTCTGGCTATTTTGGACGGATGCGCTGACACGGACGATAGGTACCGCCTACTCGACTACCTATACACGGCGCTGCACCAAGCAAGCGTGGACGGCACGCCCGTCGCATCGCCACTCTGGTTCGCATACCCCTCGGATGCGAACACGTTCGGGATCGACCTGCAGTACCTCTTCGGTCCCTCCGTGCTCGTCTCGCCCGTCACGGAGGACGACGCGACGTCCGTCTCTTTCTACCTCCCAAATGACCGCTTCTACGATTTCGCCACGCTCGCTCCGGTCGAAGGTACTGGTGCACAGGTCACACTTGAAAACGTCAACTTCACGAGCATACCGCTGCACATCAAGGGCGGCTCGGTGCTGCCGTTGCGTGTGAGCGGTGCGATGACGACCAAAGCGCTCCGGGCGACCGACTTCGAGCTCGTCGTCGCCCCCGGGCGAAACGGCCGCGCGACCGGCAAGCTCTATGCGGACGATGGAGTGTCGCTCACGCAGAACAAGACCACTCAGGTTGACTTCGCGTTCGCAAACAACGTGCTGTCGGTGAAGGGCAGCTTCGGGTATCCGCTCGGGGTTAACGTACGACGTGTGCGGGTATTGGGCGCAAAGAGGCCGCTGGGGGCGGAGCTCAGTATCGCCGGGAAAGGCAAGAATTTGAAGGTTACTTGGGACAAGACACCGCAAGTGCTAAATGTAGACGTGGGGATCGTGTTTGGTCAGGATTTCCAGATCAAGCTATCGTGAACTACGTGAATAATATTTTCTCCCATGGGCACGGGCTGCTGGTCAAATTGATCGGTGTGCGTGACATATTTCCACTTTCTCGATGCACTTGGTCGCTCGTCCATTTTGACCTGCGACGGCCGATTGTAACGGATCTGCTCCAAGCATGGCGGAGGACGTGAGCGCAGTTGTGCGGGTCTGAGGTCTTGCGCTCCGGTCGAGAGTATCCGCGGAATACATGAGTTGGTCTGGCCGAACCTGATAACATGTGAACAAGAACCTACATCCAGTATCAGGAACGACAGAACGGGAAGAGCCTCGAGGACGCGGGATGTCACCCTGGGCCTCGCACTGGCAGGCTGTAAAGTGCTTCGCGGCATCTTGTACATACAACACACGGGATGCTTGAGATACGGCAGTGTATGGTCCGGCGTATGCCTCGTTGTTTGAGCCAGATATATGACAGATTAGAAGAAGGAACACGAGGCAAACCTATGGAACACCCAAACGGTACCCAAGATGTTCCAAGCAGCTGTGAACTTCTGTTGTGACAAGGGTCCACCTCGTCGGGACGTCGGCCCGTTCAATGGCTCTGCGGCGCGACGGCGAGTCCACATTGTCGGAACTTAAAGCGCTTGCATGATGAAACAAACCCTGGTTTGTGATAAGCTCGGTGCATCAGTAGACCACGCGAAATGGAGGCATGAACCGAAGTACCATCTAGTTGCTGTAGAACGGTGGTCATTTTCGGTCGTAGTTCGCTTTGCTGGTGCCAGCATTTCTCGATCAGCGACCAGAGTGTGTCCGATGGCGTGATCGCGCAGCCATCACCATTCATCGGGCGACGAGGCCGTTGACCTTCCAGAATCCGTACAATGACAGTTGCCTCACGGCGGATCTCATAAAACGGCGGTCTAGTGGTGTAAATCTAAGGATTTAGGTATCAGCTGGGTATGGTAATGAAACCACAAACATGAAGTTATACCTCATAACAAACACATGCGAACGAATATACATCGCCTTCAAAGGTTGGTTTTGAGGTCGGATTGCTCTGCGATGAAAAGCGTTCTGGACACAAGAGCTCAGGAGCGGTCCATCTTCCACCCTGGTGGTTCTGCGTCGCCACCTGAGTGGCGTACTCGCTGAGAATTCTCGATAAGCCGAAGTCAGCCAGACGAGGTCTGCCTGTGTTGTCAATCAGGATATTTACCTGCGTCGAATTCAGACAGTTTCGGACGATACAGGAAAGGGCGCTTACGCCTCGCAAGTCTCCATGAGCGACATTCATTCTGTGCAAGTATTCCAGCCCTTTGGCCGTGCCGTGCATCTGAGCAACCAGGTAATCGCTTCGCGGAGACAACAATCCCAGTGAGTCTTACCAATTTCTTCAAGAGCTTAGACGATGGCGAGGAACAGCTTCTGATATATTCAATCAAGTTTCCATTCTCCATCCAGGGTGTTACCATGCATGGCACGGATTGACCTGGGTTGTCGAAACGGACAAGGCCCAGAAGAGGAACGATGTTTTTGTGAGATAGGAGATGTAGTGTGAGGTATTCATCAATAAATTTCTACGGAATGATTTGACGTTTGATTTAAGAAGCTGGCATAACTTCCGAACGTACCTTCGTGCACTCATCAACGCTGCCTGTGTTGCAACGAATTCGTTTGATCGCAAGCGGGCGACCTTTATGCTGCACTCGGTATACGTCGGCATATCCTCCGTACTTCTCCGCGTTCTGACCCAGGAAAGTGGGGTTCATGTAAAATGATCCAGGAATGACTCCGGTGATTTGCACAATTTTTTGCATCAGTCGGAAGATCACAGGAATAAGAGACGCTCGGCGCGCAAGGGAATGGTGTTGCTGAAGGTACTGTCATAGCGACGGGTGTTCATCTCAGTAGAGTGTACAATTAGTGAAGCTCCTGCACTGACTGACTCCAGCTGGCACATAAATCGATCCGCATCTCCCGGTTGGATGTTCAAGGTTTCTCCTTGTACTGAGCATGCTGCGCCATGCATAGCGCGGAGGAGCTGTTTATCAAGAGGTGTAACACTTTTATGGAATATCAGTACAATAATTGTGAAATGTCCTCCTCAAGTAGCTCACGAAACTCGATGTTGGAATGCATCCGGCTCAAGTCATTCCCATAAAAAGATCGGCGATGAACTCTAGGCAGAGCCTTTCAGATTGATTCTAGCCAAGCTGAAACAATGCGTACTTGCTGTAGGTAGTTTGCAGACCGGCGTGGAGTCGACGTGGCAAGGGGTGGACAGTGAAGCGCGAAGCACAAATACAGTACTTGAGGGCCGGGAACGGCGCTTTGCTCCTTCGCGTGAGGGCCAATACATAAGACGGTCACGAGCGGTCACCGTGACACATTAGAAGACAGGGGGCTCGTCGAGCTCATCGGCTTCGTCAGACTGTTTTCGCTTTTTCGATACCGGCCGAGGCTTGGGCCTGGGTTTGTTCTGTTCTATTGGCAAGTCCGCCGGGTCGCTGGGTGTAACTGCTGCCCGGCGACGTGACGACGACCTAGTAGGGACCTTGGTCTGTCCCTTGGTGGTGGCATTTCGGGCAGCGGTGTTCCTTTCTTTCTTCTGCTTGGCCCGAGCTTGTTTCTGTGCAATGGCCATCGTTTAAGTCGGGCTTGAGAGCAGGTATGACTGATAACGACAACTATTGGAATATGGAAGAGGACAAGCTTGCGAGCTGGTCGCGTGCACTGCCGCGAACTCTTCGTCGTATACACAGGTTCACGAACTCGGAATATAACCACACATGCACTTCGGTAACTAATTCCTACATCATACAAACTTATTCCTGAAGTCCAAGCTCCATGATTGCTCATCAAACGGTCGATATACTCATGTGGTGTCCTTTGCACCGAGGGAGATCACGCTATCCGTCATTTGTCCAAGATTTCTAGCCTTGCATCTGCAGAACGTCAAGGGCTACGACTTTCATGTATGAATCATCTTGAAATTCGCCGTCGTTGTCGAGATATCGTCGATATCCTGTGGACGTGCCCGAATGCGACAAAAGTTGCGTTGGAGCACGACGCGCCATCACTTCTGCAAACAGCAGTAAACCACCGTGTGCAGACGTCGACTTGCAGACTGGGGCGTAATCGTTCCTCGATGTCTCCTCAAGCCAGTGTTGCATTACAGACTGCATACATCGCACAAGCCAGTTACGCTATCTCCCTTCATACGCAGCGGCATCCGTGAAGATCGACGGTCTCAATACGCCAGGCCTTCGAGACGCCTGCCACCCTCACTGAGGTGGTCCCGGACGGCACGCATCTCTGGTCGCTCAGCAAGTTCCTGCTTCCAGCACCGCTCTGTAATAGCCCATATCTCCGCATTGAACATACATGAACTCTTTTGAAGTTCAGCCTCGGTCGGTTTGATGGGGCGTTCGCCCTGGATAACCTTCAATATGACTTGTGCCTCGCGAGGAAAGCGGTAGAAGGGGACCCGACCCGTGAGAACCTGTTGGTGAACGAGGAGCTACTGAACGGGTCGCGACACCATAGCAAAACACGTTCAGGACTTACCTCATAGCACACACAGGCGAATGCATAAACATCGCCTGCTTTGCTGCAAGATGGAATCGCGCTGGGTTCCTCTGGGTCAGCGTCCTTGACATCAATGAGCTCAGGTGAAAGCCATCTGGCACTTTGTGACTGCGTCCTGGAAGTTGGCGTCGCAAAATGATTCAGAACCAGCGAAAGCCCGAAATCGGCGAGCCTGGGGTTGTCGTGCTCGTCCACGAGCACGTTGGCCTGAGAATGGTGGTCACGTTGACTGATCACCATACAGGCGGCGCACAATAGCTTACCCCTCGCAAGTCACCGTGCACGACGTTCTTCGAATGTAGATACGCTAGCCCTGTCGCAACTCCACATAGCTGAACAAAGAACCCTCGTCATCCAAGGATTTAACATATGTTATAAATAAGACAGTTACCAGCCGTTTAACCTCCCTTTGGGAGAGCTTGGATCGGCCGCGAGAAACTTTGTTCTGTATGTACTCCTGCAGGCCGCCTTTGTTCATCCATGGCGTCACAAGACAAGGCATAACTTCCAGCGAGTTGCTGAGGCCATTAATGCGCTGAGCATTGAGACTAGGGTCGGTATCCAAGAATTCCGTCAAGCCGAAGAAAGGCAGAATGTTCTGGTGCTTGAGGAAGAATAACGTCAAACATTCGTTCATGAAAGTCTGCATGATTTCATTTAATGTGTCAGCTCCCATTCCTGAGATATTGATATACCTTGGCCAATCGCTCTCGGTTGATGGAAGGATCTAAGTAGGCTCGCAACCTCTTCACTGCGACTGCCTTGCCTTTCCACGTGCCCTCGAACACATCAGCAAACCCTCCTTGCTTCGGGCGCTTCGTCACGTTCACATCGTCGAGGTATAAAGGGAACCGATTGGTGAAGATTGCCAGCTTTGAGAGAATCCGACTAATGGCGGGCATTTCGGGATGGTCGTGACGATCATGATTTCCGGTAGGTGGCTCTAGATACTGGGTTCAGGGCAACATTGAATCAGTCTTGTCACCATGAACAGTGTCTATGAGCACCTCACCTCCAGCAGGCGATCCATCAGTGCCGCAGCGGCGTCGCGACTGAATGTGCGGCGGTCACCTGCGACATGAGGATGGTCGTTAGGATAGATCTTCTTGAAAATGTTCACGTCCGGCTCAGTGATGCCTGAAGCTATGAGACCCTCATCATATCAATAGGAGCAGGACATACGAATTTCAAGGGTGCCTTGATCGTGTGCGCCTGCTGCGTTTCCCGTACGCAGCTCTTTGCACCATGACCCGAAGCTCTCGGCGCCACGGTGATCCGGAACAGGCGATTGCGGATCAAGACCACTAATTCTACGTTAACGCTGTGTAAGGAAGTGTGTTTTTCCAGGAGAAAGGTATGTGCGCACAGACTGAATCGGTTACCCATGGTTGATCGAGAGCGTTAGGTTGACGTGACGGCTGGAGGGAATTTAAAGACTTTCAGCGAGCGCTAAAGTGCTTCGCGAACTTCCTGCAAGACGGCGCCAATATACACCAGGACGAATCGTGGAGTTGCGGTCGCGGGTAATTGTTTGAAAACCTCGATGCCTTGATACTCGTAACGCGGTACCACGACGAACACGGTGAGCCGCAAACGGGAGTATACAGTGCTCAGAAGCTTACTTCACCCACCGTAATGGTCTGCCATTCGGATGCATAGTCTATGCTCTTTCCGCGTCTAAAAGTAGTATCAATACATTGAGATAGGTGCGGTATGCTGAGAATATCGTATCGGGATGGTGCTTGATGTCTCAATATGGATCCATGTCGACAGACACTCAGATTCAATACACGAGCTCGTGAGAGGTGTATTCTTGTTATCTATCAGAGGCATGTCAAATCGGGCGATATGAAGTCAGACGACACGACGACACCTTACTCGAGAAGTTCGATGGCGGCCAACGTTTTAACGCTGTGCCGTGAGATCGCACGGCGCACAGCCGGAGAGCATTACACTCACATGATACAAGCCTCACAACCGGCATTGGCGCTGCTGCGCTCTGATACGTCCATCATGCCCAACCTTGATAAGTGAAGAAGCATTCGCCTGCGCGAGCATGCATGGCATACAGTGTGCGCTCAAAGCTGCTGCCATCATGTAATCGAGTCGCTGTACTGATCATGCAGGGCTATCTGCGCTTGCTAACACTTGAAACCTGACAAAGAGAAAATGGAATGGCGCTTCGTTGCATCATAGGTCAGCATCACCTTCAATAGCGGGTTTTTGGGTTGGACTACCTACATATGCGGAATTCCGCTTTTCGCCGTTCAATTACCACGAAGTGGATATGGGGGCTGACTATATCAAGGCAGAAGATTACAATTAGTACAAGGGTTACAATGTGAGCCGGGGCTCGCTGTAGTAAGCCACGAGACCAGCCCGTAACTCCGTCCGATCCCATCGCGGGATGGTGTCAAATACTTGAAAGCAAGATGCACTGCGCTTTAGGTACTCACTCGCGGAGTTGACATAATAGGCAATCTTTCCAACCCGAGGCGGCAATTACAGCGTGCATGCCTTGGTGTCCGATATAACTATCCTCTGATTGAGTTTGCCTTATGGCTCTCTCCTCCTTCGGAGTCGTGGTGCTTGCCGTGTCGTGATCGCGTCGGTCCACAGTTTCGGGGTCCACCAGGGTGGTGTAGCTGATCAACGAGCTGCAGGCTCGATGGACATAAAATATGCCACGGGTCTAAGGTTTAGAATCGCACGAGGTACCCTCGCTATTACCGCGCTAGAAAACAGATGTCTCTGGATTTCTATCAGAAGGTCAGTTTCAGGGCTGCGAGCAACTGGAAGGGTGTATGATTATATCCTTGCTCTCGTCGCCTATCGAGTTTGTGTGTTGTATGTAAACAGGGCAAAGGGTAAGAGATCCCGAGTCCAACAGGTTTCCGAACCTTAATGCTGCCGCGTGGTTCTGTCTCATATCCGCGCCCATATAAGACTCCGATTAGCGCAACGTGGCAATGGCAGTAGCGGGACAGTCCATCATGAGCACGTAGTATCTGTAACTGCCACCTAGCCCGAGAATGTCCTATCAAGTCGATAATATAGACGCTGGAATTATGAGGAGCATAGTATGCATGTGCTCAACTTGTCTACTTGTAGTTGCAACCGGCCAATGCAGCTTCGGAGTACGATACACAGAAACACAGTAAGTGACTAGTACGGGTATTGCATGTCGATCATCAAGTGACAGAAAGTAACGGAGCTTTTTGAAGGCACTCTACGACTTGCGCAGCCGACGGCCGCTTCTCCGGCAATTGATCCCAACACTTCGTAATCAATCCCTCGATGTTCGCTGGAGGAAGGCCGTACGGGATGTTTTGTATAGTGTACGCAGGGCGTTCTCCATTCATGACTCGGAATATCACAGCGGCGTCGCGTTTAATAGTAAAGAACGGGGCACGCGAGGTATAGATCTATTATGACACATGAGCCAGTTCCAGTGTATTCCCTCGCTCCAGAGCCCACCTCATAGCAAACGCATGCAAAAGCGTACATATCACTGGCACACGTTGGATTTGAATTTGTCAAGCCAAACGACTCCGGGGAAAGCAACTCCGGCGAGGTCCATCGAGTGGATCCCTCCGGCTTTTTGCGGGTGGCAAGCATAGGCCACTCGGCAATCAATTGCGCAAGCCCATAATCGGCGAGGAGCGGGCACATGTTCTCGTCCACCAAAATGTTGACCTGGAATATTTGGGCGCTCAGTAACAGACATGCCCTGAGATGATGAACCTACGCCTCGGAGATCCCCATGGACAATTCCTGAGCTATGAAGGTACGCCAATCCCCTCGCCACGCCAAGAACCTGCGGAAGGAACACATCTCTTAGGTAAATCAATAGTCATGGAGACTTGTGGGGGCGTACCAATTGCTGTCTCTCTTGATCGGTAATATACGTCGCCTTGTTAAGAAACGTACGCAGGTTGCCATGGCGCATCCATGGGGTCACCATACATAGCAACGAAATCTCTAGACGACCAGATTCGAGTACACAATCCGACCAAAGGCCAAGAAACGGAAGAACGTTGCTATGATGAACGTGCACCCACACAAGCGACTCCGTAAGAAGAGCCTGCAAAACTTCAGACGTGAAGGATTGCCGACATTCAAGTACACGTACCTTGAAAAGTCCGAAAGTTTGGTCGGGCGTCCCAGACAATCGAAACCGCTTCACAGCCACTTGCTTCGAAGGAGAAAGATGCCCGGCGAAAACATCTGCATGCTGTCCATCGTACACGGGAATAGAAGACTCTATCTGAACTTCGTGTAGCATCAGGTTCTCTGGATATCGATCGAGCTGTGGCGCCAAGCTGTGTAGTACTCGCAAAGCAGGCCTCAGGAGTCTCGGATCTGTCACGGGTTCAGATTTGCTGGCAAGTCTCTGCGATGTCGACCCGTCTCAGATTACGGAGAAAAAGTATAGCATTCGATGTAACGTACCGTTTGCACACTCTCCAGCAACTCGACACCCTGATGATATGTGAGCTGGATCAAGTCTCCCGCAACTCTAGGAATGCCAGGAATATTCAACAGAGCTAGATTCGCTACCTCCTCCGAGCTCAAAGCTGTCAACGTACAGGATGATTATGCCTCCAAACCCTGACGGTCCAAACAAAGACTTACAGAGACTGCATGAACCACCCCCAGACTCACAGGAGTGTTGGATGCCTGATCGTCGACATAACAGCGAATTCGCGCTTAGTGTTTCTCTGTCCTCGACCCTTATTGAGATCATGCATAATCTACGGAGAACAGAACTCACATATTCCGCTGCAACGCATAATCCCCATCAGTATCAGCGCGCCTGCTTTCGAAGTAGACTATACCACTGTCTTCTGCACATTATCCATACCGGGAGGTCCCTATAATTTGTGTTACAACAGCGAAAGAACTCGAACACGGGTTTTCGTCTACCTTATGACTCGCCATGAACCTGAATCCTGACGACGAACGAGGGTCATTGCGATAAAGAGTAGGCAAGGTATTGTAGGCAGTGGATATCGCTGCACCTGAGGACGACGAACCATCTCGGTATGAGTACAAGACGATACGTACGAAGAATACGTCGACGTACCCATTTGTGTCGTTGCACGGAGGCGAAGACTCTTGTGGTGTTGAGTAGAGCTAGTGAGTCAGTATGCTAAGCGAGCGCTACCTTGACCAGAGAAACGCCCTCGAGACGAGGCTACTTTCGAGACACCCGATGGGCCCGGGGTCCCTTCCTTAAGTACGATGGGGTCTCAAAGTAAAGTAAAAATAACGTGTCCCCCCGATATTGATATGGGGAAGCCGTTGCCTGTTCCCTTCACAGTTAGTATTAGAAGGCGGACTCTGGCGAGCGTCTAGGAGGCCATGTAGTACTCCAGCCTTCTAATGGCAATGGCACCTCAACGTCATCATGGAACCCGCAAGAGATTGGGTCAACCTTTGAGCTGGCTGTACGTCGGTGCAGCCCCGTCTCCCTGTCGGCGGTGAAAGCAGGATACCATTGCTTCGGTCGCGCAATCCCCGAGATCCATTGGGAACAGCCCATCACGTTCCCACCTTAATCACGGGTCCGTGCACAGCGGGAAGCAACACGATTCCCTCGCCCAAAGCACCCGTTTTGACCGGGTACGTACGATTCCGGTATCTTATACACTGGAAAAAAGGCGGGTGCCCCGCGCCTTCACCTTCGCTTGCATTGCCATTGCACGAGTAGATCGCATTCTTAAAAAAAGAGTTTGACACGGTAAAAGCGCATCGCCACAAACTTAGCACCGCCACGGTTGCTGATGCTTACTAATTACCGGCATCCGAGATACCTGAGCAAGCTCAGGTAATAACGTGTCTACCGTGACGCGCTATGTACGGCTGCTTCTGTTGGCTGGTGCGCGTCGTGCACGCCAACAGGACGGCCGTGTGCACTATGAACTTCTCGAGATTCGTATACTGTAAGACACTGCTGCAGCTCGACCTATTAGCTCTTCCGCGATAGCCATTCTGCGGCTGATCGACTTCCCCGTCCTTCTCTTGCGCCCACCCTGCATGCCGGAACCCCGAGGCCCGAGGCCTGGCTCGTGTTCGCGCCAGATTTACTATGCATCCACCCCTAATGCAACATCGCCCCCTAATGCAACATCGACACAAATCCCTCTCCCGTCTCTCTCCTACTCAGCTGTTCGTCTCGAAAAAATCTATGTACTCTGAAGCATCTATACATACTGTATGCAAGAGCTGAAGTGGGAGCGAGGCTTGGTTTGGGATACAGAAAAACAATAGGACGGCTCGAGTGAGTTGATGCAACATGTCGCGAGTACTCCACGGCCTCGCTTCGCCGGATCGGTGAAAAAAAATCATGGGAATATTTGGTAGTACTCGTTACCTTGTTGCGTTCGTCCTTCTGGTCTTCACGAAGCTTGCGTGCTAATGAATAATGCAGGCTTCGTAGACGTCGCGGACGTGATCGTAAACAACTCCAAGGCCAATATCCCCCTCGAGACGATGCGGACCGACAGTGCGTCATCTCCTTTTTCGCGCATGCATGCACTTAGCTGATTGGTCTGCTAGATTACATGTACAAGCGCCGCTTTTTCACCCTCGTCCCCGTACGTCCTCCTCTTCGTTCGCCTCCCGACTTTAACCGAACCCTGACCATACAACATCTCGCAGGACTACTTCCCGACGTCCCGCATGCGCGAGATCGTTGACTACCTGCACGCGCACGACCAGCAATACGGTTCGTCTGGATTCTTCTTCACACCTCACAAGAGAACGTGGCACTGACATCGTGCTCGCTGCAGTGATGATGATCGACCCGGCAGTGGCCTACCTTCCCGATGAGCCTGACAGCGCATATGCCCGCGGCTCCGATAAAGGTGTCTGGTTTCTCTATCCAAACGACTCCTACTATGAGGGTCTTGTCTGGCCGGGTGCGTGCCTCTCCCCCCGTTATCCCCTCTTTTCCGGTTTCATTCTACATACCACCCTCTGTGTGTTCGACCTTCCCTATCGTTTTCCAAGCAACAGTCTCCCTATTGAATTTGCATCCCACGTTCTCTCTTATTCGCCACTCGATGTATACGCATCGAAACTAACGAAGAGTGCGGACAGGCGTCACCGTTTGGCCGGACTGGTTCAACCCGGACGCGTCTCTCTTCTGGACAGCCGAAGATATGATTACGGAAGCGAAGCGCGAGCAGCAACCGATCAACCATTATGGCGAAGATTTGAACACGCCACCATATCAGATCAACAACGCAGCGGGTGTGCTATCGAGCGAAACTGCCGATGTACGTGTCTTCACTCTCACAGACGTTCGGCACTAGAAACTGACATACTTATAGACTGACGTGACTCACTACAACGGACTTCTCGAGTATGATACACATCAGTCCTTTTCCTTCGACATTCTTTTAGTATGTTGTCTAACCTCTGTCATCCACGTAGACAACCTCTACGGCACCATGATGCCCGCCGCAACATGTGAGGCGATGCTCGCCCGCCGCCCGTGGCTGCGCACGCTCGTCATCACACGCTCAACGTTCGCCGGTGCCGGGGCGCGCGTCGGGAAATGGCTCGGCGATAATTTCAGCGCATGGTGACACTACCGTGTCAGTATCGCGGGTCTGCTTGGTATGACGATCGTGTACCAGGTACCCATGGTCGGGAGTGACATCTGCGGGTACGGTGAGTGCCCTCTGTGATTCTGATCGTCGAACAAGTATACTGATGTGCGTGCTCTTGTGAAGCTGATGATACGACGGAGAATCTGTGCGCGCGCTGGGCGATGTTGGGCGCGTTTATCCCGTTCATGCGAAATGTGCGTCCCGTTCCTGGAATCCTGTACAATGCCAACAAACATAGCTGACGTGCCACTGTGTGCCTAGCATAACGCAGACACGTCCATCAGTCAAGAGCTCTATCGTTGGCCAACAGTAGCGCAGGCGGCGCGCAACGCGCTCAACATCAGGTTTGCCACGATCACTACTGGGTTGTTATGGACAGATTGCTCACACGGGCGACAGGTACCGCCCACTCGACTACCTCTACACAGCGCTGCACCAGGCAAGCGTGGACGGCACGCCTGTCGCATCGCCGCTCTGGTTCGCGTACCCCTCGGACGCGAACACATTCGGGATCGACCTGCAGTACCTCTTCGGTCCCTCGGTGCTCGTCTCGCCCGCTACAGACGACGATGCGACCTCTGTCTCCTTCTACCTTCCGAATGACCGATTCTACGATTTCGCGACACTCGCTCCGCTTGAAGGCACTGGCGCGAAGGTTACACACGCCTTCAGGCGACCGACTTCGAGCTCGTTGTCGCCCCCGGACGGGATGGGCGCGCGACCGGGCCGCTCTACGTGGACGACGGCGTGCAGGACAAGGCGACGCAGGTGGGACTAACGTTCTCAAACAACGTGCTGTCGGTTAAGGGCAGCTTTGGGTACCTGCTTGGGGTGAACGCGCGACGCGTGCGGGTGCTCGGTGTGGAGAAGAAGCCGGTGGGAGCTAAGCTCAGGGTCAGGGGGAAGAGCAAGGATGTGAAAGTTACTTAGGACAAGACGACCAAGGTGATGGATGTCGACGTGGGGATTGCTTTTGATCAAGACTTCGAGGTCGGGTTATCGTGACCTCTTGGTAGGTAGAGGACTGGAGGATTGTCACTGTCAATTGTGTGCCCTAAGAGAATCCTACCGATGAGCGTCCACGCCAAGGCTCGGTAAAATGGACTGCCCGCGTGTATCTTGCGTGCTTCTGTTTTGTTGTGCAACGGCCGAGCTCGACGAATTTTCGCCAAACAGACGTAGTGCGGAACTGCGCTTTTGCACTGTGACCTCAATATGACAAGACGCCGGACCCTGAGTTTTGCTTGCGAGGGCATTGTGCTGCAATGCATACAGTAGAGTACAACATAAGAAATGAAATCTAGATTCCGTACAAAGCAGAGTGAAAGCTGCAGTGGAAGTAGAACGAACCCATCATAATAGCATAAACAGGTGACCCGCATAGTGAGAGAGCTATTGACACCACAATTCGTGCATGGCATTACATATCCTAGGACGCCATTCGCGGATGGCTGCTCGCCAGGGCCACCAGGGCCTAAGACGGTATCGTTTGTAGGAAGAAAGGCGCGTGTCTGATGCAGAGGGGGTAGAACAATTTCAGCATGATCAACGGATTGTCGAATTGGCTGATATACCATCAAGCCGCTGTAAAACAGCGCTCATTGTCGGACGATTATGGCTTTGCTGGTCCCAGCACTCCTCGATTAGAGACCATATCTTGTCCGATGGCACTATCGCGTAGCCATCGCACTTGACTGGGCGCCTCGGCCGTTGGCCATTGAGTACGCGGACAATGACGGTTGCCTCGCGACGAATCTCGTGAAAGGGCGGCTTAGTAGTGTAGATCTAAAATATTCATCATCAGCATAGAAAACCACGACTGAAAGCTTGTGGAGGACCTCATAGCAGACGCACGCGAATGAATACACATCACCTTCGCACGTAGGTTTAGAAGTCGGGTTGTTTTGCGACAGAAACCGCTCGGGACACAGGAGCTCGGGAGCGGTCCATCTGCCGCCCTGGTGGTTTTGCGTAGCTACCTGAGTGGCATGCTCGTTGAGAATCCTCGATAGACCGAAGTCAGCCAAACGAGGCGTTTCATCCTTGTCAATGAGGATATTTACCTGCATGAAAGTGAGAAGTATTCAAGCTCATAGACCAAACGACCCTTACTCCTCGTAAATCTCCGTGGACGACGTTCATTCCGTGGAGATAATTGAGCCCTTTAGCAGTCCCGTGTATCTGGATAGCGAATTAGAATGCCTTCTGTGCAGACGGTGCCCAAAATAGGCCGTACCAATCTCTCCAACAATTTCGACGACGGCGTGGTAAATCTTTGGAGATACTCGATCATGTTCCCATTCTCCATCCACGGCGTTACTATGCACGGAATAGGTCGAACTGGGTCGTCGAACTTGACGACGCCAAGAAGAGGGACAATATTTTCGTGAGACAGGAGATGTAGCGTAAGATATTCGTCGATGGTCTACCCCGCAGATCAGTTACCGGGGTATGGTACGCAATTCGACAGCTCACACTCACCTTTGCATACTCATCAGCGCGACTTGGTACATAGCGAATTCGTTTGACTGCGACTGTACTTCCGTTATGTTCAGCCCGGTAGACATCGGCATATCCCCCGTACTTCTCCGCATGATGACTCGGGAAAGTGAAATCCAGGTCCAATGATTCGGGAACCATACCCGTGAACTGGAGAAGTTTTTGCATGAGCCGGAACATTACAGGAATCAACAGTGCTCGATTAGAGCATGAGTGATTTTGCTGAAGGTACTGTAATAGAGAGAGCACTGCTTAGCATGGCTTGGTGAGCACAATGTAGAGCGAGTATCTGCACTAACTAACTCTAGCTTGTCTATGAGCCCTACTGCGTCTGCCCGATTGATCGTCAAGGTTTCACCCTGATCCGAGCACGTTCCATGGTGCACATCATTCAAGAGCCTTCTGTCCAGAGGCGTGACGCCTTGATAGTGAGGTAAGCTAGCGAGTTACATATTGTGCAGTTTGGTGGTATAGCTTACGGAACTCCATATCGTTTGTACCCTGCATCCGGTGGTCGTTCTTATAGCGAGATTGGCATCGGACTCTATATAGACTCGTAAGGACTGAACTACACTAGGCTGGAATAGAGCCCACCCTATTGCCATGGTGCACGAGGACCTTGCAGATGCAGTAGGTGGAGCGGTCGGACGCCAACGGGACCGATAAAACGCGTGGAACAGGCAAGAACACTGCGAGAGCACGACCGAGACACGTAGCGATCGAGCTCCGATTTACGTAACGGATAAACGGACCGATGGCGACAGAATTGAGTAGGTAGGTAGGTAGATATATTTCCGGCGCGGTCCCAATAGCGGAACAACCGGTTGCCGCACCGCACGGTCCGGGCCAGAGCCTGCTTCGATCTTCCGTCCTGAGAGTTCGTTCACTGGGTCCAGTCCACTCTGCCGATGACAAAGACCGCGCCGCTTACATTAAGAATATTGCGAACGCTGCGGCATATTTGCTAGTATTGCACGGTGATTTGTCATATCAAGTGGGTCTGTACAATCTCATTCTTCTAGATCTGCCCCGATGGACTCGCTCCTAACGTGCCTCAGATGCCGTCCGGCGTCAAGCGATCCTCAGCCTCCTGCATTGTCGGTCGATCATCGCTTTTGTGCTCCCAGCATCGTTCCATCACATTCCATGTTGTATCATCCGGCGTATAGGAGTGGCACTCTTTGTCTGAGGGCCTTCGGGGACGCTTTCCTAGCATGACTTGGCGAATCACGGTAGCTTCGCGATCGACGGCGTAGAAGGGACTTTGTCCCGTAAACACCTGTTCAGAGGTAAGGATCACATCCAACATCAAGCTCAAGTAACGGCCGCACTTACCTCGTAGCAGACGCATGCAAATGCGTAAACGTCGCCTTTGAAAGTAGGCTTGCTCCCGAGGTTGCTTTCGTCTTCACCAAATTCTCCGGGGTCCAGCAGTTCTGGCGCGTCCCATCGTGCAAAATGCTTCTGCGAAGTATTTGTAATCGTTGCCGCCTCATTGAACATGTGGCATAAACCGAAATCAGCCAGACGAGGACGGCCTTGCCCGTCTATAAGGACATTACGCTGACAAATACGATTACAGGTCTAGCCTCCCTGATAGGTACGTGATGATGCGCTACTCACACCTCGCAGGTCTCCATGTATCACCTTCCTGGAGTGCAAGTATGCCAATCCCAAAGCCACGCCGTGAACCTATGATACAGAATGAGCATATATCTTCCCGCACAACGGTAAGTTTTCTCACCAACTTCTCCAGCGCGGGCCGCTGAAATTTATCACGGCCTTTTTTTGCGACGTATTCCCGCAAATTCCCGTTTGGCATCCACGGTGTCACCAAGCACGGAAGCACGATCTGGTTGACCACGGGACCATCCCCATATTGCGCCGCGACAGTAACATTCGGTTCTGTGCCAGCGTAATTGGTCACCCCACAGAAAGGGAGAATGTTGTCGTGATTGATCAGAAACAGCGCGAAGGATTCGCGAACAAAGCTCTTATGTATGAAGTTGCGGACAGTCAGTACGTAGTACCAAGCATGAGATATACAACGACATGCCTTGAGAAGTTTTGCTGGATCCGACTCGGGATTGCTGTATGCACGTAGTCTCTTGATAGCCACCGGTCTTCCACAATATGTACCTCTATAGACATCCGCAAAACCCCCCATTTTTGCTGGCGAAGTGTATGCAGCATCCACAGCGAGGCTCAGAGGGAATCTTCCCGTAAACTCCGCCAACTTGACAAGGATTCGATGAATGGTTGGCATCCCAACACCATCGTTGTGACCAGGTTTGTTGTAGGACTGCTTGAGGTACTTCGATGAAATAAAATCGCGCCGTTAGGTTTCACGATTGAGTGTTCTGACAGAAGCTTACATTCTCCAAGCCCTCCATGAATGTCACTGCCGTGTTGCGATCAAATTCACGGAAATCTGATTCCACATAGGGACCACCATCCGGGTCAATCATTCCGAAGAGCAACACGTCCTGCTCCGTTATTCCTATAATCATAATGTATATCACACATATATTCATATATATATATATAAATTAAATGAGGCTCACGGATTCTAGTTGTCGTGTCCATGGTATCGCCTCAGGCTCTGCGGAGATGCTTTTGAGCGGTCCTAATTTATAGCTAGTGGTAGGCGCTGGAGTAATGCCAAAGAAACAATTTGGCGCTGAACCATGGTGCACACCTGTGATCTGTATCGGTGCGACAGCCTCGCAACGTGTGAGGCTGGTCTAAAATCAGTACAAATTGAATCACGGTAGAGATAGGATAATAGAAGCCGATAAGACAGCCCCAGTTACCTTCGAGTGCATGCCTGTGGCCGAGAATAAACACAACTAATGAGAAAATGCTAGGAAAGAAGAGAAGAGACAAGCGCTCGGAGTGCTAGGTAACAGACTCTGAAACCCGCAAAGCGGAACTTACTGGCACCGCAGGATCTATCTTTGTATGAACCACCCTCATAGACATTCAATACACTCAAGATATATTTGTTATCTGAAACACCAGGAGCGGTAACGTAAATATTGCCCAACATGACACATGGACCAATCAATGGCGGCAGATATGCGTCAATAAATAACGGCATTCAGATGCTCGGATCCTGTGTACTTAAAGTTCTGAGATAAAGAGCTACGAGCGAACTGCACAACGGAGAGGCAGCCCTTTCGGCCAATGTTCCACGCATGGTTGACATTTGCTGCATGTACTGACCAGGCTTATGAGCTGTGATGTAGTTGTCACTATTTACTTCTATGTGTATACCAGCGACAATTGATATACAATCCACATCCACATCAGGTATAATTTGAGGCCGCAAAACAAGTCTTTCAAATGGTGTGATCAACTTGATCATACCATCTTGCTGTAGCTTGTCATAGTATACTGCGTAATTAATACTGCACTGAGAAGTAAACTTAAAGGCCTCATTGGAACTGTGGAAAGTAGTGAGCGGGTGGTACAAGCATGGTTGATCTTCATATTGTTGCATCCGAAGGCATTCCAGCCGTTCCGTGTCAACTTCATCACGATGATGACCTTCATGAAAATTAGCTCCCGCAAAATGCATCATACGGACCGTTCTCTCGATGCTTCTGTCTTTCCTGTACGTGCATTGAGATCTAGAGTTAGAGTAATGGTCACGATATCTTCGTGGGTTCTTCAAACACGTTTTGGTTGCTGCATGGGAAACACGGATTGTGAGCTGTGCACGTCCAACACAATGGCTTCTCCCTCACTGCACTATATTAAATTGGCTGGGGTACACGCATTGGTACACAGGAAACCGACAGAGAACAGTGCAAGCACCAAGCTTGAGAACACCTATTGTCACCCTGGGTAGTATCTCACTATACGTGGATACATTGGATTTTATATTGCGATGCATCGTTTCATCCCTATGCGTTGATGTCGTGAAGCCTGTGGCAAACTTCCGCCATCCTAGGTCTTTCCTCTGGCTTCTGCCTCCAGCAATCGGTAATTAGTCCCCACATGCTGTCGGAGGGACATGTCGAATGACAGTCGCTCAGTCCTGGCCGCACAGGACGTCGGCCATGCACTATGGCATTGATTATTGATGCCTCGCGTCTCATTTCGTGGAACGGCACTTTCCCGGTATATATCTTCATGCCAAGGACTCAGAAACAGTCAAAATATAAAGCGGCATGAACACGTACCTCATAACATACGCAGGCAAATGCAAAGACGTCCCCTTTGGGGGTCGGATTAGAAGATGAATCGCTCGGAGGGCCTGAGCACATGCTCTCAGGATCTAGTAGCTCAGGAGCAGTCCATCGACCGCCTTGGTGATGCCGTGATAGCGCCTGTGTCGCAAGCTCGTTTAACATTCGTGAAAGTCCAAAATCGGCTAAGCATGGTTGTTCTTCATCGTCGATCAAGACATTAAGCTGCATCCATGTCAGCGACGCATCGATTATGTACAGTGCACACATACAGCGCGCAAGTCCCCGTGAACAACGTTCATGCGATGTAAATACGCTACACCTTCCGAAATGCCAGATATCTGCATACAGCTCAGTTTGGCGAACGCTTCGCATCTCTGATTATCTGGTCGAACACATACAAGATGTTTGAGCTTTTCAGCACTATGAGGGATTCCCATCCGAAGATAATCGTGCAAGTTGCCATTCTTCATCCAAGGGGTGACAATACAGGGTAAGGTAATTTCTGTCTCCGCAGAGGATGAAATTTGCGCGTCGGCGGCAACACTCGGTCTGTCCTCAAAGCGTGCGAAGGTCAATCCAATGAGGCGTAGCACGTTACGATGCGAAACCAGTTGTAACGTGAGGCATTCTTCAATTAATGCCTGATAACCAGTGTTTACACCAGTCAAGACAGGATCGCCATGAAGCCGGATAATATACGTGCCTTTGTCCGAAATTGTTGTTCATTGTCGGATCCGCCATATACTCGGAGCTTCTTCACTGCGACCAACTGACTGCACCATTCGCCCTGATATACGTCTGAGAACCCGCCGAACCTCTGCCCTTGACGTTTGAGGAGAACATTCCGAAGGTAGAAAGTGTCCGGAAATACGCCCGTGAAGCAGGTTAATTTCTGGAGTATTCGGAAGATAACAGGGACGAGCGCAGGATAATTGGGAGAGTCGCGACATTGCTCCAGATACTGACCATGCGGGAAATCCAACGGTGAAAGCGTAGGCCAGGGGAAGATTCTAGTCAATACGCGCGCACATCTGGAGCTATACGAATCAATGCCTACCGTAACGAGTTGACTTATGAGCTTGATCGCACCGTCTCGGTCCGTTGTGAATGTGTCGCCTTCGATATAGTTATGTTCGGGGAATACTATGTTCAGTATTGCCTGGTCGGGTGCGGTAATGCCTGCGGGAATGGATGTTAGCGAGCAAATACCAATATCATGATCTTCTGCCCTACGTATTCCGACTGTGGACCCCTGCTCAGTCTGCGTCGTAGTGACTGCAGGCATATCTCGAGACAGAGTAACACGTTGCCCGTCGATAAGTCTATCTCATTAACATAAGTGATCAGTTTGGGCGGTCCGTTGAGGGTACGACAGACCTTCCAGATAAGTTTCCCATTGCCAATAAGCATGGGGAGCGACGGATTGGTGATGAAGCGGAGAGAGTTCACAAGAATCGTTCTACGCACCTGCCTCACAAGCGACGATAAGCAGGCGTGAAACTTAGGAGTCTGGTGGCACGAACGCGGCGTTTCACCAAGGTTCACTCTGCCAGCAACGCACAGACCACATGCCCACCCAGTTTCCAGCTCTTCCTCAATTGCCCCGTGTTCGTTGCTCACGGGAGCTGTGATATATGTGAGAGTTACCGTTAAGCTTAAGACGGATAGCATGCATTCCCTGAAGGGACTTCTAGCGCTCAATGCGGGTTCTATATTACACATTCAGCTCACCGCAGCATAAACCCGCGATTCACAGCTATTAGCGCTGGACAGGTGTATGACCCACAGCTTTCAGGGTTGCAGCCTCGTTTGTACGCGGTTTCCGAGCTTGAAGGGGCACCCTGACCTCTCACCGCCATGGGGAAGACGGTGGCGCAACCGATATTTCCTGTACGTCAACCATGTGGTAAGTCATGCCAATCCGCGGTGGACCGACTTCCAGAGTTCGCTATACAGTCAACCCGCCCGGTTGATCTTGCGCTGGTCTGATACTTCGATTGTTCTCGAGCCGAATTTTGCTCCTTGTTTCTATTAAAAAATTGCGAGGCCGAAGTTTACCAATATAAGCATGCTACGCAGGCATGGACGTACTACGTACGCTGATATGTATGGTTCGCGTACATAGCGCTCGAGCATCGAATCTCCGTCGTCGCCCAGATCTCCGCCGTAAATCACATGCGACGAATAACATGTCGTTCGGACTTTCTGGAACCCATAGGCGCCCGGAGCACGTGACATTCATCGCGACGCGTGCTTCGCTTCCCCGGGGGCAGGTTGTCGTCAGGTTGCCGGTCAGTCGCGTGTTCCTCTCTAAAGTAGTCGACACGTTTAGTGACCCTTAGTTCACTTCTGGCGAGTTTCCGGAAGCGTGCGGACAGGAGACCCCCACCACCGGTGAAGTGTGGTCAATGCATGCGCGGAAGCGTTGTACTCATTATTGCTATATCCATGCAGTCTATGGCTCGCACGTACGATACGGATCTCACGAACCTCACGAACTTCAACGCTTGACAAGCGATGGGAAACTCCTGGTCGCTCCTTCGGCGTTCTTACGGGCACCAACAGGCTCCTTACAGTACCGCAAGGTCGTGGAGCGACAGCAACGAATGCGTTACTCGGGAGCTTTCGGAGCCGAGTGGGCTCTACGACAACTTGGTACAGCAACTTCTTTCGCTCTATTGATCCATTTGACAACGTCGCGTTCAGACGCATGAGGAATCGTAAGCTTGGTTTGCTAAACTTTTTGTCGCGATTGAACGAGTCCTTCGTCCAGCGAAATATTTCCCTCTACTCCATTGCTTCTGCAAATATATCATCACGATTATTCGCATACCTGGCAAGAGGACCAAGCTACTGTCTGTGAGCTAGTAGCCCAATGCTTGCGGATTGGACGTTCATTAGTTTTTAGGTTTAAGCCCTTCGGAGGTAGACATGTTGCTGGCCCTGAAAACATCTATGGACTCCGAGACTGGTAACACTACCCACAAATACGCTGGACCCGCACTTCTGCGACAACTGCAGGCCGTGAGTATAACTCATGACAGCTCATTCCTGCCTGACGGGACGGTCTCCCACAGAAAATATATCATGTCGACTCGAGCTTGGCAGAGCCAAACCTGTGGGGCAACGCGCTGCGACTATACCAGCGTGTCGCATCTGAGCTTGATCGATATCCGCGAGCGCTGGTGTTGAACGATGTTGAGACAGATCTCGCCAATCCGATATTTGACGGGCATTATGCAGACGTATTCAAGGGACACAGCGCGGATGGAGATGTCGCGGTCAAACGATTTCGATTGGCCGGTACAAGCAAACAAAATCTAGACTTCTCTAAGGTAAACTTTGTCCTGCCATGGCGAAATGAGTCTGATCTATACTCGAAGGCCTTGCTTGCCGAAGCCTTGGTATGGCGCCATCTGGATCACGCCAATATTCTCCCTTTTCTAGGACTGATGACCAGTAGTGAGCAAGACGAGCATCACGCCGAGTTGTCCCTACTGTGCATGGTTACACCTTGGGCCCAAAATGGCAATCTGCGCAGATATCTTGATGCTACGGAAGGCATCAGCCTGTCCGAGAAACACAGTTTGGTAAGTCATTTCACTTCCTCACGTTCGTTTATCATATACCCTCCCGACATAGATACTGGGTATCGCAGAAGGTCTGGCATATTTGCATGATGCTGGAATCATTCATGGGGACCTTAGAGGAGTGCGTAGACTCGGTTTAACGAGTCGCTCGTTCTGAAGTGAGAACACGCGCTGAAGGTCAATATTATGGTGGACGCAAACTCGTGCCCGCGTCTGGGTGATTACGGACTGTCCCAATTGGTGGAAGCATGGCCAGTTCTTGCGTCTCGCAAGAAGGCCGAGGGGCCCACTCGCTGGACGGCGCCCGAGCTACTGTCACCCGAGCACTTCGATCGCGAAAGCTCAGAACCTACGTATGCAAGCGACGTATACGCGTTCGCCTGCGTGTGCTACGAGGTAGGTTCGGAACACCGGCAAAGGCAATAGCTCATCGCCACGTTGCTTTCGCAGGTGTATACTTCTCAATCCCCGTTTCATGCTTTGAAGCGCGAGGCTAGTGTCATATTCCGGGTTCTCGATTCGAAACGCCCCGAGTTCACAGTCGAGGATTGCGCCGGTGGACTGCCGCCACAGGCTATGCAAGAGCTCATACGACGAAGTTGGGACCAGATGCCGGACAATCGACCCCAAATTCACGAAGTGCTGCGGCGTCTGAAACAGTAGACCATGCATCATACGTTCGATGTTTGAGATCATCTCCGTTCTCGCCTGTCATGCATAGTTTATGCGCTTGGTCTTTGTTGCCTTTTCTGAACCTCTTCACGATACTTCATCAGCATCAGCCGCTCACGTACATACCCCGTAGTTTCTTAGGCGCTGTACGGTACACGGGTGATTTGAGAGAATCACCCGTCTTTGCGATTTGACCTTCCGTGAAAGGCAATAGATGGCTCTAAAAATTTCCGGTTAAGGCAAAGGCGTCCTATAATGGTAACCCTGAGTCGCAAAGACCTGAGTCACTCGTGTACCGTACAGCGCCTTACATATACTGACCTGATATGTTCACTTACCTGTTACTGCGTTAATCGTCTGTCGTCTGCGAGCTACTGAACTTCCAAGACTGGTCGCCCTAGGTGTGACAGGGAATGAAGCCTCCTGCACGGAGATAGCTCCTGATGGCCGGCACCAACGGGACGTCATGCTGGGTGAGTGGACTAGCTTTAATGGTCCTCACGTACACGGGAACGTTGCGCTGGGCGCATATACGTTTACATGAAGCACCAGACCCTGAGTTTTACCCTTCTGAACTGAATGCGGGGCTTCAGAAGCATCCACGAACCAAAGCTGACAACAGCGGCGCACCGAACCCATGATGCATCAATTCATCCCGGTGAGGAGTCCTCGAACTCAATACCTACGATAGAAACTAGAAACACCGGCATGGTCAGCTGGTACTGTTACGAGATCGCGAGCGTCTACCACATCTCAGAGATGCATTTCCGCTGCCCCACACGCGACGTGCGCTGGTTCGGGAACATCATCGTTAATCTGAATCCACGACCATCCTCACTTGTCAACGTACCCCTACTAACACGAGGATCCAATGTTTCGTAGGCGTGTCTTCCGATCCGAGCATTTCTCCAGGTTCTTGCCGCGGGGTGTTTACTTCGGATCACCTGTCCCTAGCGCATGCTATCACCTCGACGGAGGTCGTGCGCTTCCCCTCGGCTTTGTATCTTCGGAACGTCCACGCCGTTGTAGAACTGAGACTATCGCCATCATTGTATTGAGCAACGAGACACCTCTTGCCGTCGGCCTGGGCTGTCCATGACTTAAGATGGTGACCAGTTTCTGCAAGAGGCCTCGATCCACACAACGGGGCATTCGCTTGCAATCAAGACGGCTGTTCGCGTGCAGACTGTTCCCGGTCGTTATTTGTAGTGGCTTCTCAGGTATGTAGACGTTTAGATGGCGGAGGAAGAGAATTTCGCATGTTACGGGGTGGTCTTGCGGAAGTCGGTTTCCGCAGGTTTAGCGAGCGCGTTGTGCACGAGTTGCGAAACAGGATACGAGTATAGGTGCTATCTTCCTGGAGACTCCCACCATCAGTGGGGAGGTCCTTGGAGTGTTGCCTATGTGAACGTGCCGATGTAGTGCCAATTGCGTATGGCTTTTCCGAAACGTTCCATCAGCGAGGCGCTACGTACGGTTGGCTTTGTCAACATCAGTTCGTCGCCAGCTCGTCGCAAACCCGCCGCCCTTTACTCAGATGGTTAGCGAGTTGCTACTATTAGCCATGAGCTCAATTCCGGCCTTGCAGGTCAGATTTATCCTTGGTGTAACAGAGCTCGCCGCTCGATGCTAGCACTAGAAGAGTCGCCGAGATGAGGCCGTATGCACTCTGAAGCTATCGACGATGCACATTCGTCGGTCTCGACTCCCCCTCATCACTTCAGAACATATCCCGTGATGGCCCTTCGCGCGCACGTGCGCGTGCCTCCACGCTGGCGCGACGCGCTTCGGGAGGTTCTCCCCCGCGATACCGACGCACACGTCGGCCAGGATCGTATGCTCTATCACCGCACGTTGCCTATTCTCTGTCATCTGATTACGACCTGCTGTCCCGCCCCAGCCACCTCCATCTTCCTACTTGCCGCCCTCAAAATACCGAGAATGCGGGCTATATTCTTGCGCACGGCAGATTATCTGAGACCTCCCGTCGACCTCAGTGACGAGCACGATGGTGCCTACTGCGAGCAACACAACGCGCTCGCTGTTAGTTGTGTTCGCCGCGGTTGGGGTCGTGCAGGCTGCGAATCTAACGAGCCTCGTTAACCTCTTCATCGGGACTGCATCCGGTGCCAATGGCGGGAGCGGGGGCAATGCTTTCCCTGGAGCTGCCATCCCGCATGCGATGGCCAAGGTAAGCTCGAAAAGCCTACGGTCTCCGATGGAACACAGCTAACTCTGCTCGTTAAGGTTGGCATCGACGTGAACGAAACCCCACGCCAGGCGGGATATATCCATGACAATTCTACCGTCACAGGTTGCTTTGGCTTATTTGATCTGATCATGCGTATCTGATCTGGAATCCATAGGGATATCGCTCATGCATGATGAGGGCACGGGCGGGAACACCGCTGGTGGTTACGGCCTGTTTCCGCTCTTTCCTCTTCTGGGCTCCAACTGCACCTTTTCGGACTGCCCTGTCGGCATCAACCAAAGGCAGGCCCTGCGAGCCGCGAACACGGACGGTCAGCAGTTTCACCAAGACATGACTGAGAAGCCCCATTTGACCAGTTATTGGCACTTAAAGCGGCGTCCCCGGGCTACTTCACCACCACGCTCGTCAACGGGATCAAGTTCGAAACCACATCCACCAGGCGCGCTGGCTTGATCCGGTTCACTTACCCGAGCAGCACCACGCCGAACCATGTCGTGGTCGATTTGACGGACGACCTCCAGCGCTCCTTCCAAGGCAACGGTAGACTCACCTTCGACTCCACTTCGGGCCGTGTCGAACTCTTCGGCACGTACTTCCAGAGCTACGGGGAGAGCAACTACACCGCCTACGGGTGCTACGACTTTACGCCGCCCTCGTCCTCGCCGCTAGTGGGCACACAGAAAATTGTGGCGAACTCCTCGGGGACGTACCAGTCTCCGGCGACGGCCGCAACGCCACTCACGTTCACGCCCTCGACTGCGGCCAACTTCTCCGCCATCTCGTACGCGTTCGCAGGCGCCACTATACCCGCGCAGGCAGGCGCGTTAATCAGCCTGCAGGGAGGCGATAGCGTGACGGTCCGGTTTGGGATATCGATGATCAGTACGGCGCAGGCGTGCGCGAACGCGGAGTCGGAGGTGCCTAGCTGGGATTTCGACGCGGTGAGGGCCGCGAGCGAGGGCGAGTGGGAGAGCGTGCTGGAGAAGGTGCAAGTGAACGTGGCGAAGGAGAACGCGAATGTGGTCGAGTTGCTTTATTCCTCGGTTGGTGGCGTCTTTTGCTTCCGTTAAAGCGCAGCGCTGATATCACCTGACAGCTGTATCGCTCGCACCTTGTACCTGCAAACTTGACTGACGAGAACCCGTACTGGGACAACACGTTTCCCTTCTACGATGCGCTCTTCTGGTGGGATCTCCCTTTTCTACACTACCCTCTAAGTCTCATATGATTGCGACTTAGCTCATGGGATACTTTCCGTACCGTGCACCCGTTCCTCTCCCTCGTATCCCCACGCGAATGGGCGGGCATCGTGAACACTTACGTTGATGGATGGCGACACACCGGTACGCTCTCTCCTCCTCCCTCCTCCTCCTCCTCCTTTCCTCTCAACCATGTGACATCCAGGTTTCATCCCCGAATGCCGCGCGAACACGAAACCGGGCTTCGTCCAAGGCGGCGACGACGGCATGCCAATCCTCGGCGACTTCGCGGTCAAGTACGCGGCGCACGCGTCCGCACTCGGCGTGCCGCTCGACGACCTCTACCAGGCGCTCGTCGACACCGCCGAGAACACGCCTGACGACTGGTACACCGTCGGCAGGCAGAACACGGCCTGGACGACGTTCGATTATATCCCGACGGCATGGGTCGATCCGTCTGGGAAGACGGGATTACCGACGCGCGAGGCGTCGAGAACGCTAGAGGTACGATGTGGTGCATGCATGGGAGATGGACCGTTGCGCTGACGATGGTATGGGTTGGACTACGACAGTATGCCGTGGGGGACTTCGCGGTGCGCCAGGCGGCGAAGGTGCTCAACAAGCCGGCCTCGGATATAGAGAAATACACGAACCGATCGATGGGCTTCCGGAACATCTGGGACCCGAATCAGACTAGTGACGGGTTCAACGGATTCATGCAGAAACGCTTCGCGGTGAGCTTTTCCCCCTACATATAGGCGCAATATTTTGCTGATCCGGAGCAGAATGGAACGTTTGACCCCACTCCGCCGAACGCGTGCTCACCTGTGGACCCCGTTTCGCATTCGTGTGCGCGGGGTACAGACAATAATGGTATGTCCCTGATCGGCGTCTCTTTGAGCGTCGTCTGATTGATGTCCTCTGGGTAATTTCAGTCGGCTTTTATGAATGTATGCGCATGACGCCTCCTTCAAGCGATGTGGGTGCTGACAGTTCTTAAACAGCTTCGTCCTGGGAGTACAGTTTCTTTGTGCCCCATTCGATGGCGACGATGGTTAACTTGATGGGCGGCAATGAGACGTTCATCAGCCGACTGTTAGTGTTTCCGCCGCTCGTCCTCGACTCACGCTGACGGTTAAGCGCATATAGCGACCACTACTACTCGGCTGGATACTTCCTGGCCGGGAACGAACCGGGGTTCCAGACCCCTTGGCTGTACCACTATGCCAACAGGCCAGACTTGAGCGCACTGCGTGTCCGCGACGTCGTCTTCAACAACTTCAACACAGGAGTGGGCGGGGTACGTCTTCCCTATGCCATCTCATCTGGACTACTCAGACTGACGCATGTCACCCGTGTCTAGATCCCCGGAAACGACGACTCGGCCGCGATGGCCGCGCTCCTGCTCTTCCACATCCTCGGGATGTACCCCGTCCCGGCCTCGAAGCAGCTCCTGATCGGCTCTCCGCTCGTCTCGGGCTTCAAGCTGACCAACGACCTGCTCGGGACGACGACCTCCTTCGTCGTCGACGGCTTTGACCCTAACGGGCTCGCCGCCGCGCCACCGAGTGGGAGCGCCGTGTTCGTGAAGCAGATCACGATCAGGGGCAAGCCGAGCGAGAGCCTGTGTTGGATCGACTTTGACGACGTCGTGGGCGGGGGCGAGATTGTGATCACGGTCGACGCGGACCAGGCCGCGGCGCAGGCGAGGGGGTGCGGGAGCGGGTCGAAGGCGTTGCCGGACTCGTTGGGCACGGGTGGGTTCTGACGAAGAAAATGTTGCGAAGAATTCCGATAGAAATGGGCGTTGTGTTCGGCTCGTGATTGACGAAATGCATCGTGCTTTGGATACAATCTCTTCGGAATGCGATGGGGCGAGTGAATACGCCACGCATACCAAGAAGACGATCAACAAAGCTCATCTCCGGTCTACGCCAAGGCGGGCCGGCGCCCCACCGTCGACGAAGGCTTCCTCGTCACGAGACCGCGCCGCCTTGCCGCCCTCTGCCTGCGGCTCCCGCCAGGGTCGTCGGCGCATATCAGAACACGCTCAGCTGGACAATATTATCCCATTCGCAAGCGTGTACTATTCAGATGACCACTTGTCGTCACATACTCGGCATATCAGCCCGTCATTCGCTTGCGGAAGGTCTTAAATAGCAAGATGCCACTCCTCCTCGATAGACGTGCCCTGTAGCCTTCCGCCGATTTGCCTATTCGCGCGAACCCATCGGAGAAACCTCAGCATCGATGCTGATCCACCTGCTACTCTTGCCGCTCCTTGCGAGCACATGGGCAAAGCCCACCTCGTACGCCATCTGGTCCGCAGACTCGGCCATCTCCCGCGGCCAGGGAAACGGGCTGGGCTCGAACGGCGCACCTCTCGTCTCGTACGAGCATGGCGAGTTCTGGTGGGCCCTCAGGCTTCTGTACGAGAAGACGGGGAACAAGATCTACTTCGATTACATCCGGCAAGGTGTAGACCGCGTGGTCGCCGCGAACGGCACCATCGGGGGCGGATACGGGTCGGTGGTTTCAGTACAACACGAGGAAATGCACGTAGCCCTGACGTGGTGCAAGGTTCACTACCGATTACCAGCTGGACCCTATCCGGACCGGACCTACATTCCTGTACCTGTAAGCGTGTCATTCAGGACTAAGACGGGAGAAGTGACTTTACGTATGCTCAGATACGATGTGACGGGTCAGCAGAAGTACAAGATCGCTGCGGATAAGTACAGGCAACAGCTGGAGACACATCCGAGGACGGCTCAGGGCCAGTTCTGGCATAAGCTCCGTTACCCGAATCAAGGTGGTCCTCTGTCTCTTTCATCGCGCCCTACACGCAGGCTGACATCACCGGATAGGATGGCTGGACGGCATCTACATGGGCGACGTGTTCTACGCGCAATACACCCATGACTTCCAATACTCGAACAAGTCGGCCTGGGGTACGCAGTCGCCTCGTTCTTAGACCGGACAGTCCCCGTTTTGACACCTTTCCATATGCCAGACGACGTCCAGGCGCAGTTCACGCTCATGTTCGAGAACACGCTCCAAAACGCGACGTCCCCGCCGCACCTGCTCTACCACGGCTACGACTACTCGCACGCCGCCCCGTGGGCCTCGCCCGATCGGGGCCACTCTCCCGAATCCTGGGACCGCGCGCTGGGCTGGTACATGATGGCCCTCGTCGACACGCTCGACATTTTCCCGCCCGCCCACCCGGGCCACGCCGCGCTGCTGTCGTTCTTCCGCACGCTCGCGCCCCGGGTGAAGGCCGCCGCGGACGCGCAGACCGGCGTGTGGTGGCTCGTCTTGAGCCAGCCCGGACGCGCGGGGAACTACTTCGAGAGCTCGGGCAGCGCCATGTTCGTCTACGCGCTGCTGAAAGGGGTGCGGAGGGGCCACATCGAGGACGACGGGATCGTGAAGGCGATGAGGAAGGCCTACGGGTATATGGTGGAGAACTGGGCCATTCCAAACGCCAACGGGACCATAGACTGGCAGAATACGGTTCAGGTGAGACCCGCGGCGGAAGCGGCGCACCCTTGCTGCCCATGAGCTGATGCGATCTCGTAGGTTGGGAGCTTGGACGGTAACGGCACGTTCGAGGTGAGTTTCTCTCTTCGCGGCTTGCTACCCCTTATTCATTATCCAACACGCAGTATTACACCAGCGTGCCCACGGACGTGAACGATTTGAAGGGCTTGGCTGCGTTCACTCTCGCCAGCATCGAATACGAAAACCTGTAGCCCTGAAGATTGACAGCAGACATGTACCGTAGAGACGGCATCGAATCATCATCATTTCCCCAAGAGAAAGATCATTTTACAGAGTTTTATATGGTCTCCAAGTTCACTGCTCCTGCAAGAAGACAGCGGTGTACGCAGGTACCACCAAGTTGCTGTTCGCAGCGATCTTGATCGTTGTCTTTCACAAATAGCGGTCAGCGCGAGATTATCATAGAGGCGGGCAGAAAAGGTTGCGAGCTCACCTGCCACTTCGCGACACCCGCTGCACCACCAAAGTGGCGGACGAAGTAGGTGCCCGCGGGGATGTTGGAGATGGCGAGGTTGACGGGGTTGACGTCCTTGTTGACGAGGACGAGCGTGACCTTCTTGCCGTCCGACGTCGAAGCGTACACACCGAGCACGTCCTCGTCCCGGTCGGCCATATTCACCTGCACGCTCTTGCTTCCGAAGGTCGTTCCGTTTCTGCATGACGAACGTTGGAATGAGCGTCTGCTTCAAGACGGAGGTTACAGCGCAAACGTACCCTCGGAAGAGCCAGAACGCCAAGCCGACCGGGCCCTTCTCGTCCGGCGTCACCCAGTAGGTTGCGCTGTCGACGCCTTCGCGGCCGTAGATGCCGAGCTGGTCGACGGTGACGAGTCCACCCGTGATGTCGGTGTCGGCGGTGGAGCTCCACTCGGAGATGGAGAGCTTGGTGCCGGGGTAGTGCTGGGCGATGAGCTGCTGCATGCGCGGAATGAGCCAGACCGCGTTCGGGTTCGGCTCGCTCCATTGGGCGGGGACGGACGTGCCGATCCAGGATTCGTCGGTGTAATCGGGATCTGTACATTGTAGGAGTTCGTCAATGTGGACGTTCGAAGCCACGCTGGCAGGACAAGTCTGCGTACCCCAGAGAGACCTGGTCATCCTGAGCCGAAGGGCCTTTGCAGCGGCATCGTTCGCGCTCGTGTCGGGCGCGTAGTAGTAGTGGATGTCCAGATAGTCGAGCAGGCGTTTGCCGGCCTTCGTGGAAGCAGCCTGCATCTGGGACAGGAACCAGGGAAGGAAGTCTTGGTTGTTGTGCGCGGCGTTATCCGTGTACCCGATGGAGCTGGTCCAGTCTGATATATACCGATCGTCAATGGGAGAATGGACAGGCGTCGAGCCATGATACTTACAGAACCACCAGGCGCAGGTAGACGGCGCAGCAACCTGGACGTTGGGAAGAACACTCTTGGCCATGGTCGCGGTGTTGACTACGCGCTGAAGCTCTTCGTCGTATCCCATGGGCTCAGGGTGCATGTCCTGGTGAGTACTACCGGCGATCTCGATTTCGTTGTCAACTGCATGTCGTGAATGAGTATGAGCTTGCGAAACAGGATATTGCTTGGAGATAAAACGAACCTGTGACGATGTCAGGCTTGTTTGTCAGGCCAGTGAGCCATTGAGCGGCAAGCGACGTGTTCCAGGGTGAGTACACGTTGGTTTGCGGCGGGGGTGCAACCCAAGAGCCGTTCGGGAATTGCCCATTTCCAGCATCGGAGTTGTATGGATCGTACGCGGCTTGGGCTGATAAAGATATAAGGTGATGGGTTTGAATCAAGCAAGAGATTGGACATACTGGGGTATACGGTGCGAGGATAGGAGTATGAGGTCGCGTCCTTCGATACCCAGTCCAAGCTTGATATGACGTATATATTAACATCGTTATTCGATACGTGATAGTTAGACCAGAGACTCACGCAGGGATGGTCACCATACTCTTGCTTCCTGCGCCCTTAACCCAGCCCGACCAGGCGTCGGCATCGGGTGGGGACGCGACACGGTTCTCGAAGTACCAGTCATTGCCGGCGTTGGTGAACTGCCCGAATGGGTTGTAGGCAGTCACAGCGTTTCCACCCCATCGACTCATGGTCACGCCCAAGAGCTCGATGTAGTTGGCATCGGTGGGGAAGTTGACGCCATAGATGTCGTCCGAGATGGCCTTAGTGTTTGCGATGTTGATGGTGCCGTACTTGAGGGCCGGGATGGTGTACGAGAACGTGGTGTTCGCGTCCGCGGAGATGACCAATGAACCAGGAGCGAGGGACTTAGAGAGGGTAAAGTAGGTGATCGTTTGGGCAGGAGTGTCGGGTGGCGAGTAGGTAGCCGTCTTCGTGAGGGAGACGGTCGCGTTGTTCAACGTGGCGGTCACTTGAGAGAAGTCAACGGCGCCTTGCGACGTGACTGCGATCACATTGGCAGCGAGGGGTTCGGCGGAGAGAAACTTCGGGGTAACAACGATTTCTGCGTGAACATAGGGATGAGCACGGGAAAGTGGCGCCGCGCGGCAGTTGCGCACCTGTCAAGAGCTCGATGTTGGTGATGTAGTACGTTGCGCCATTTCCACCGGCCTGGAAGTTGAGACGATCCCCTGTATAGAGCAAGAGTCAACAAACACTGCATGATACGTAGCAAAAGGTATCACTAACAGCTATCGGAGGCCAGCACACCTCCGCTTCCAGGCAAGTTACCGAAGTCCACAGTGATTGTGATGAAGCTGTCCGTGGTCACGGCAGTGCTCATGGATGCCAACGGAATAGAGGGAGACGAGTCGGAGTCCGCGCTTGAAGAGAGGTACAGTGACACGTCCGGCTGGGCGCCGGAGATGTCGAACCTCAGCCCGGCAAAGTTGTTCGCGAATGGAGTCTCGTCATATAACGAGAGTGCAGCGTATGCATCGGAGGTGATGGAGATGGCCTCGACGCCTCCAGGTCCAGAAGTGGACGCGAAGTCGATGGTGGATGACCAGGACCAGTTCTCCCAGCCGGACGCAAGGGCACCGCTTCCGGCGATGTACACGTCCTGGTCGGCACCCACAAGTAGGCCAAAGACCAAAACCACCAGAGAGCTCAGAATCATGCCGGGCACGCACAGACGGGAGAGAGCACCCTTGCTCGTACTCTTCATACACACTCGCCCGCTCTTTGAACGATTCGCGACGGGCGTCCCGGAGCCGCAGGACCACGCGAGATCGTGTCAACAGCGCTCTTCTCAATGACTTCTCCAATGTTCGTCCGTGTCCAGACACGCCCAAGGGTGCACATGACGGTCATATCATCGAGGGGAAGGACGGCACTCGGCGGCTGAAGGTCATTCGCGGCGGGTGACCGAGTTTTATCCCCCATGATGATCCGTGTTCCGTCGACAGAACAACCATCGGGCTGGTGAACTCGCGGTTTTCTGTGCCTGACAGTCGCTGTTTGTGTCCGGTATGACAAGGTAATATCCCGATAAGAGGCCGGTGAGTGTGTTGGCAAGCACGGCGGTCACTGAAAGGACCTGAAAGGTCGAGCGGGCGTCAACGTCGATTCAGGGGGCGTGTGAACTTCGCGAAAGGGGTACAATCCAGAGGCTTTGAGCTTCGCCAGGTTTCAACTCAATGAGCATACTCATGAATATAAATATGTCGAGGATCCTGGTTAGGTGGCAAGACGCCGCTGGTCCGGGCTTATATTTTGTCTGCGAAACCTTTGTGGATTATGCTGAGTGTCTACCCCACCCATCTTGCCGGCATGATCAGGTCGGAAAATCCTCTGGATCATCCGGTGGTTTTAAGGAACGAAGACAAGTATAACACGCTTGTACGCAGACCAAGCTGATTCTAGGTATATCACGGTAGTCGCATACGTCTGTGAGAAGATGGAAGATGCTAAGAAGGGCAGAGTTGCCTCGATACTGGTCCTTGTTGCCTTGCCTTGCAACTGCTTTTGCGCGGATAAGTGAGTTAGGGGGCCGTCCGCACGAGCAGCAGGTTTCTTTCGCTCTAGTGCATATCTCCGACGAACACGATCTCGGAAAGACGTCATAACGGAGAAATGCGAGCTGGCCATCGGCGACGCTTTCGCAGACCTGAGAACACCGGCCGAAGGAGAACGGGTACCAAGTGTTCGTATGCACAGTAGTATTGCCGGAGGCACACGAGGTGATATGCTAAAGGAAGAGAAATGCGAATGCGCTGGACCAGCATTTCATTCCGTACAAGCGCCGAATGCGCCAGTGACGGTATACGAAGAGATTTATCAGTGGCAACTTCGGTGCCAGCTGGAGCTGTACTCTATAACACGAGGTGAGCAAGGGCAGAAGAAACCTATTCAGAGGTCGTAGCACTTACAGTCGTCAGGTAGGTTGGTGAGATACTGAGGCCGCACTAGTACGAACGTTGAGGCCCATAGAGCATGTCACGTACGGTGAAGAAAGCATCGAGGTTGTCATTGAAGCTCGTGGTCGTTCCGGTGGTGGGCGAAAACGAGTAGACGCTGTTTGAGCCACTGGAGCCGTACTACATGTTCCAGAGGTGCGAGCGCCAATGCTCAAGCTGGGTTTCGAACGCAGGCGGCGCTCGCGACGTGTAGATGTGACCTTGGCCAGCTTTCAGCGCCGGGGACACAAGAAGCACGCACATAGCATATGAATCCAGCATTCGCTTAGATCACGATCTTAGATATTTGCTGGACGGCTTGATAGTAGCTTGATTTCGGGGCTTGACAACAAGACGGGGGAGGTGTGGCTACATCACGGCACATTACTCGCGTCGGTGAAGTACCGGAGGAGGTTGCGAGTTGCTCCCGCAAGGTCATCTCGGTATGAACACAGAAAGCGAAGAGCTCCCGGGTAGAATTCCCAAAACCAACGTTGCGACATCGACACCGGAGGCAAAAAAGGCAGGACTCCGAATCCAACAACCGCCCCGGACAAAGGGAAGCCGGACCGACTGGACTCGGCCAATACCGATTATGCCTAAAATAGCAATCCCGCCACATAACCCGGTATGGCTAATACTCGTGCTTCGGATTGGTGTGAAGTAAGTATGCCGATAATCAGGAGTGCGATCTATGAGATTCAAAGAGGAGATAGGATAGGGAAAAACTGATTGGTCTACGCGTACGGAGTCGTGCTATGATGTTGTTTACATATAGTTCTTTGCTATGTCGAATGCTGGAAGACATCATCCAGACATAGAGCAGGTTCGTGGGTGAGATGAGGGTATACCAATGTCACCCATCACAGGCAAACCTCGTAACAGGTTTGTATTACGAGCCCCTCTAGGCTGTAATCCATAGGGAGGCAGGGGATCTTGAATGGATCGCGAGGTTTCTTCAGAGAGGGATGTGGAGGTCGACGAGGTCGTGGTCGAGTCCGATAAAGTCCGTGACTGCGGGACAAATAGTATGCTAGGGGTAGAGTCCACGATGACCGGTGTGTATCCTTCCTTGGGCCAAGTTCCTTGAACTGGGAAGGGAGGACGGCGAGGGCATGGGGGTGCTTCATCCCTCGGATTACTGAGCAGATGGGTGGTGGCAATAGTATGGCTGGATTGCGGGACAGCGAACGCAGCCGATGCGTGTGGAGGCGATGAGTCGCTCGCCAAAAGGTGGCTAAAGGGCGGAATGGGTAAGGCAGACTCATCCGCTGAGACCGTTGGGTCACCGACGAGTGCGTCTGGAGCCACCTCAAGCTCAATTGAATCGCCATCAACCAACGAGATGCTCTCAGGAGCTCCGCCTGATTCGATGAGGGAACTAGCGAGGAAGGGTTCTTGCGAGGCACTCCCTTCGTGCGGGCGAGACTGTTGGTCACTCAAGTCCGCATGGCCGTGAGTCCATGGTCGACGCAATTGAAGGGAGCCAGGAGAAAATTGGACATGGTCTAAGGTCGAGAGGTCCAGGGCCTACGTGCTACTGCGTAAGGTGGGGATATTATGACTGAGCGTATTCGTACATACCTCATCCCTGGCCTTGCCCAGCTGCCCCAGCCAGACTGGAGCTGCAGTCACCGCAACACACGACAAGAGAAGGTATTGCATAGTTGTTCTGTTCATGTTCGTCAATCGTCGAGGTCTGAGCGCAAGCTAGGTTGAGAGGTGAAACCCGATGCATCATGCATTATGAGGCAGGCGAAACACGCCCATCGAAGCCCGTCTCAACCGCGTCGCCCAATAATACCCTGCGGATGGGAAAGACAGAATCCTAATGTAGTTGCCAAGGAGTACGGCTTCCAAACTGGTGGGATGAAGTGAGTGCATCGTATCATGAAGAAGTAGTAGAGGAAATGATATTCTAACGATACATGCATTAGAGCGGGATGAGAAGCATTTTCGCTGTCCCATGAAGGCAGTCTGCATACACCATCCCGCAAATAGGCAAATCCGTCGATTAATAGCGCCCATCCACCGTAAGCTGACCGCCAGAGAACGTCGAGAAGGCGCGAATCGGTTTCGAAGGGGGAGATTAATCACACTTCAATGACGCACGTGATTTATTGAGTCTTCCTGGTGTTCTTCGCGCGACTTGTCAACGGCATCCTCTTCCTGCTTCTACGAAGTATCGCCAATAAGCGTCCTCCCTGTGTGCTGCTATCGGGAATGCAACTCAACGAATAACGCTCAACGAATAACTCGTAGCTCAGATTACGCGATTGTATCATGGACGGGCAAAACTGTGCATACGGTGCCTGTTGAGTGCGGCGAGACCAAGCACTACGTCCTTCCTCGGATTCGGACAGTCCGGATGCGCAGCGAATTATCGGGAAGCGCTAGAAAGATGCTCTGGCTCATGAAGGATGCTTACTTCGGCAAGTGTGTTTACTCCCGCAGCTTGATCTCGTTGCGATCACAACTGTCACTGCCCATAGCAACTAGCTGTGGTATCGCAATGAACACCATCGAACACGCTTCTTTCGCACTATGGATCACGCTCGACACTGCGGAGAGCAGTGCGTGCTCTGATGTCCCGTCCGGCATTGCAGCTACTACCTGTGTCTCTCGCCCTCCGTACCGCCCGAAGCACAATCGTAGTAGATGCGCAGCGTGCTGCCCATGAGTATCTGGTCAACACGACTCGCTACCGCAGCTACTATGCTGCGGTGATCCACTAAAATTCTGTCTGCGCATACCAGGTGCTCCTGCGCATATGAGGCGTTGAGAGATATAAGGAGCTTTGGTCGGTTGGTGCCTTTTCATCGGTTGATCCGTGCTTCGTATCTCACTCCTTCGATCAGTGTCGACCGCCTACTATGCTTTTACTCGGAACCTTCCTCACGCTCCTTACTTCGATTAACGCTCTCCCTGTGCCGCCTGCAGCGCACTTCCCTGTGCCGCCTGCAGCCCCCTTCACGAACAACTTCGGCGCCCAGCTCGAGTGGGTCGACTGCACGGTCAACGTGCCCGCACCCGTCCAGCAGCAGTTTAACGTCACCACTTGGAATGCCACTGGACTCCCGACGCTCCCTTCGACGCTGGCATGCGGACACTTGACCGTTCCGCTCGACTATTCGGCTCCGATCAGCGACTCGAATAACATTACCCTGGGCTTTGCCATGCACCGGCCGGGTAACGCCTCCCAGTTGCTCAACTTGTGAGCTCGTCCACTTTCTTCGTCCACAGTGCCTCCTACAATTGTTCGGGACAGCAACCCAGGTGGCCCCGGTTTGGAGGCTGCTTCGTTCGCATGGGGAATCGCTCTCAACTCCTCGTCGAGTGCCATGTTCGATGGCGTGCTTGACCAGGACTTCCTGGGTGAGTTGTTGCGCTCTGCGCCTTCTGGTAGTTTACTGACACGATTTATAGCTGTTGATGTCCGCGGTGTTGGGCAGTCGAATCCTTTGAACTGCTCTTTGGTCGCCGCCTCACAGATACCTATTGCGCTGTGAGTGTGGATGACGCCTTTCGAAATATCTTGTCCTGATGCCTGCCGTGCAGCCCAACAGACGCAGCTTCCTTCGCGGCTTATCAGGCATCTGTCGCTGCATTTGCGCAATCTTGTGTTACCGGCAGCTCTCCGCCGGGCATCGTCCAGCACGTTGGCACCCAAGAAGTCGCGCAGGACTGGAACACCTTGATGAACGCCCTCAACTATACCAAGATGAACTTCTTGGGCGTATCATAGTTAGTGGCCTCAACTTTCGATGTGGCACTGCTCTGATATATCTTGACAGCGGGACCTTCCAAGCTGCCGAATACGCCTCTCGTTTCCCAGAAAGCGTTGGCAACTTTGTCCTCGACGCCGTTCTCTCGCACGCAACGGTATGTTCGAGCTCCATCTACATGCCTTGTGCTGATACAACCAATCATTCAGGTCGATCAAATCGCCGTCGCTGATCAGATCACGGCGGTCAACCGTCTTGTTCTTCGCGCGGACGATTTCTGCCAATCCGATCCGTCTTGCCCTTTCAAGGATCAGGGCAACGGCAGCGTCCCCGAGGTATGTAGTTGATGGAGTGCAACCATCATGATGTTACTCCGCCG